TGCTGCGACCTCCAGCGAAGGAATACGAAAATGTGGAGGCAGTCAAAACAATTGAAGATTACCCACATCTGTTTAAAGTCACTACACCAATCAAAGTCGACATCCTGGAGAAATACCTTGAAACGCATCCAAATCAAGACTTTGTGCGTTCAGTCATCACCTCGCTTAGAGAGGGTTTCTGGCCCTAGGCCGATATGCAATCAGCGGCAGAGTTCCCACTAACTTGGGACAACTCGAGGATGAGTCCACGGTCTGCAATGGAACAGGAGTTCATCAGCAGGTACCGGGATGAAGAAATCGCTGCCGGCCATTTCTCAGAACCCTTCGGCCCAGATTTGCTCCCAGGAATGTACAGCACCCCAGTTCACGCAGTCCCTAAACCTTGCTCAGATGACCTGCGCATGGTATCCAACATGTCTGCTGGTTCTTATGCGCCTAATCGAATGATTCATCACTCGGACATAGCAGGATTGCGCCTCAACAACCTTCATATGTTGTTCTCAGCCATATTGCGGTACAGGCGAAAGTCTCCAGACAATGCTCAAAAGGTCCTCGTCGCTTTCAAATCGGACGTGTCGAAGGCCTACAGGCTTTGCCCGATGCACCCTCTGTGGCAACTCAAACAGGTTGTGATGACAGGGTACCTCACCAGCGAGCAGAAAGCTGCAGGGGAGGTTGAAACCTTGGTCAGGACTGTAGACTGCAACAACAATTTCGGGGGAAGAGGATCTTACCAGGTCTGGTACAGTGTCAATGGGCTTGTTACATGGATAGCGATCAACATTGAAAACATCAAGGATCTGGGTTGTTATGTGGATGACGACTTTGGGTTTGACGAGTGGGGCAAGTTGGAGTATTATAAACCTTACGATGCCTTCTACTCCTCCAATCAAACGAAGCTACTCAAGCTGTGGGACCAGCTAGGAGTGCCTCACAGCAAGCCAAAGCAGCTTTTCGGCCTGCAACTCATTGTTATTGGGTTCGATGTCGACCCAAACGCAATGATGGCTACTATGCCTGAAGACTCAAAATCTGAACTTATCATGGCTCTCCGATACTTCGCCTCCTCAAACCGCCGTAGTCTGCAGAAGTACCAACAGATTGCAGGATGGTCAAACTGGTCTTTCAACGTCTTTCCCCTTCTGAAGCCAGGGCTGTGCAATGTATATGTGAAAATGAAGGGGAAGACAAACCCATTCATGGGGATCGCACTCAGCAATGCCATGAAGAACGACCTTAAGTGGCTTGCAGACCATATCGAGAAGTCGAGTGGGATTTGCTGCTTTGATTCCATTGACTGGGACCCAATTTCGGACGTGACGGTGACTCTGCTGTGCGATGTGTCCCTTGACGGTATGGGATTCTGGGTCCCAAGAATAGCCTGTGGTTTTGTTTGCCCTACACCTGACTTGCCTGATGGAGATGAGATCATCTTCTTCTTCGAAGCCTTATGTGTCTGTGCTGCGATTCATTGGGTCGCAAACACACTGTCTCCTGAACTCAGGAAGCATGTGACGGTCCTTACAGACAACTCCAACACGGTCGACATATTCAGCTCTCTGAAAGCATCTCCCATGTACAATCCTATCCTGAAGTCCACCGTTGATGTGATGATCAGTCACAGCATCGATTTGTGCGTGCTCCACATCCCAGGCTCTGAGAACGATGTCGCGGACGCTTTGTCGCATTCACAGTTCTCTAGGGCGAGGAATATTGTGCCCAATCTCTTGATCTTGCCATTCACACCCCCTCACGACGTGCTGGGGGCATCCAAATGTTAATAGACGTCACTCCAGGGTCCAGACAAAAGGCTCATGAACCTTGGACCCTGGAGAAGCTCTACCACGAGCAGTGCCTGGCTCTGGGCTTGGCGATTGACACATCAACTCTTGGACCTTATAATTCTGCCCTAAACTCTTACATCACGTTCTGCAAAATCCACAAATTCCCTGTGAAGCCCACTGAAGATACCATGAGCTACTACATCATCTTCATGGCTGCCCATATCAAACCAGACTCAGTCGGATCTTACCTCTCTGGAATCTGCAACCAACTAGAACCTTTCTTCCCCGACGTTCATGAAATAAGGAACTCGCACATGGTCAGTCAAACTCTCAAAGGTTGTAAGAGGCTGAAGGGATCTGAAGTCAAGTGCAAGTCCCCTCTGTCACGCGATAACATACGCTATGCAATCAAAAAACTCGGACCGTCGTCTGATTACGATGACTGCCTTTTCCTAGCACTACTTGTCACTGGATTCAATGGCCTGTTACGCCTTGCAGAGCTGAGTATGCCGGACACAAAGAAGTCGCGAAATTGGAGGAAGATCATCCACAGAACAACCATCGAATGGTTACCTGAAGGCTATGCTTTCTTCCTACCCGCTCACAAGGCTGACACTGCCTTCGAGGGCAACAAAGTCATCATCCCCACCGACGAGGACCCTTCCTTCGATCCCCTTTCTGTATTTCGACGGTACCTCGCCCGAAGGGACACTCAACACCTGGTGCACCCTGCGCTGTGGGTGACTGCTGCCGGCTCTGTCCCCACCCGCTCTTGGTTCATGAGAAGGCTATGGCAGATCTTTCCCAGTTCGAAGATCGCTGGACAATCCATGCGAGCAGGTGGTGCCACGGATCTCGCTGCACAAGGTGTATTGCCATACCTCATACAAGCATGTGGCCGTTGGTCCTCCAAGTAGTCTGGCCGGGGTCCGGTTCGGTCCAGGTTCAGGCATATTTGCCTGAACCTCGAACCTGGACCTCGAGGTTCACCTGCCACCCCCCCAAACCTCAAACCTGAACCTGAGGTGCAGGTCCAAAAGGTTCGGTCCAGGTTCGGTCCGGGTTCGAACCGGGTTCAGCAAAAAAAATTTATTACATGCTGTAGACTGTGATATTCATACATGTGATACATGATTACTCTATGACCAAGTTTCCATCATCAAAGCATGGCCCGATTTCCATCTGTGCTTCGTTCTGTGCACTGATACGTCCATCCCAATAAGCTTCCTTCATGGTGCCGAACTTCTCTGCATCAAAGTTGCGACAGCGAGGGTCAGAGTCTGTGCGACCTGCATATGAAAACATGCATTCTGAAGGCACAGAAGATCCTGGAATGGCAAAATAAATCTCAGTTCTATGTATTAGATAGCAATCAGCAATTTAGCACGATATAACTTCTGAAAGCTTGACCTGAACTTTACCTGAATTTTTCGAGGTTCACGAGGTTCGGACCAGGTCCGAACCGGGTTCAGAATTTTCAAACAGGTCGAACCTCGAACCTGGACCCAGGTGGCTGTGCTGGACCTGAACCTGAACCAGACCTGGACCTGCAGGTTCGGTTCAGGTTCGGACCGGGTCCACACGGTCCTGAACCAGACCATGGCCAGACTACCTCCAAGGCATTCAAAATATACATTCGCAAGAACCCAGTCATCCTGCAAGCAATGATCAACATGCGAGCACCCCCCTCCTAGCCTGCACCGCACACATTCCCAATGCACTTACAGTACTATTACCCAATAGCGCTCATACATGCGGTGCCTGGGATTTCCAATTTGACTTGTGCCCAGGAGGCAGTTTTTTCGGTAAACTTGGACGATCGGTCGGACACTCGTTGACCAATTAGGTATTGTTTTACCTTGCTTGTCAAGGTCTCTCTAGGTCTAAAATCTTCGCTTACACAAGCCATGGTCTTCCTGTGATATGACATCATTCTCCACACGTAATCAAAATCCTTGTTGTTGACAATTTCACCCTTTCCATCATGCATCGAATGTCTTTTCACAACGGATATCAAATCGCCAACATATTAAATCCTCTAGATCTACCAGTAATGGAAAGACTGGACATAGCTACTGCCCTCAAAAACCTTAATGATATTTGTGCTTATCTTCCATCTGCATTAGAAAGACAAACTCAGTATATCATCTATATCTTTTGCGCTTTATTGCCACTTCCAACATTGGCAGATCTACTTGAAAACCTCAAATCTTGATGATGGGGTGGATATAAACAATTTGTATGGAGATGTACCGACCATAATATTAGACACCATGTGTTGAATAGTGGGACTGAGCCATACGTGTGCTTCAACATTGCAACGGATAATGCGACTACCCCGCCATGCCCTGCAGGTATGTCTGCATATTTCGTCCCTCACACTGTATACATATCCACTGATCACTGGCACTGAGTAGGAAACGACAACCTTAAGAGTACAAAGCCTAAGCGGAAAATTGTGGACGTTGAAAGAGGTGAGGTGAAGAAAGTTCGTGCTTAAATGTAATCAGTTCAGGTAACTAGCAGGATTCTCTTAAAGGCATGTATGTATGATTATGGCGGTGTATGATTATTTTCAAAGTATGCCTCACATAAATTGGATTCTACAAATTTGGGATGGGGATGAACACCGCTTAAGCAAGGTATGATAGTCGTCGACCGACGACCGCTAGTTTATAAAGACAATACCGGGTCGCCTTCCTCAGCGCGTACGAGTGTACGTGATGAAGTATCCTCCTCACAAGTTTCCAGCCAGAATGCTCTGGTCAAGATTCTCTCATTTCACGCTGATACGGACCACCAGACATGCCAGGATAATCTCATACAGGTCTTCAAATGGCCAGTTCAAAATTCTCTTCCTCGGGCGCGAAGAATTTTCGTGCATCATCCTGAGGGAGCTATTCACCGCACAAGGTTTCACCCATGGCCACTTGCCCCGTCTCTGGATCCATTTACCAGCTTCTTAGATGCTTGGACCTCGCTGCGTGTCGCCACGAACTTGTCCTCGTAGGGCCTACGAATATTGTAAATCACGGTATGTCATGTTTGGTACAATAGCCTGTACAGTCGATGTGTCAAAGAAGAAAACTAATCGGCACCTGAAGCTTGACACACCGAGCATTTTTTTTGCTATCCACTCACCAGTTGTCGTCGATGATGTTCTTCATCGCAGCGCCCACCGTCACTGTGGACGCTGTATACTTTTAGTATCTATGTGTAATCAAATCGTTGACTTCACCCTAAAAAACGAAGCTAAAACCACGATGCTCACTAACATAAGGCTTGGGAGAAACGTTACATCCCGGCAATTTGCCAGAGGTGCTTGAATAATCTAGACTCCATTCAACCAAGGATCCGCCAACAACTGTGCAGCAGTTGAACGTTTCCTGGGATCCCAGATCAGACATGCACGCAGGAACCCATCTAAACCATTCAGATCGAGATTTTTAGCTTCTGACACCCCCTTTACGGTTCTTTCAATGCTACACTCGTCCCAGTCTTTGACTTGCACCAGATCCCCTGGGGAAGATCAGACGGCGCGACAAACATGATCAGTATGAAGCGCACCATTCCGATCAAAGTATCTGGATCCATATTGACAATCTACCAAAAAAGTGGACGGTATTTTTCCAATGCGTTCCGTGATCTGTTGAATATGAACAGCATTGTCAAAATTATCCTGCCGGAATAGGTGATAGTCCCCGACTAGTTCGAAGACCTGCATACAGTCATTAAGGAATTCAAGCTTACATATTGTCATGAACTCACCATGCATCCTACGGCCCAGATATCAGATGGCGTCGACCACGAAAAACCCAGAATGGACTCTGGGGGGCAGAACATGGACGGCTGCGAGTCATCCATGTGCTTCGCGTTCGCAAGTTGTGCTATTAGATAGGGCGGTAAGAGGCCAGGAAAAGGGGGGAAAGAGAGACGAAAAAAAACCTTCGCCGTAGTCAATAAGCTTGACATTGAGGTTACTCAAATCTGGTAGCAAGCCTATGTCCGGGAGTGGCTGAGACTTGACAGTGATTATCGGTAGTGAAGTAAGTCCGGGAAGATTGAGAGGCTCATACGTCTCTGCGGGATGTTTTTCAATGTATGTCTATATATCCTTGACGAGCGTTCCGCCGTGGCCGCTAGGCAATACCGACACGATGTCATTGGTTTTAATGTCTGAAAAAGATGTTCATGAGATAGTTCACTGTCCAAACAAGGGTGGAAAACCCCACCGTTATGGACAAAACCACAATCATGGAGAAGCTGGAGCGCTAGAAGTGTCTGCTTTATGATGCGCTTTGTAACTGGAAGGGTGAATACCATCTTTGGCTGTTTCATCCTAAGATCAAGTAGGGACGATCCTAGAACGTCAGTTGCAAAGCACATATGAGAACCCAGTTGACTTTGCGTATTGAAGATTCGGCGGAGATGCAGAAGGTGAGGATATCCGGGGTGATGACGATACTTCTGAATCATTTCTAGGACTGCTGACTCGTGGGAGTACCCAGAAGTGATTTGTTTCGTGTAGTATATAGTAAGTATCTTGACGGCCACGAAAGATGTCCGAGATCTACGTCGCTTCCTATTGATCAGAATTCAGCGACCCAAGAGAGCGAGAATATCCTGGACAACAACGTACTCGCAGAGCCACACGGTTCCAGCTGCAGCGTGACCCAACTACAATGATAGTCAATGAACATGGTAAGAGACTGAAGCACAAGGGGGTTGGGTACCTTGCGAACGACACGGAAGGAAGAAGGCCGTAGGAGTTGACCAAGAGCCACGGGATGATAGCCATACCCAAGCCCTGGATCCACAAAAAGTTCTTCCTCTGGGAATATCGAGCTTAAATCGTCGAATAACATGTTGAGCTGGGTTTGAGCACAGTTTCAAGTAGCAAGTCACCGGGCCGGAACCCGAAAAGTTACTGCAGCGCGTACCCGTGCACGTGATGACGTTTCCTCTTTCCCAGTCAGAATGCTTTGGCCAAGATTCTCTCGTTCCACGCTCATACAGGCCAACAAAAATGCCAGGAGAATCTCATCCACCTCGATTGCAAATGAAAAGTTCAAAATCCTCTTCCTCGGGCGCGAAGAGTTTTCGTGTATCGTCCTGAGGGAGCTATTCGCCGCACAAGGTTTCCCCCATGGCCACTTACCCCGTCTCTGGATCCATTTATCAGCTTCCTAGATGTTTGGACCTCGCTGGATGTCGCCACCAATCCTGATGAACGTGTCGGACGACGGGGCTCGAGACTTTCCGTTTGTGAGTCGCCGGGAGTATGTACGCGGCTGGTGCTGATATGTGGATAGCGCCTCTCAAGATGCTGGGGGGAATCTCTGGAGATACCAGTACATCTCATTCCGCGTGAAAAAGTCGAGTTCAGACATTGGACGGTGAGACGTGAACACATAGAGGATCACTGTGCTAATAAACATAGGGCAGCCACCAGCACCTTTTTCCGAGGGCGCGTTACCCAATCATCTGGTCATTACAGCCTCCTTTGGCCGTATCCTCTCTTCCCGCTTTCTGGATCTATTTGCTCCGACGAGGCGACTGAACGTTCACCCATCCCTTCTCCCAAGATACCGCGGACCGGCGCCTATACAGCACGCGATTTTGAATTGCGACACTGAGACTGGTGTTTCTATCATCAGCATGCTCAAGAGCAAGGAGGGTATAGATGCTGGTGACGTGTGGGGGTCCGATAAGATGGTATGAATACCTTATTTGCAGATTTTTGTTTTTGACACGTGAACCGTACAGGCTATTGTGCCAAACGCGACGTACCGTGATTTACAAGACTCGCTGGCCCTGCAAGGAGGCAAACTGTTGGTTCAAGTACTACGGGATATGATAACAGGAACCGTTGAGTTTTCTCTCAGCTGGTAGGTTCAGCGTACTAAATGTGGTATCTAGGCAAAAGCATTTCCGCAGCTTGGAGAAGCATCCCATGCACCGCTGATTACGTACGACGACTCTCTTGTTGATTTTACCACCATGTCTGCTGAGTCCATCGTACGAAAGCACCGAGCCATCGGGCATCAGGTATAATCCTTGTCAAGCTCACTGCCACCTCCATCTGATCTTGAGCTTGATAGCGTCCCATCACTGTGTACGCGCTCGACGGATGCACTATCCAACTTGGATCACTGTCGGTGGTGACTGACCCGCCCTCATTCGTGCGGGACGAGCCTGGGGTGTCGGTTCTTTACAAGTCCAAAAGCACGGTACTGGTTCGTTGTGTAGATGGGTCAGTCCTGTCTATCCCGCAGATGAAACCTGAGGCGAGCCATTGGGGAACAGGCAAGGATTGGTGGAATGGGGTCAAAAGCATGAATTTTGTCAAGGACGGCACGTATAGGTTCATAAATAGGCGCTACGTGGAGTAGGCGCACTCACTAATTTCATCTGGATATCTAACATTTGGAAATGTCAGCTCTTAGCCTAGTGCTGTTCTTGAACAAAGATTCGGCTGTGTGGTGAAACGTCTCAATCTTCCCCTGTCTTCCTTGGACCACTACGAGCACTGTCAGTTTCTTCTCCTGGCATGGCGGTGTTCATGATGTTATAGCAGTAATATGCGCAAGACTTCAATGAAGTACGCATGCCCTTGGTGATTACAGCACATGGTCTCAATACCCTTCGCATGAGACAGAATGCGGAAGTTCAATCTCGCCTGTACTGAACCTGCGTTCACGTACATGACGCTCTGGTTTGGCTCTTCTATTACTGGCATCAAGTCTTCAAACTACAAGTCCAGGGCTTTGCCTTGCGAAAAATTCAGTCACATTCCGTACAGCAACCCATAGCACCGACGACTAGTAAAATCCACTTCCTTCATAGAGATGTCTGACTCAGTCTGGGGATCCGCTCAAATCTCGAGTTGTCAACTTCCCACTATGTCTGACACCTAGATACAGAGGCTATGGAAGAACGGGAAAGTAGACGGAACGATCAGCGAAAGTGTGGTAATGCGGAGCAAGTCATAGCAAGCAAGCAGACAAGCGGACTGACGTGACGGCTGTTCTGGAGGCAGTTCGGACACGTTCTGCACTGCAATCTGGAGATGTCTGACTCTGAGGTCCTACTTTTAACTCACATTTTAATCTGCAATTCACATACTTGCCATTCTCCCATGTCCAGAATCCAGATATACCTGAAGCCACGACCAGTCTCCTCCATCTATGGACACGCAAATTATCTACCGCTTCAATGGAATCCCGACTTCAAATACGGACCGTTTTTCTGGCTACGAGACGATCCCCTCCGACGCTACAGAGAAGTACACCATCCATTCTCCTGACCTATCTGCTGGAATCGCAGCCTTCCACGGTGAACTTATCCCTAGCCTCCAAGCTGAAGTCCCTGAAATAACCCGCTCTTCATGGTGCAGCCTTGTTAAGCTCGAGAGGACGAAAATGGAACCAGCGTCTCGTTTCTTGCACGAGAGCGAAAGTCATGTCAATCGACTCTACCAAGGTGACCACACACTGCGTGCGACGGCGGATGATCGTTACTCGTGGGATAAACTGTTCTTTTCGATCTTGGCTAGGGGTGAAGTCGAGTTGCGGGACGACGTGGACGTCGATACTGAACTAGGGATATTTGTCTGGGCCTACATGCATTATATGATATACTATTTTAGCCGTAAGTGACCGTGACGGTAATGATTTTTTTGTTCTCTTTGTTTGATTTTGGACCATTGTAGTTCCCTGGCTCAAACTTCAGAGAGAACTGCGTCATCGTAAGGTCACGTATGTCCATAACTCCTTTTTTCTTATGTTCTGCTTTCCAGCTGAAAGACCGGTATCACTTGAAACTTTAAGGGCGGATGCTCTCATCGTACCATCGAGATTCAACCGCAACGGTAATTCGAACAACCAACCTCCCAACACCAAATTTTCCGGCAATGACCCCAGTGGTTTGATGCGTAGCAGCGACAAAGGCACTGGGACGTCCTCTTTTCTCCTTCGTGTATGTCGCGAGTCCTCATGCTTACTTTATTCTTACCTCTCTCCAATTTAAGCGAAGAAAAAACCGCGCAATAGAATATGATAACGCTGATCTACCTTAACTTATCGGGAAGACTATTAGTAGACTCTGGGTTCCGTGTTTTATTAAACTATTTTTACGTGCGCAGCTAATTATTCTGATTCCGCTGCGTCGGGGTTCTCAGCTTTTGAATTATCCATAGGAAGGCAGTGTAGCGTAAAAACCCTATACTGGAACAACAATTACAAAATTGCAGCAACTGTGGATCCCTGAGTAAAGGAGGACGTACCGCAAAAAAAAAAAAACAAGTCACTGGTCAACCGCAACACCCAAATCGGACCGATTGAATTTTCCGAACGGGGACCTTGAATTTTCGTTGTCTTTTACTTTGAGGACAGCAATAAAGTGTTGTCCCGGTTTCTGCAGCGGTGCGATCTGTCGATTGATGCTCTCCACGTCCTCAGGCTCGGAACAGTATATTTCGACCAAACGAAGATTATGGCTATGTGACGAGATCATGGTGACAATGAAATGAGATGAGACTTTGAAATTAAATAGCCGTAGGTGCTGCAAATTTGGGAGGAATCCGACGGAAGCAAGAGCATCGAGGGTACCCTGAATACCCCAACCGGTCCCAATTTCTAAAAAGACCAGAGTGTCCATGAATAAGAGTGAGTCTCGGATGAAGATATCATGGTCTGTGTTCGAAGAAAGGAAGGTTAATTTGGAAAAGAGCACTGGGAACGTCGGATGAAATCGTTCGCGATCTGAACATTGCGGGAGTTGTCACCGAATTCGTCGCAGCGGTAAATTATGAGATCATTTAAGGAAGGTAGGCACAGATGTGCCAGTATTCGCAGCGATGACACAAAAAGGCGCCGAACTTTGGGAAGGTGAATGTTAAGAGGAAGGGATCGGATATCCTGATCGTCTCCTGGACGTATCTTGAGATGGCATTCTACGAGAGACTGATAAACTCCAAGGTTACAAGCATTTTTTGCATATGCCGCCAGATGAGTGATATGAAGGGGAAGCCTGAGATTCCCTACACCGTAGCCTACGTAGGGTCCACGTAAAGTCACCTTTTGAAGGCGAGGGGCATCAGAGAAGATACGTTGAGTATCTTCTAGCAGGTCCTCTTCTTTGTGTCGTATTATACTTGAAGCGTTCAAAGTAAAAGATTCCAGACAAGGAATTTTCCCGCAAACCATCTCCAATAGTCTCAACAAATTCGGGGAAGCACCTAGCCGCAAGGTCTTCCACCGATATGACTCCTTAAGAATCATGGGAAAAACTTGAATGGCGATATCCTTATCGCCATCAGGATCTAGGTCGAGTACTATGTCGAGAGGACACTGTTCCGAAAGATGAATCATGGCTTTTAGTGCGTCAGTCGTATAACGAGGGGAGGGACGGCCCCCGGGCACAGTGCCTGTCAGACGAAGAGACCGAAAGTGAAGTACAATATGCGACCAGAGGCAGGGATGGGATGAAACGATATCCCTCCAAGAACCGCATATATGGCTGAGCGTCTACGGACCCTGTGAAAATTCTAATACCGGGCCCAGGTCTTTCTCCGGATCGCGCCACCAGTGTTTTCGTGTGTGTTAAGAATCAGGGTATTTTGGCTAATACACGAGTTACTGAATACTCGAGTAAAACCTAAGTTGAGAGCGAGGATGTCCAAAAGCCGAATTCCAACCACCAAGAGGGATCCGTAAGGGTGCTAACAAGCGCTAGGCGTAGTTAACGAGGGCGTCAGCAAGCGCTAGGCGTAACTAACAGGGTTTCCGAAAAGCGCTAGGCGTAATCGGGAAGCAATTGATTGGCAAGCGCTTGGCGTAACCGATCAGAGATGCTTAGTTCACACAATTAAGTGGACTTCGAAGATGAGTAAAAATTAGCTTAAGATTCTAATACAACGGTAAAGACAATATTTATATGCCACTAGTAAGGCATTGAGTCATTATGATTCTACAATGTTCCACAGTATTCTAGTATCAGCAAGAAGAATAGAGAAAGAAAGAGAAAATAAGAGAACATACTGGTAGGCCGAGGTCAAGGCCGAGAAGGCCGAGAGTAGGCGTATGTTGACTCATGTACAGACCCGAAAAGTCATGAGATCCATAACATGGCCCCCCCAGTCTACATATGCTGAAACGAGGCGCACACCAAGTGAATGAAAAGAATTAGAACGAGTAAATATCATAGATTTGAATTGTTCTGCTGATTGTGGCCGTAACTTCATGAATCCTGATATCAAAGCAATTCTACACCCTTCACATAGGAGCACAAGGTTCATTGCCTTTGGAAATGGCATTACAGGCCGGCCCTTTTGCGGTTACATGAGTCGAAGATCGGGCTGGAATGACAAACTTGTTCCGCAATAACAAGCATGTATAAGAGTAAATACCTAAGGGCACCATTTTCAGTGGATTAGACCTTCCTTTATGCTTGGATGGGAACAAACGAAGGTCGGACGATACGCGAATAGAGGAAGGCTTCGTGCGATGAAGCGGGGAATTGGCAAGAGCCGGTTCCTCGGAGCAGTTTCTAAAACGGGAATGATATTGATGATGGGCCCCATCATGATTTCGCCGTCTAATCGATTCCGCCATCGTTCCATTTACGCTCGACATTGTGTCCACCTTTTTACATTGCCTCGAGGTCTCAGTATCGGTCACTTCATTTCCTGATGCATGTAGGCATCGCTTATGCCCAATGACTTCTACCTCCGATAGTGGCTCAGTCGGCGCTAGGCCTGTAGAACGTTCGAGAAGACTGGTTTCCACATGTCCAGAAGGGATACTGTGAGAGATGGCGATATATGTGATAAAAATGTCACTCAGTACGTTGCTTGAACTATTGATGAGCCAAACACGCTGATTTAATTGATTGTGTTCGGTTTTATCTATCCAATTGAGCCTCAATGATACTGTATCGAACGCGACACTCCGTGGATGATCTGTGAGTAGTCGTTTTGACTCTGGCTTAATCACCGCAACTTCTGCTATTATTGACCGGTGGCGGTAAACCGAAGACCTAGGGAAACTGATTGATCCCGGAACAAGGAATTCCAATTGGGGTGAGCGCGGAATCCTTTGGAGATGCTGCTGTCGATCTCCGAGGCCAGTTATAAGATCCCGTAGCACAGTAAAAATCGATGAAAATCGGGAATCCTGGACTCTATGCAAAACCCGATGGACTGTGATTTCTCCAAGTTCCTTATCTGCAAGAGTGAAAGTGAAGCCGGGAAGGCAATGGAAGATTGTCGTGATGAGGTCGCGTTCGGAGACAGTGCTGAACTCTTTGGAGGTGACATCTGGAATTGTCTGTGCAATCATGCTGCTAGTGAGTTGATGCAGATTACGCACTGTCTTAATACGCTGACTCTTTCGAGTGGTGTGTGGTCGTCGCTTCATTCCCTGGCTTCCTCTGCAAACACCGTAAGACCCTTTGCCAGGAACGCAAACAGGACTGGTTGTATTCCAGTTTCCTACTGCTGTTGGAGAACCGCAGACGTTTGAAATATGAAAGACAGAGAGGGAGACTAAATGATACGGTGCGTCGTAACCTTGCTGCTGATGAGTTTCTCGGCTGATATGTTGCTCGAGAAATAAGACACATTCCGCCATCAGGGAGTGAACATGAGTCGATATTCTAGCACCATATCCTAGATGTCGGAGCTCTCCTTGTATCGGATAGTGTTTCAAATGTTGACAAAACGTTTGAGCCCCATGTCGCGTTCCTGGTTTAACATTTATACTGGATTCAAGATATTTTCCGTCGCAGGATACACCAGAATGTAGTTTGGGAGAAGCATGGATAGAGGATGGCTCCATTGTGCGATGGTAGCAAGGGGAATCGGCTTTCGTAGTTGCCGGTGAACTGTTTCCAAAATGGGAACGATATTGATGATGGTATTGATCGTGAACTTCGTTTTGCTGTCGCATCATTCCTAGTGTTGTTTTGCTTGCACTCGTTGTTACGCGCAATTTTAGCTCCTCTCCAAATGTGTTGGATTTTCGTTCAATTCTACTGTCAACGGCAATACTGGGCTTGATCGTGACCTTCCCTCGAATATTCGTGATCTTTCTACACAAGGGTCTAGTGTACTGGCTTCCTTCCTGACGGCGTCGGTAGCTATTGGCCAGGACTTCGACTTCCACGCATATCCCTTCAAAATTACCTCCTGATGCATCAATACTGCATTGTCTGAGCCCAACGATAGTTGTATGAATCTCCAATATTGGCCAAGTCGGTGCTAGATCTGTTGAACACCCGAGTACGCTAGTTTCATTGTTTCCAGCAGGAATAACGGGGGAGACTGTAATAGGCATGATAAGAACGGAGCGGGGTATGTCATTTGAACTGATACTCAGCTGAATATTCTGATTTAATTGATCCCGCTCAGTCTTCTCTGGCATGCACTTTAAAGACGCCGTATTGGACTCAGAACTCCGAGGATGTTTTGTGAGTAGTCGATTTGAATTTCTTTCAGTCATCGTATCTTCCAACGTGATAGGGATCGTAGGAACATCTGTCGGGGACGTAAGGGATACACCATGAAATTGGAAGTCACTGCCGGCAGTTGGCTGCGGCTTCGCAGGTATCACAATGCACATTTTGGCTCCGACTGCTCTTGGTACTTGTCGACGACGATGATATTTTTGGGTCCGGTGGTACGATTGGAGCCTTGTGAACTTGGTTGATTTGCTCACTGCTTCTGCTAAGGCACGGACCTCAAAGTCCCGGGGCTCCCGGTCGATAGGTGACAGTACTATGGCACTTTCCACTTCGATTCCGTGTCTAATAAGACATTGCCTATGTAATCGACATTCAGTTTCGCCGGTCGGCTCCACAAACTTCGTCTTCTGCTCGACACGAACCTTAGGCCATGAATAAATCATCCGAAGTGCTATTCGGAAGTTACGCATGATATATGAGTCTGAACCGAAGACCATCTGCAAGACATTGAGATCCGGGGTATTCACTCCTACTGGGACCCGTGTTGCTTCGCTTCCCATGATGGTAAATCCTGACAGCCGTAGTACATATTCTCGCATTCCCATCAGTATACGCTGACAATCACCATTATTGAACGTGACCCTGTGGGTAGCATAAATCATTCGCAGTAGCCGTTTCTGCAGTCGGTCGATGTGACGTCTGACTTTACGTGGTAATCGGGAGGCTTTGTTCCTTTCTGAAAAGGGTATGCAAGGCGTATTCGAAGCAATTTGAAAGGTACGAATCTCGTTATTGGTTGAATAGAGAGGGATTGGATTGCCGATGTTATGATTCAGAGCCGCCGTATTAATGGATTTGTTCTCGCAATTATCCCTTGTGTTTGAATTACTGTTGCAAGCAGGTATGTCCGTGGCTTTGAGAGCGGTGTCAAAGTCAATGCTGGTATACTCTAAGTGACTGGGGTACGCAGGAATTTGTGAATTGCATGGACTGCAACGAGACGGAAGTCGGTTTCCATTGTTGCCACCTCGACTCGAGTCAAGATCACTAGGAGCACATCCTTGGTAAATGCTCTTGTGCGCAGAAGGATTTCTGCAATCTAAGTCTTCAGGAATCCGAGCTCGATGGGATACTGCAGGCAAACTCTCATATCGACTGAGACCGAAATCTTGAGATTCGGTGACTTTGGAATTCGCACTTTGACAAAACTGACTTTGTGTTTTAGTGACCCGCGAGTTGCTAGGATGCTGTTCCTCATCTCTTGTGGCAGTATAGTGTACTCCCTCCCAACTCAAGTCGGAGGACGAGGCTTGAAAAGGGGTCTTCGACTTGAAAGGATTGGAATGCGGTATAGAAGGAACAGCATTAAGGTAATGTTCCGTTCTCACAACACGAGCTCTGTCAGGATTGCGCAGAGCTGCCAGGAGTTTTTCGTCTAGGTATACGCGTGTTCGAAGGTTATTCCAGTCATGGACATAATCGAGCATATGAAGAAAATTCTCGACGCGAATGCGATACTGCAAAGCGTACACCTCAAAATCGTTGGCTGTAGTCTGGCCAGGGTCCGGTTCGGTCCAGGTTCAGGCATATTTGCCTGAACCTCGAACCTGGACCTCGAGGTTCACCTGCCGCCCCCCCAAACCTCGAACCCGAACCTGAGGTGCAGGTCCAAAAGGTTCGGTCCAGGTTCGGTCCGGGTTCGAACCGGGTTCAGCAAAAAAAATTTATTACGTGCTGTAGACTGTGATATTCATACATGTGATACATGATTACTCTATGACCAAGTTTCCATCATCAAAGCATGGCCCGATTTCCATCTGTGCTTCGTTCTGTGCACTGATACGTCCATCCCAATAAGCTTCCTTCATGGTGCCGAACTTCTCTGCATCAAAGTTGCGACAGCGAGGGTCAGAGTCTGTGCGACCTGCATATGAAAACATGCATTCTGAAGGCACAGAAGATCCTGGAATGGCAAAATAAATCTCAGTTCTATGTATTAGATAGCAATCAGCAATTTAGCACGATATAACTTCTGAAAGCTTGACCTGAACTTTACCTGAATTTTTCGAGGTTCACGAGGTTCGGACCGGGTCCGAACCGGGTTCAGAATTTTCAAACAGGTCGAACCTTGAACCTGGACCCAGGTGGCTGTGCTGGACCTGAACCTGAACCGGAGCTGGACCTGCAGGTTCGGTTCGGGTTCGGACCGGGTCCACACGGTCCTGAACCGGACCACGGCCAGACTAGTTGGCTGTCAAGCCCTTCACAGTGTTGATGCCCCATGTAGGTACTTTAAAATCTGAATAACCAAATGAATTGAGTGATAAGGAAGCTATTGCACGGCGAGTCGTTAACCTGGTGTGAAGTTCCTGATAGATGTTCTCATCCATCTTGTAGACAACATCTTTCATGAACGTGGTGCAGGTGAAAACAGACGTGAGAAGGCGATCTAGCATGCATGTTTCTTCCGAAAAGATATTAGTATACTGGTTGTGCGTCAGTACATGAGCACTGGCAGCTTGTAGGCCATTACCGAGTTTCCTGTTCTTGCTGAGCTTAAGTATCTGTATAATACGATCCTTGCGCTCCTGTAACTGTGAATTCCCTATGAATGTCAGAAGGGGAACACAGGATGGCCACAGGCAAGTAACTTTCTGAATCTCAGTGTCAGTGATATCCACTGGGTCGACTGACAATACGAGTGGTGCTAGAGGGTTTGGGAAGACAGACAAGTCGACATGCGAGTGCTGAGTCGGGGGAGAAGATTGCGGATTGGGCAAATGAGTCGGTGAAATGGATTCAGGCATGATAAAGTGCTTTAGCGAGTAGGAAATTAATGAATGAAACGATTCCCTCTACAAGGTGGTCCCAATGTGTCCACCAATGTTAAGAATCAGGGTATTTTGGCTAATACACGAGTTACTGAATACTCGAGTAAAACCTAAGTTGAGAGCGAGGATGTCCAAAAGCCGAATTCCAACCACCAAGAGGGATCCGTAAGGGTGCTAACAAGTGCTAGGCATAGTTAACGAGGGCGTCAGCAAGCGCTAGGCGTAACTAACAGGGTTTCCGAAAAGCGCTAGGCGTAATCGGGAAGCAATTGATTGGCAAGCGCTTGGCGTAACCGATCAGAGATGCTTAGTTCACACAATTAAGTGGACTTCGAAGATGAGTAAAAATTAGCTTAAGATTCTAATACAACGGTAAAGACAATATTTATATGCCACTAGTAAGGCATTGAGTCATTATGATTCTACAATGTTCCACAGTATTCTAGTATCAGCAAGAAGAATAGAGAAAGAAAGAGAAAATAAGAGAACATACTGGTAGGCCGAGGTCAAGGCCGAGAAGGCCGAGAGTAGGCGTATGTTGACTCATGTACAGACCCGAAAAGTCATGAGATCCATAACAGTGTGTCAGTGTTCCGCCACTGCGAGATCTGTATCTCGCGAAACACGGATCGAAGAACATCACTGGGAAGACGTCGGATGGGTACTAGCGTTGAGGTGTATGCCGCCAATGACTTCTGAACTGTATCACGACGGCTTTGCACCTTTGCTTTGATTTCATCGATGCGGTCTAGCAACGTGTCATATACTAAGACTTGTTGTTGGAGGACCTCGATATTGGGGAATATCCAGTCATGGTCGGTATCAAGGAAAGATCGTGTAGCACGAAGAAGCCCAGAGACGCGAGAATTTAGAACCTCGGGTGGGAATAAAGGTAATGGTATGGAATGTGCCACTCCATCCAAGTGGAACATCACATCTGTCGCGTCTATGGTGTCTCTAATTCATATGTATCAGTCCTCTGCAAAATCTCGCAAAGTAGAACTTACTTGGACATTCTTGAACCTGACATCTCGAGGTAGAAGATCAAAGGAAGCTCTGTCCACCGGCATCGCCGGACCGTAAACGAACCAAAAGTTCAGTCGGAGTTTGTGATCGTTAAATGTTTCCGTTCGAGCTACCTGCTGCACAGTTGATTCGGGTCGAACATAGAGTAAATCCGGAAACAAGTACGTATATTATTCCATCTTGCAGGAAGATCAACTTATCGAACCAACAAGACCGTGAAAACATTTCCATCAAGATGGTACGTGGACAAGGGACCTACAGTGGCTCGGCTCAAGCAATAGCGGTCCATCTCCGGCGTGAGACTCTTGACAAAAATTTCCCGCTGTCGAAAGGACTGCCCCGCAAGGAAGAGTACTACTAGTAGTATAAGCTGGGATGCATTCGTGCCTCGATTTGAAGATCACTCTGGTGCCTCCTTCATACCAGACACCATTGCCCACTCAAACCCTACTATGCCGGAACACCCAATTGCTACAAATTCGAGAAAATGGGGTCCACAGACCATCCAACAGAGCGAATTTGACTTCACGTTCTCAGGACCGCGTCTTCCAAAGCGATACATCGACAGGCGCGTTCTCAGAAGGCATAGCCGATTCTGATTCTCTACTAGGTATATTCCAAGCCTGTGAATAATCTGAGTGGACGCTGCAGTCCTTCCTCGAGGAAAGTGAGCGGGAGCGGATAATGGCAGAGGGACGTGGTTTTTTAGATCTGATTAGCGAGATGGTATTTCAGTGGATAGCAAAACGAAGAGCCGGATTGTTGACGTTTAGGCAAGTTCGAGTATTATTCTTCAACCCATCTGTTCATTCATTGTGAACTCACCAATAGAAATAGTGTAAAAGCTAGGAACGTCCTGATGCGAACGACCCTCAGACCCTTCTCCCCGTTGTCAAGTTTAACGTTCCCTACACAAATAAGTATATTTTATCTGTCTGAATTAGGAGAGGGACAAAGGACACAAGAGATCTGTGGGACGGTACTAGATGTCAATGGCTGTAGTTCTGTAAAGACTAATCAGTATTGAAGCCACGCTGCCTCCAAACGGGCGGTGCTATCGGGCGTTAACATATCCAAATTAATCCCACCGTGCTCGCAGCTAACTAGGAGGTCTATTGCAGCAACTGGAGATCTCCGAGTAAAGGAGGACGTACTGTAGAGAAAAATTTCGCTGATCAACTGTAGCATCTAAATCGCACTGACCGAATTCTCCGAACTGCATTCCAGAAGTTTCGTTATGTAGTTCGCTTGGTGTAGCAATAAAGTGTTGTCCAGGTTGCTGCAGTGGTGCGAGATATCGATTGAAGCTCTCCGCATCCTCAGGCTTGTAACAGTAAAATTGGATCGAACGAAGATTTTGGCTACGCGAAGAGATCATTGCGATGAGGGAATCTTGGGATGAAGGTACATCGTAACAAAATAGCCGCAGATGCTGCAAATTTGGGAGGAATCCAACAGGAGCAAGGGCATGGAAGGTATCCTCAATGTCCCAAACGAACAAAATTTCCAAGGACACCAGAGTGTTCATGAATAAGAGTGACTCCCGGATGAAGATCTGATCGTTTGCGTTCGAGGAATGGAAGACTAATCTGGAAAGGGAGCACCGAGAACGACGGATGAAATTGTTCACAATCTGAACATCCCGCGTGTTTGCACCAAGGTTCGAGTCGACACGATCGACTGTGAGATTTTTTAAGGAAGGTAGGCACAGATGTGCAAGTACTCGCAGTGATGACAGAAAAAGGTACCGGACATTGGGAAGGTGAATGTTAAGAGGGAGGGAAATATCCTGGTCGTTTCTTGGATCGATCTCGAGATGGCATTCGACGAGAGACTGGTAAACTCCAAGGTTAGCAACATTGTTCGTACATGCTGCGAGATGTGTGATATGAGGAGGAAACATGAAACTCCCGAGACCGTGGGTACCGCATAAAGTCACGTTTTGAAGGCGAGGGGCTTCAGCGAAGATACTTCGAGTATCTTCAGGCAGGTCCGCTCTGTCGCTTTCAAGCATATCCAAAGTATCCAAAGTGCAAGATTCCAGACAAGGAATCTTTCCGCGAACCATCTTGAATAGCTCCAAAAAAACCGGGGAAGTACGTAGCCGCAAGGACCTCCACCGACATGACTCCTTGAGAATCATGTAAAAAACTTGAACGGCGATATCCTTATCGCCTTTACGATCAAGGTTGAATACTATGTCGAGAGGATGTTGTTTAGAAAGATGAATCATGGCTTTTAGTGCATCGATCGTATGACGAGGGGGACGCCGATGCTCCCCGGGCGGGTCCATTGTATAGGGAGGCGAAAAATCAAGTCTTATATGCGACCAGAGTTGGGGATAGGATAGAGCGATATCCCTCCAAGCACCGCATACACGACTGAGCACCCACGGACCTTGTGAAAAATCCAACGCCTCGCCATCTTTCTGTTTTGATTTGCCAGCTTTCTGCCACTGCGAGATTTGTATCTCGCGAAACACGGATCGAAGAACGTCGCTGGGAAGACGTCGGATGGGTGCTAGTGTCGATGCATACGCTGCCAATGACTTTTGAACTGCATCGCGGCGGCTTTGTACTCCCGATCTGATTTCATCGATGCGGTCTAACAATGTGTCGTATACCGAGACCTGTCGTTGGAGGACCTCGATATTAGGGAGTATCCAGTCATGGTCGGTGTCAAGGAAAGGTCGCGTGGCACGAAGAATACCAGAGACGTGAGAGTTTAGGTCCCCGGGTGGGAATACAGGCTCTGGTATGGAGCATGCCACTGCATCCAAGTGGAGCATTGCTTCTGTCGCACCTATGGTGTTTCTAATTCTTTTGTTTAGTTCTCTCTGTTGCATTGGGCGATATGGGACGTACTTGGATATTCCTGAAGCTGACATCGGTCGAGGAAGAAGACAAACATTGATAGGGCTGCGCACCGTCTGTAACCGAACCGTATACCGTAAAGTTCTAGTGCTGTCGGTGTCGGTCCGTACAATTCAAACGGCTGTCACAGTCGTATATACGGCCGTATTGGCCCTGGTGAGTTTGTCACTCATATATGTGCTGGTTCAGTGCTCAATATGTAATATATTAGTATAATAACCAAGCCGATATGCTCTGATCAAACCTCGACCAAGAAATCAATATGTTCGAGTGCTAGGAAAAGCGGTGAGAGACTCAACTATGGCGTCATAGGGTCCTGCAAGTGTGAATTCGAGTCGGAATGCTTTGAAAAGTCTAGAACATCAATTCATACAAAGGTCAGCCACCTTTCCTTGCATTGGAACGTAGATATGGAGCTCACAGAGATGCATGAAAGTCCGAAAGCACTGCCACACGAATTACGGCCGTCGACGGCCGTACAATACGGTATTTCCTGAAGAGTTCACGACTTCGGTGTGTATACTGTATACGGAAGCCGTCCAACCGTACAATGCGGTTACGGTGCGCAGCCCTAACGAACAAGAGGAAGACTGTCCACCGGCTTCGTCGGTCCGGGACCGTAAACAAACCATTTCAACGATCGGAGTTTGTGATCAATGCTTACCTTTGGACTACCTGTCACGTTGAACATGAATCTGGACCGAAGTGCATATACCATTCTGTCTTGCGGGAACATCGAGCAAACCGCAGATTTTCACAGTAAGTATTATTCCAGCCCTAGCGGTAGTTATACTTGGATGCCTTTACGCATTCCTGCCCTCCATTCTTCAGCAGTAAGCACGAGTGCTCTACGACCAATTACTACTTATCGAATTCGAAAGTGGGGGTACGTACTACCCACACAGAGCAATCTACACCTGTTGAATATGACACCATGTTCCCAGGACCGGCTCTTCAAAGACGTGCCCCCTGTGCGCGAGGATCTCCTCGATACATCTGCAAGTTGTGTCTTCAATTGAACGAATCCACGCAAATATAGCCAAGGTGGACGCCGCAATGAGACAACCTCGGGGAATATGACACATGGTGGGAGGGTAAGGGAAAATTGCTTGGTGTGTTAGGTTCCTATTGACATGGGCGGTTTCTGGTGATTGTTTTTTCAGCGGCGAACAAAACGAAGAACCGGACTGTTGACTTAGTTTGTCATTGAATCTTACTGAAGCATCGAACACAGATTAGATAAGGAGAGTCGACAGATAATCCTGTAAGGTTACTCTTTTCTTTCCAGCTTAGTCAAACCAAGACGATCTCCGTAGAAAGTAATCTAGGTTGGATGGAAAGGCGCCCTGTTTTCCGATTTAGGCGCATTTTTTTTCTTTGCTTTCATTAAGGAAACTGCTGAAATCAATCTAGATCATTAGGTTGCAAGATTCGTCCTAGATGACCTACAATTTTCTATCCCGCACAAAATGTTCATTAAATCTAGGCAAGAGCGCTGGGTAAGCACCTCCCATCAACAAAGATTGACGTAGTTACGCCTCTCCTTTACTTCAAGCTCACCATACAGGAAAGGCCATTCCGAATGGTCAGTATAAACATGGGGCAGCCACCGGCATCATTTTCTGAGGGCACGTTGCTCAACCATCTGGTCATCACGGCATCTTTCGGATGGATGCTTTCTCCCCGCTTTCTGGATCTATTTCTCCGATGAGGCGACTGGACGTCCACCCGCCCCTTCTCCCAAGATACCGCGGATCGGCGCCCATACAACACGTAATTTTGAGTGGAGACTCTGAGATGGGTGTTACTATCGTTAGTATGCTCAAGAGGAAAGAGGGAATGAATGTTGGTGACGTGTAGGGGTCAGATAAGATGGTATGAGAATATTATTTGCAGGTTTTTCTTCTTTGACACGTCAACTGTAGAGGCTAATCCACCCTTCTTCGTACGGGATGAGCCTGGGTCATCGTGTCTTCACTGGTCCAAGAGCGTGGTACTGGTTTGTTGCGTAGAAGGGTCAGTTCTGTCTATCTCGGGTATGAACCTGAGGCGAGTCACTGGGAACCAGGAAAATATGGGTGGAATGGTCAAGAGCATGAATTTTGTCAAGAATGGCACGTATAGGTTCATCAGTAGGCGCTAGGTGGAATAGGCGCACTCACTAAATCCATCTGGATACCAAATATTTGGAAATATCAGCTGTCCTTTCCGCGTAACTCAGTGCTCTTCTTCAAGAACAGGGATTTGGCCACGTGGTGAAACCTCACAAATAAAGCACCCAGTCGCACCCTTTCCCCTGACACCCTTAGCTCACTACGAGCTCTTCCAGTTCCATCCCTTGGCATGCGGTGTTCGTAGTATTTATAACAGTGATATATACAAGTATGACTTCAATGAAGTATGCATACCCTTAGGAAGCGATGTGCGTTGGGATTCTGTGCAGTCATCCATAGGAACGAACGCGGCGCAGCATAAAACGTTAACTTGCACTGAAACGAAATTAGGATAATTGCAGTAATTGGAGATCCCTGAGTAAAGGGAGGACGCACTGCAGAAAAACCTCACTGATCGACTGCAACGCCGAAATCAGACTGATTGAATTTTCTGAACTGCATTCCGGAGGTTTCTTGGCCCCGCCTATCCAGGGCAGCAATAAAGCGTTGTCCGGGTTGCTGCAGCAGGTGCGATATGTCGATTGAAGCTCTCTACATTCTCAGACATGGAACAGTAAATTTCGACCGAATGAAGATCCCCGGTACGCGAAGACATCATAGCGACAAGGGAATCCTGGGATGAAGACCCGGTTAGTATACCAAAACAAAATAGCCGTAGATGCTGCAAATTCGGGAGGAATCCAACAGGAGCAAGGGCATTGAAGGTAGCCTCAATATCCCAAAGGAACAAATTTTCCAAGAACACCAGAGTGTCCATGAATAAGAGTGACTCCCGGATGAAGATCTGATTGTCTCCATTTGAAGAATGGAAGACTAATCTGGAAAGGCAGCACCGCGAACGTCGGATGAAATCGTTCACGATCTGAACATCACGGGTGTTTGCACCAGGGTCCGAGTTGATACGATCGACTGTGAGATTATTCAAGGAAGGTAGGGACAGATGCACCAGTACTCGCAGTGATGACACAAAAAAGCACTGTACATCGGAAAGGGAAATGTTAAGAGGAGGGGAGATATCCTGATCATTTGGTTGATGTACCATGAGATGACATTCAACAAGAGACCGATAAATTCCAAAGTTAGAAAATTTCCTCGTGTATGCGGCGAGATGAGTGATATGAGGAGGAAATATGAAATCCCCAACCCAATAGGCGCCGCGCAAAATCACCCTTTGAAGACGAGGAGCTTCAGCGAAGATACTTCAGACACGTTTGCTCTGTCGATTCCAGACATATCTAAAGCGGTCAAAGTGAAAGACTCCAGAGAAGGAATCTTTCCACGAACCACCTTCAACCACTCCAACAACCTCAAGAATGTACAGAGCTGCAAGGTTTTCCACCAATATGACTCCTTGGCAATCACGGAAAGAGCTTCAACGGCCATATCTCCATCACCATCAGGATCGAGTTTGAACACTATGTCGAGAGGATGCTGTTCCGAACGATGAATTATGGCTTTTAGTGCGTCGATCGTATGACGAGGGGAGGAATGGCGGTCGGGCATGTCCATTAAATGAAGGGACCGAAAGTGAACTACAATGTGCGACCAGAGTGGGGATATGATAGAAAAATGTCTCTCCAAGCACAACATACACGACTAAGCACCCACGGAGCCTGTGAAAAATCCAACACCTCGCCATCTTTCTGTTTTGCTTTTCCAGCGTTCTGCCACTGTGAGATATGCATCTTGCGAAACACAGATTGAAGAACATCGCTGGGAAGACGTCAGATGGGTGCTAGCGTCGACGCATACACTGCCAATGACCTCTGAACTTCATCGAGATGGCTTTGCACCTTTGATCTGATTTCATCGATGCGGTCTAACAAGGTGTCGTATACCGAGATCTGTTGTTGGAGATCCTCGATATTAGAGGATATCCAGTCAAGGTCGATATCAAGGAAAGATCGTGTAGCACGAAGAAGCTCAGAGACACGAGAGTTTAGATCCTCGGGTGGGAATAAAGGCAATGGTATGGAATGTGCCACTCCATCCAAGTGAAACATCACATCTGTCGCGTCCATGGTGTCTCTAATACATGTGTATCAGTCCTCTCCAAAATCTCGCAAAGTAGAACTTACTTAGATATTCCTGAACCTGACATCTCGAGGTGGAAGATCAAAGAAAGCTCTGTCCACCGGCATCGCCGGACCGTAAACGAGCCAAAAGTTCAGTCGGAGACTCGGAGTTTGTGATCATTGAATGTTTCCGTTCGAACTACCTGCTGCACAGTTGATTCGGGTTGAACATAAAGTAAATCAGGAAATTTTTCGTATATTATTCCATCTTGCGATGCCGGATACCATTTCTCACTCAAACCATAGCTCTAAGCCGGAAGTTGGAACCTGTTGGAACACCCAATTATTACAAATTTGAGAAAATGGTCTACAGACTATCCAACGGAACAAATATGACTTCACGTTCTCAGGACCGCCTCTTCGAAAGTGATACATCGGCCTGTGATGAATCTGAGTGGACGCTGCGATCCTCCCTCAAGGAAAGTGAGCAGGAGCAGATACTGACAAAAGGACGTGGTTTTTTAGATATGATTAGGGAGATGGTGCTCAGCGGAGAGCAAAATGAAGAGCCGGATTGTTGACGTTTGGGCAAGTCTGAGTATTATTCTTCAACCCATCTGTTCATTCAGTATGAACTCACCAATCGAAATAGTGTGAAAGCTAGGAATGTTCTGATGCGAACAACCCTCAATCTCTTCTCCCCGTTGTCAAGTTTAACGTTCCCTACACAAATACGTACACTGACCGACAAAAATAAAGAAACATATGGTTTTTTTGATCGGAGTCGCAATAGCTCCTCAACACTGCGATATTTTTTTGGACTTCCAGTGAGTGTAATGTAGCTTGATATCTGTAGTTTAATATTATGAAAAGAATGAGGCAAAAATACCAGTCAGTGAGCAAAGTAAGAGGGCTGCGAAACCACATGCCAATTTTGATGATGTAATGGCATCACATCAATGTCGGAACCAACTTGAATCTGAACCACCACCTGGGCCGATTGCATTGAAATTCCTATCATGTATTCACCTCCTCCTCGCAAACCAAATGTGCCTATTACCCCTACGAAAGCAGCCCGTATTTGCACTCTCCTCAATGAAGGCCACACCTGCACTGAAATCAGCAATGTCATTGGATGTTCACGCTCTACTGTCTGCAAAACTGGCCACAAATATGAAGGGAAGGAGAACTACTATGCTCGGATCGAAGGGCAAGGCTGCCTGCACAAGATGGACGATGCAGATATTAAATTTGCCATGCAAAAAATCCGTAGTCACGACTGCCGGACAGCGGTCGACATTCAACAGGAGTATTTCGACCATCTTTCAGAGCGCACTGTGCAGCGCAGGCTTTCAGATGAGGGCCTGAAGGGTTACAAGAGGTGGAAGGTACCAATGCTCACAAAGGCTCATGTTAGAAAGCGAAGGGTGTGGGCAGAGGCACATGCAGAATGGGGAGCAGAAAAATGGGGTACTGTGCTCTACTCAGATGAGTCCAAATTCAACTTCTTTGGGTTGGACGGAGTGCAGTGGTGTCATAGGGGTCCTGGTGAGGCACTAGATGTGCATAACGTGTTGCCCTGGTTGAAGCATGGAGGTGGGGGGGTGATGGTCTGGGGATGCATGATGAGTTTGGGCTTCGGACAGCTGATTTTGGTGGAAGGCACTATGAATGCTGTCCAGTACTGCCAGATACTTAATGAAGGACTTCTCGGCACCCTCCAGGACTATGAATTCTCAGTCGACGATGTCCTTTTTCAGCAGGATAATGACCCCAAGCACACAGCTCAGCTTACGAAAAAGTGGCTCACCGACCAAAACATCTCTGTAATGGACTGGCCACCAAACAGCCCCAACCAAAGCATCATAGAGAATGCTTGGGCTACTCTCGAACATCATCTGAACAACAGACCACGTCACCCGACAACGACTGCCACATTATTTGCCATTCTGCAGGAGGAGTGGGCTGCACTTGAAAAAGAGTATTGCAATGCGTTATATGGTAGTATCCCATCATGGGTGAGGTCCTTGATATTGGCAAAGGGCAGGCATACTAGATATTAGGTTGTTGGACTTTTCATCAGGTCAATTATCTTGTTTTCTCATTTTACTTACACTGCTAAAAATGACACTCTTGGCTAACATATTTATATCTCATCATTTTTTTCATGTATGTACCTCATTCTTTTTCTAACAATAAACTACATCAATTAAGCTACATTTCTCTCACTGAAAGTCTGAAAAAATATTGCAGCATTGAGGAGCTATTGTGACTCCAATCAAAAAAACCACGTGTTTCTTTATTTTTGTCGGTCAGTGTATATCTGAATTAGAAAAGTGACAAAGGACACAAGAGATCTGTGGGACGGTAGATGTCAATGGCTGTAGTTCTGCAAAGACCACTCAGGACTGAAGCCACGCTGCCTCCAAACGGGCGGTGCTATCGGGCGTTAACATATCCAAATTAATCCCACCATGCTCGCAGCTAACTAGGAGGTCTATTGCAGCAATTGGAGATCTCTGAGTAAAGAAGGACGTACTGTAGAGAAAAATTCACTAGTCAACTGTAGCATCTAAATCACACTGACTGAATTTTCCGAACTGCATTCCAGAAGTTTCGTCGTATAGTCCTTTCGGTTTAGCAATAAAGTGTTGTCCAGGTTGCTGCAGTGGTGTGAGGTATCGATTGAAGGTCTCTGCATTCTCAGGCCTGGAACAGTAAATTTTGACCGAACGAAGATTTTCCCTATGCAAAGAGATCATAGCGACAAGGGAATCTTGGGATGAAGACCCGGATATACCAAAACAAAATAACTGTAGATGCTGCAAATTCGGGAGGAATCCAATAGGAGCAAGAGCATCGAAGGTATCCTCAGAGCCCCAAAGGAACAAAATGTCCAAGGACACCAGAGTGTCCATGAATAAGAGTGACTCTCAGACGAAGATCTGATCGTCTGCGTTCGAAGAATGGAAGACTAATCTGGAAGGGAGCACCGCGAACGTCGGATGAAATCATTCACGATCTGAACATCGCGCGTGTTTGCATCAGGGTCCAAGTTGATACGATTGACTCTGAGATTATTCAAGGAAGGTAGACACAGATGTGCCAGTACTCGCAGTGATGACACAAAAAGGCACCGGACATTGGGAAGGTAGATGTTAAGAGGAAGGGAGACATCCTGATCGTCTGTTTGATGTACCCTGAGATGGCATTCTACGAGAGACCGATAAATTCCAAGGTTAGAAAAATTCCTCGCATATGCGGCGAGATGAGTGATATGAGGAGGAAATATGAAATCCCCGACACAGTAGGCGCCGCGTAAAATCACCCTTTGAAGGCGAGGGGCATCAGCGAAGATACATTGAGTATCTTCAGGCAGGTCTGCTCTGTCGCTTCTTGACATATCTAAAGCGTCCAAAGTGAAAGATTCTAGACAAGGAATCTTTTCGCGAACCACCTTCAACCGCTCCAACAATCCCAAGAATGTACAGAGCTCCAAGGTCCTCCACCGATATGACTCCTTGGCAATCACGGAAAGAGCTTCAACGGCCATATCTTCATCGCCACCAGGGCCAAGTTTGAACACTATTTCGAGAGGATACCGTTCCGAATGATGGATCGCGACTTTTAGTGCGTCGATCGTATGACCGTGACGAGGGGGAAACCGACGTTCGCCAGACAGGCCCATTGTACGAGGAAGCGGAAAGTCAAGTATTATATGCGACCAGAGTTGGGGATAGGATAGAACAATATCCCTCCAAGCACCGCATATACCACTGAGCACCCACGGAGCCTGTGAAAAATCCAACACCTCGCCATCTTTCTGTTTTGCTTTTCCAGCGTTCTGCCACTGCGAGATTTGTATCTCGCGAAAAACGGATCGAAGAACATCGCTGGGAAGACGTCGGATGGGTGCTAGCGTTGACGCATACACCGCCAATGACTTCTGAACTGCATCATGATGGCTTTGCACTTTTGATCTGATTTCATCGATGCGGTCTAGCAACGTGTCATATACTGAGACCTGTTGTTGGAGGACCTCAATATTGGGGAATATCCAGTCAAGGTCGGTATCAAAAAAAGGTCGTGTAGCACGAAGAAGTCCAGAGACGTGAGAGTTTAGATCCTTGTGTGGGAATACAGGCTCCGGTATGGAACGTGCAACTGCATCCAAATGGAACGTTGCATCCGTAGCGTCCATGGTGTCTCTAATTCAGTCATGTTAATCCTCTTTATTACACTAAATAAGGTGGAGCGTACTAGGATATTCCTGTGTTGGAGTTATTGCAGTGGGAGGCTTGCAGTAGGTATAATACTGAATTGTTAGCTACTAGAGCTCCTAATGAGCTCCTTATATACTACACAAAGTATCTAGAATATTCTACCAAAAGTACTAAATATATCTAAGTATCGTGACAAATGAGTAAGCCGAAGCTTCGGGAATCTTCTAGTACAAGCTTGAAGTTGCAAATCCCAACATCCTGAAGTTGACACTGTCCGTCACTCGAGGTAGAAGATGATGACTGGAAGACTTGATTGATTGGCTGGCCATCTTCGCTTATACAGCTAAGGTAAATAGCGGCAAACCACTCCTTCCGACCTCGACCGCTCCGAGTCATTGTGCGAAGTCAATCCACCGGTGTAGCCGGACCGTAAACGAATCACCTCAGTCGCGGAGTTTGCCGTAGTGATTGTAATGCTAGCGCTTAACCTTCGAACAAAGTACATCTTCAATACAATTGCCAGCTTTATTTATTAATATTTTGAGCAGCGAAGTTGATGACAGCTACGAGAAAAATGAGGGTTGACGGACGTGAAGCCGGGCAAGTCCGAGTTGTAACTTGTCCAATCCTCAGTCGCTGGGGACATCTCATGGCAGATTGTACGTATGTAAGTACAAATAAGTGGCTGTGCTCATTCCACAGTCCTCCTCCTCTCGCATCTGCCAGCACCAAACAAATACAACTTAGCCATGCAGCAAGACTCAGTAATCAGCCGTTTACCATCTCGACTCTATCGCACCTGCAACGCTAACTTCAAGAAGTCGCCTCGCACGGGTCGAACCTGGACAGTTAACATATCCAACTTGATCCCACCGCGGTCGCAGCTGAGTAGAAGACCTATCTTAGAAATTGGAGATCTCTGAATAAAGGAGGACGTACTGTAGAGAAAAGGTCACTGGTCAACCGGAACATCTAAATCGGACTGGCTGAATTTTCCGAATTGCATTCCAGAAGTTTCGTCATGTAGTTCTCTTAGTGTAGCAATAAAGTGTTGTCCAGGTTGCTGCAGTGGTGTGAGATATCGATTGAAGCTCTTCACGTGCTCAGGCTTGTCACAATAAAATTGGACCGAACGGAGATTTTCGCTACGCGAAGAGATCATAGCAATGAGGGATTCTTGCGATGAAGGTATATCGAAACAAAATAGCCGTAGATGCTGCAAATTTGGGAGGAATCCAACGGGAGCGAGGGCATGGAAGGTATCCTCAATGTCCCAAAAGAACGAAATCTCCAAGAACACCAGAGTGTTCATGAATAAGAGTGACTCCCGGATAAAGATCTGATCGTCTATGTTCGAATCGGAATGGAAGACTAACTTGGAAAGGGAGCACCGTGAACGTCGGATGAAATCGTTCACAATCCAAACATCCCGCGTGTTTGCACCGCGGTCCGAGTCGACACGATCGACTGTGAGATTTTTTAAGGAAGGTAGGCACAGATGTGCAAGTACTCGCAGTGATGACAGAAAAAGGTACCGGACATTGGGAAGGTGAATGTTAAGAGGGAGGGAAATATCCTGGTCGTTTCTCGGATCAGTCTCGAGATGGCATTCGACGAGAGACTGGTAAACTCCAAGGTTAGCAACATTGTTCGTACATGCTGCGAGATGAGTGATATGAGGAGAAAACATGAAACTCCCGAGACCGTGGGTGCCGCATAAAGTCACGTTTTGAAGGCGAGGGGCTTCAGCGAAGATACTTCGAGTATCTTCAGGCAGGTCCGCTCTGTCGCTATCAAGCATATCCAAAGTATCCAAATTGCAAGATTCCAGACAAGGAATCTGTCCGCGAACCACCTTGAATAGCTCCAAAAAATCCGAGGAAGCACGTAGCCGCAAGGACCTCCATCGACAAGACTCCTTGAGAATCATGTAAAAAACTTGAACAGCGATATCCTTATCGCCTTTACGATCAAGGTTGAGTACTATGTCGAGAGGATGTTGTTTAGAAAGATGAATCATGGCTTTTAGTGCATCGATCGTATGACGAGGGGGACGCCGATGCTCCCCGGGCGGGTCCATTGTATGGGGAGGCGAAAAATCAAGTCTTATATGCGACCAGAGTTGGGGATAGGATAGAGCGATATCCCTCCAAGCACCGCATACATGACTGAGCGCCCACGGACCCTGTGAAAAATCCAACGCCTCGCCATCTTTCTGTTTCACTTTGCCAGCTTTCTGCCACTGCGAGATTTGTATCTCGCAAAACACGGACCGAAGAATGTCGTTGGGAAGACGTCGGATGGGCGCTAGCGTCGACGCATACGCTGCTAACGGCTTCTTAACTGCATCGCGACGGCTTTGTACTCCCGATCTGATTTCATCGATGCGGTCTAGCAAGGTGTCGTATACTGAGACCTGCTGTTGGAGGACCTCGATATTAGGGAGTATCCAGTCATGGTCGGTGTCAAGGAAAGGTCGCCTGGCACGAAGAATACCGGAGACACGAGAGTTCAGATCCCCGAGTGGGAATACAGGCTCTGTTATGGAGCGTGACACTGCATCCAAGTAGAGCATTGCATCTGTCGCATCTATGGTGTTTCTAATCCTTTTTGTTTAGTTCTCTCTATTGCATTGGACAATATGAGACGTACTTGGATATTCCTGAAGCCGACATCGGTCGAGGTAGAGGATGAACAACTTGTGATAGAGTGTTTTCACCTACAAACAAGGAGGAACTGTCCACCGGCGTCGTCGGACCATAACTTGAAACGAACCATTTCCGTCGGAGTCGGAGTTTGTGATTAATGTTTACCTTTGGACTACCCCGTCGCGTTGAAGATGAATCTGGAAACAAGTTGTTCGGTCCTCAACAGGCTCTTGTATGGAACGTGCATCTGTCGCATCTATGGTGTTTCTAAGTCTTTTGTTTAGTTTTTTCTGTTGCATTGAGCGATATGGGACGTACTGGGATATTCCTGAAGCTGACAACTGTCGAGGAAGAAGAGAGACTGTCCACCTAGACCTGTAACTGATCGCCTTGAATGGGAGGCAAGCTCACGATCGTTACAGGCGTCGCCGGTCGGACCGTTCATGAATCAATGCAGCTGCTTACCTTTGTGCGACTACTCTCAGTTTCTTCTCCCTGAACTTCAATTCACGGTGTATTCCATAGAGAAAGCTCACAGAAATCATGCAGCCCAAGAGGCATGAGAACCTACACTTGGCCCTTGCGGTCCACAAAGAGAGAAAGCAAAAAAAAAACCTTAAGGATTCCGGCACACGACCTCCATCACAACGAAATTCTTGACAAGACCTGGCTGTAATACAGGATAGCCCCAAGAACTTGGTGGGGACTTATATATATATCACTGTTACGCTGTGGAACGTGATACGATAATCGCTCGCAGAAAAATCATAAATAAATGGAGAAGTGTTGCGCCACGTGGTTTGGCCGCTAACCCTCCGCGGCCCCTAATCAGATCCATCACCCATACCCTTTACTACTTTTTAGATTGCTCGATGGCCGACGTAAGCGACCCCACCATAGCCCAAGGTATGCTTTGCCGTTCATCGTAACCAAATGCTCACTTCACTGGTTCCAGCGTACGAAGACGTTCGGTCAGACAAGTCGGAAACGACGTGGTTGCTACTCGACTACGAGGTGCGTTGGGGGGGAAGGGCACACGACACCGCTGCTAACCATGCCCCCTAGTCCGACCGCTCCGACCGCCTAGTCCTTACGTCGAGCGGGACGGGAAACCCGCTGGATGAGCTGAAGGATAACCTGGACGAGTCCAAGGCGTCGTTTGCGTATGGGCGGGTGTCGTATGCGAATGATAAGGAGAGTACGAGGGAGAAGTTTATCTTGGTGGTGTGGATAGGGCCGCAGTGCAAGGTTATGCGAAAGGCCAAGGTGAGTTGGTTAAGTGGTGGTCGTTGTTAGGCGCTGGTGCTGATGGATGTGGGTGGTAGATCTCGGTGCACTCTGCGGACGTGAAGAACGTGTTGAGGGTATTTTCGATTGAGGTTGCTGCTCGTGAGAAGGGTGACCTTGAGGAGGAGCCTATCGTCAAGCGGTTGAGAAAGGTTCGTAGTGTTTACTTGGATTGGGGTTTATGCTAATAGTTGTAGGCCGGCGGTGCGAGTTACGATGGTGTATAATTCTCGCTTATACTTGTTTGTTTGTTTATAATACCCATTTAATCTACGGCCCCAGCGTCCTCAGTCTGCGGATACTCTCGTCACCTTCGAGGCGCATACCAACCCATTCTTCCATCCGAGTTGCCCCGAGCGTGTTTTCGTAAAATGCGATGGACGGCGCGTTCCACTGAGAGTATGTTAGTTGCCGTCGGGATAGAACGGGGATACACGCACCTTGAGCACGGACCAATCGATGCGACCGCAGTTCTACAGACTGTAAGCAAGGAACGTCTTGGTACATGCATCATACCTTTTCTTCCGCGATCTCTCCGAGTTTGGTGAAGAGTGCTTTGCCGACGCCTAGGTTCCTGTGTTCAGGCGATACGTACAGATCCTCTAGCTAGCAGCAAGTGAGAGATAGACTTGCAAGCATAGACTAGGGACGCACGTAGATCCCGGGTCTTCCGATCCACGTAGAGAAATTATAAAAGTAGAGAGCGAATCCTACAGGCGTCCCATCGTCGAAATTAGCCATCAAGACATGAGCAGTAGGCTGGTCACTGAACAGTGCAGTGTGCAACTAGAAGCCAAATCAATAATCAAGCTCGACAAACAGGACGCCATCGAAACTCACCAGTTCGGGCGTAGCCTTCGCACTCTCCGGTGTCTTCTCATACGTCGCCAAGTCAAGTATAAACTGCAGAATCGCAGGGATATCCTCAGGAACCGCAGGTCGAACACTGAACTTGGCCATGAGAAAGTCAAGGAGTCCTTATTGTATGCACCTATTTACCCAAACCTTATTTCGTCTCCCTTCCTCCCAATCTTTTTCGTTACGCCCTCCCCCGCCCACCGATGGATCCAGCAAAATTGGCAAAGCTCCAGGCTGCCGCAGCAGCGAATAGGATAGGTCTGCACTGATGGTTTTTTTGTGTGAGAAAAAAAATCAATTGACTTGACTGGAATAGGTGGAAAGGGCACCGTGCGCCGTAAAGTCGTCCGGAAAGGCAAACCCGCTGCGGCCCAAGACGACAAGAAACTCCAGGGTGCGCTCAAGAAACTCAATGTGCAGCCCATTTCGGGTGTGGAGGAGGTTAATATGTTCAGGGAGGATGGGAATGTTTTGCATTTCACCGCTCCGAAAGGTGTGTGTTTGTTGGGGCCATGACCAAGTTTCTTTCCTGACGCCGGCACACAAGTACACGCTGCGGTCTCTGCCAATACGTTCGCCATCTACGGTGCAGGCCACGTAAAGGAGCTGACAGAGCTCGTTCCCGGTATACTCAACCAGCTTGGCCCAGGTACGCTTGCATCCCTACTTCCTTCCTCTACCCCCAACTCACAGCCCACCAGACTCCCTGGCCTCCCTCCGAAAACTCGCAGAATCATACCAAGCCATCCAACAACAACGTCCCGGCCAACCCGCAGAAGAGGACGACGACGACGACGTCCCAGATTTGGTGGAAAACTTTGATGACGCTGCAAAGTTGGATTAGTTTTACCGTCGATGTATTAAAAAAGAACCATTCTGCTTGCTTGCTTGCTATGAATTTCTTTGCACTGCATTTACGTGGTGGGATGAAGCCGGATTATATCCTAACGCGCGATGGGCAAGTGGTTCATTCTCCTTTGCGATTTCTACTTTTTTGCAAAACAGATCTGGTTTATGGCCGTTAGCCTCGATTCAGATTCTACGTGCCTACAGATTTCTTGTGCTCTTCTACATGTACTGATTTTGATAAAAAGGACGCGAGTTCCACACTGAATGAGATGAGTCGAACTTTGAATAGCGTCCCCAATGTTCATGCGACCAGGGCCGAGAACTCCGGGACAAGAATTCGCTTCATTGTTCACGGAACTCTGTCCAAGTATAATTAATCGTTCATCCACGGATGCGACTCCGAGACCATAGATTAACGGCTTCCCCCCAACTCCAGCCCAGCTCCTCATTCTGCTCGCTGTTGAGATACCATCACCATCGAATCAATCGCGACTCTGGCGAACTTGGCCTTTATATCTGCTCCATGCTCGCGTTTGGACACGGTGTACCATGGAAAAACTTTTCCAGTGCCACTGTACAAAATATCAGAGGAAAAAAAAAGTTACCAATCGTATTGAAGACCGTTCCGCTCATTATTCCTCGGGTATACTTGTCATCGCCCTGGGCTTGATGCATACCTAGATAATCATGAACGTCTAGAGGTAGGATTTAAGTCTGTATGAGGCCTACCGACGGGGACTCGTCCATATCATTGGAAGAGTTTTGCACCGGTGATACTTCTCACGATGGCATTGGGCAATTGGGTGATCCTCAACAGCTGGATGGATCCAGGGCTTTCACAGCGGGAGGCCATAGAGTACACGATTCCGAACCAGTGGGAAATTTTTGGTAAGGAGCACGTCAACTCGAGATGGATCAATGTGAGGGACCACAGCAGGTTCACTGCAAACCCAACTACTTGGCGCAAGTGGTTTCACGGTCTTGTCGAGTACTGTGCTGAAGAAATGTACTGGCATCCAAGTATGACATTGTATAATATACCTGCCACCACTGGTAGAGCTGGCGTAGTGTAAAAATCTATCGTTTGCTCGCGATCAATAAGTTAAACTTCCAGCGAGATAGAATAATATACACAGCAATTTCCAGATTAATGTTCAATGTGAGCAGTTAGTAGTAGTACGAAGGTAAGCGTTGATCTTGAACTCCGACCTGGTTTGTTTACGGGCCGGCGACCCCGGCTCTTGATGCATCTGATGGTCTTCTGCTTCGACGGATGTCAGCTTCAGGAATATCCAAGTACGTCCCATATTGCCCAATGCAACAAAAGCTAAACAAAAGAATTAGAAACACCATAGATGCGACAGATGCAATGCTCCACTTGGATGCAGTGACACATTCCGTACCAGAGCCTGTATTCCCACACAAGGATCTAAATTCTCGCGTCTCTGGGCTTCTTCGTGCTACACGACCCTTGCTTGATACCGACAATGACTGGATAATCCCCAATATCGAGGATCTCCAACAGCAGGTATCGGTATATGACACCTTGCTAGACCGTATCGATGAAATCAGATCTAAGGTGCAAAGCCATCGCGATGCAGTTCAGAAGTCATTGGCGGACTATGCGTCGACGCTAGCACCCATCCGACGTCTTCCCAACGATGTTCTTCGATCTTTGTTTCGCGAGATACAGGTCTCAGAATGGCGGAACACAGGCACACCAGGGGCCGGATGGCACGGGATGGTAGATTTCTCACAGGGTCCTTGGACACTCAGTCATGTATGCGGTGCTTGGAGGGATATAGTTTTATCCTATCCCCAACTCTGGTCGCATATTGTACTTTGTTTTGTGACCCCTCGTTTAAAGGGCATGTCTGAGCGGCGTTCCTCCCCTCGTCATATGGCCGACGCACTAAAAGCCATGATTCATCGTTCGGAACAGCATCCTCTCGACATAGTGTTCTTAGATTTCCGAAGCGATATTGATGAGGATACGCCCGTCCAAGCACTCTCCGTGATTGCCCAGAAGTCATATCGGTGGAGGACCTTGCAGCTCTGTGCATTCTTGATAGTATTGTTGGAGCGGTTGAAGGTGGTTCGCGGGAAGATCCCTTGTCTGGAATCTTTGACAATGGATACTTCGCGTAGACCACAATTGCACAGAGCGGACCTCCATGAAGATACCCGAAGTATCTTCGTTGACGCTCCTCGCCTTCAAAGGGTGACTTTACGCGGTACCCGTGGTCTCGGGGATTTCGTGTTTCCTCCTCATATCACTCAACTCGCGGCATGTATCACCAGTGTTTCTAATCTTGGAGTTTATCAGTCTCTTATCGAACTCCATCTCGAGCTCAGTCAAAGAGACAATAAGGATATCTCCCTTCCTCTTAACATTCACCTTCCCAATGTCCGGTGCCTTTATACATCGCTGCGAATACTGGCACATCTGTGCCTACCTTCCTTAAATGATTTCAGTCTTTAGCATGAATCGTAGCAACTCGGACCATGGTGCAAGCACCCACAATGTTCAGATTGTGAACGATTTCATCCGACGTTCGCGATGCTCCCTTTCTAGATTATCCTTCCATTCTTCAAACGCAGATGATCACAACGTTATTCGGGAGTCACTCTTATTCATGGACACTCTTGTGTCCTTGCAAATTGGGGGCCTTTGGAACATTGATGTTATCTTCGATGTCCTTGCTTCTGTTGGATTCCTCCCGAATTTGCAGCATCTACGGCTATTTTGCATTGGTATATCCGGGTCTTCATCCCTAGATTCCCTTGTCGCTATGATCTCTTCGCGGAGCAAGCATCTTCGTTCGGTCAAAATTCAATGTGGCAGGCCTGAGGATGTGGAGACCTTCAATCGATATCTCACAGCACTGCAGCAACCTGGACAACACTTTATTGCTACAGAAAGACTAAAAGACGGAATTTCTGGAACCCAGTTCGGAAATTTCAATCGGTCCGATTTAGATGTTCTGGTTGACCACTGGCGGTGACTTTTCTCTGTAGTACGTCCTCCTTTATTCAGAGATCTCCAATTGTTGAGATGGGTCTTCTAGCCAGCTACGAGCACGGTGGGATTAATTTGGGTATGTTAATGCGCGATAGCACCGCCTGTTTCAAGGAGGCAGCATGGCTTCAGTACTGAATGGTCTTTGCAGAGCTATAACTGTTGACATCTACCGACCCACGTATCTCTTTGTGTCCTTTTCCCCCCTCCTAATTCAGATAGAAAGGATATATTTATTTGTGTAGGGAACGTTTCAGATTATACGCACCTACAGATTTTTTGTGCCCTTCTACATGTGCTAATCTTGATAACAAGGACATACGTATGGGTATAAGGAACGTTGAGCTTGGCAATAATAGTAGGTAGTGGCAGACTAAGAAATCGCGTAGTACATATTCATTGTGGGGAATGTGACCGTCTCGACATTCTAGTAGAGAAGAAGCATATGCTGAGTTGGTCACTAACCCACTGATGCCATTCGGATCCGGAGGCGCTGTGGGAGACGCCCTAGCCTAGTGCTCGTACGACCAAGGAATATTGAATCGTGAAAGTGCGCTACCACGACACATAATGTATCCCGGACAATAATCCACCTCCGAGTCAATAGCCCGCGGAACCCTCGTTTAATAGACGAACCCCAGATATGTCAGGGCCATGGTGCACGCTAATGTAAAGAGACGATAACATTTCAGAATACAACGCCACCGGTCCGGTCCCTCGCCAAGGCTGAAAAACCCCAAACAAGCAGTGATCAGAAAACCGAGAGGAGTTACGTATGGCTTGAAGGATTGGGAAACAGTTCCCTTTGAAGAGGCGAAGAGGCTGGATGGATGTGCTGGGGCGCTGGTTCACCACTAACGTGTGGATGCCGCATCGACACCGTGTTGGAGATTGGAGGGCAAGTTTTGTGTGGAATATCCGTGCAAATATACGGTTAGGCAAAGATGGAAAAACGTACACCCTTGGTTTCTAGATTTAGCGGAAATGTAAGCATAGATCACACAAACTCCCAACCCAGCAAAACAGTTTGTGGCGAATGAAGAAGCGGAGAATACAGAAAGAAAGGAAAGAAGGAAGCCTGAAACACGGTTGGTTCGCGACAGCAAACGGGATCTCCGGAGCCTTCATGAAAAGCGGTCGAGAATGCTACACAGGACATGGCTATATATCTCTTAGTTTGTACGTTGAGACAGCCATACCAACGGGAAGATCATTGTAATGAAATTATTCACCCAGAATGCGAATTGCAGGTCGACGGAAAGGGGCGATAGTAAAATTTCCAACTACAAAGGCGCTCGTCCATCAAACGGCCCGTCCAGTTGGAAGTGAAAGGCCACCTTCAATCTCAATGATCAGAAAACCGCAGATATTGGTGCTTGTTCATTATCCGTTCACTTTTCGTCGTATTATGGCTTCGTTCACCTAGACGTCGAGAGGTGGGATGTGAGCCTGCCAGATGAGTCTTACCAGAACTGGAGGCTTATTCTCACAAGGGCGGTCTTGTGAATTATGGCCACATCAGAATACGTCACGCGCTCAACAGAAAGGTTTCTCAGGTCTGGTCTACTTGTCCTGAAGAACAGAAGCCAGGGCTGAAATGCATCCACGTATAACATTGTAATATATCACCACGCGTAGTGTGAAAATCTACGGGTTGCTCAATATGTTAACCTTTCTACAAGATAGAATGATATACGCACTATTTTTATATTCATGTTCAACGTGCAACAGGTAGTTCAAAGATAAGCATTGATCACAAACTCCGATTGAAGTTCGTTTACCCGGTCCGGTGACGCCGGTGACCTTCACCTACCTCGAGTGGCCGCACGGACGTCAACTTCGGGAATATCCAAGTACGTTCCATTTTGCTTAATGTAACGGAGAGAACTAATACAAAAGAATCAGAGAAACCATGGATGCGACAGATGCAATGCTTCACTTGGATGCCGTGGCACGTTCCATACCAGAGCCTGTATTCCCACCCGACGACTTAAATTCTCAGCTCTCCGGTATTCTTCGCGCAACAAGACCTTTCTATGATACCGATCGTGAATTAATTAGCCCTGATATCGCTGTCCTCCAACAAGTCTCGATATACGACACGCTGCTAGACCGCATCGATGTAATCAGATCAGAGGTGCAAAGCCGTCGCGATGCAGTCTATATGTCAATGGCGTCGTGTTCATCAGCACTAGCGCCCATCCGACGTCTTCCCAGCGATGTTCTTCGATCTGTGTTTCGCGAGATACAGATCTCGCAGTGGTGGAACGAGGCTAGCACACGCGAGGTGGATCACCTCCAACCGTTAATTTTTTCACAGGGTCCGTGGACACTCAGTCACGTATGTGGCGCTTGGAGGGATGTGGTTTTATCTTATCCCCAACTCTGGTCACATATAGTGCTTCACTTTCCGTTTTTCCCCCCAGAGCGCCTTCCTCATTATGCTCCGCCGGTCCACCATATAACACTCGCCTCAAAACCATGATTCTTCGTTCGGAACAGTGTCCTCTTGATATAGCTTTTGAACTTGTTCATCATAACTACAATGAGGATATGGCTGCTCAAGCTCTTTCCGTGATCGTTGAGGTGTCCCACCGGTGGAAGACCTTGCTTCTACATGCTTCCTTGCCTTTGTTGGATTTGTTGAAGCCAGCTCGAGGAAAGATCCCTCGTCTGGAATCCTTGGCTTTGAACGCTTTGGTACGAAATATGGATAGATGGGACCCAATGCCAGAAGATACTCGAAGTGTCTTCGTTGACGCCCCTCGCCTTGAAACGGTGGCTCTACAAGACAGTCACGATCTCGGCAATTTCAAATTCCCTCTCCATATTACCCATCTGGCAGGATGTGCGGACAGTGTTCCTAATCTTGAAATTTATCAGTCTCTCGTAGAATGTCACCTCGAGGGGAGGGAAATATTTGGCAATATTTATCAAGTTGGGGATGATATCTCCCTCCGTCAGGCTCCGATTCACGTTTTTCTCCCCAATGTTCGACGCCTTTTTCTATCATCAATGCAACTACTGGCGCATCTGTGCCTACCCTCCTTAGAAGACCTCACATTCAAGTTCGATCGTCGTGACGCACCTGATATACCCTTGATCATGAAAGAGTTTATCTCCCGTTCAACTGGTTGCTCTCTTACAAGATTAGCCGTCCATTCTTCGGATCTAGATGTATCCGATCAGAGCTTCATCCAAGACACTCTCTTATTCATGGACACTCTCGTGTACCTAGATATCGGGCACTTCTGGAGACTGGATAACTTCTTCGCGCTTCTTGCTTCCGACGGATTCCTCCCAAATTTGCAGCATCTACAGCTGTCTTGTTTCTTGCTACCCTCTTCTCAAGGTTCCCTTAACACCATGATCACTTCGATCACTTCGCATAGCCAAAAGCTTCGTTCAGTCAAAATCTACTGTTTGGGTCATGACGACGTGGCGAACTTTAATCAAAACGTAGCACCCCTGCAGCAATTAGGACAGTTTTCTATTACTGCCTTGAAGGGACGAGACCAAAAAACTTCCGGAACGTAGTTTGGAAGGTTTTGGTCCGATTTGGATGTTGATCAGTGACCGTTCCCTGCAGTACGTTCGCCTTTATTTATGTATCTCCAGTAGCTGAAGCCTCGCGAATTTGGTTCAGTGAAACGGTATGGATTGATCGATTCCGATACGCAGACCGCCCAGCGTTTGACGTTGCGTCAAATTCCTCAACTGAAAAATTCGATGTTCGTCACTTCAAGACCATCCGGATCCCAACCTACTTCCTTCCTTCCTTCCAAAACTATACTCAACTGCAGTGATCATTTGAAACCTCCTGATAGGAAGGTAGTAACCTTTATTGTCCGAGGGTGTTCTTCAACAGAAACAAAGAATGTGGCTAGAGAGATACATTATTAGAAATTCTTAGAAATCGTAGCCGCTGAAATTGTCTTGAAGCAGGTTTACGCTTAAGTGCAGGGATATTATCAGGAGTACGGACTTCTCCCAAATTTACAGCATTTGCGACTATCTTGTTTGGAAGTACCCTCATTCACGTTATGAGGTCCCCTTGCCGCTATGATCGCTTTGCGGAGTGGACATCTTCGTTCTGTCACAATTTACTGCTCCACGCCTCTTCATATGGAGAGCTGTGATGAATTTCTTGAACCGCTGCAGTAACCTGGACTGCACTTGGTTGTCCTGCCTGGAAGCAGATCGCGCATGAAGTTTGGAGATTTCCAGACACGTTGGATGCCCCTATAGTTGATTAGCAGTCGGATTGTCGTGTACTGTACTAGATATTCATGGTGATCGGAGGAAGAATACGTACCTCTGTCGTTCAGTTCTATCGGTCATTGGGCACAACAACCCAGGACTTTGGTACTTTGGGTCCGGGTGCAGGATGCTCTGGTCTACTAATATATCAGTAGTTAGGTTCATAATCGAAAGTAAGGTAAACGTACTTTTTTGTTGATCTCTACGTCACCCGCAGCGGCCGGCTTGGCGTTGTTGCTGCCAACACGTTGAACACGCACCTGTTCTCCTTTAACCTTGGTTCTGATAGTGTCCGCTGACCGCTTCTTGGGAGAGGATATACAATACCGTATCACATGCATTCGATCTGTTAACAGAAAACAAATATCTTGTCGAATTTCTCCACCGAGTTTCTACTCAGAAGACTAGCCGTTCACATTTCAAAATAAAACCAGCCTTCTCAGCAACATCACAACACATCATTCTATTCTTTAGTCTAATCGGTATGAGCTCCTCCAAAGAATGCCAGGGCTTCCGCCTTTGTCTCGTCATCAAGAATGTCATTGGTATCTGTGATCTTATGCTGTGATAGATAGGTATCTTCAAAGCGGAGTGGAATAATCGAGAAATGCTTACTAGGTCCGTAAGGTGGTCGGTCTTCCCGATGTGAGTAACCCCGACGCTGAGTGGCGGTGGGTTATTAGAATCCACGGGTCCCTGGTGTGAAGGCTTAACAGAGGATGCAAGTAAGCAAGGTATCATCGAGAACTTGTGACATAGATACAAACATCAAGAGAGATAACCGCACGCGTCCAAGCCGTGTTCATCAACCCAAGGTAAGACTCCTCTCTACTGGAATTTGGGTCGTAGCTTAACAATGCGTGAATGAGTTCTCCGATGCATAATCCATGGCTCGCCAGAGCAACGTGGAACCCATCTTCTTCTGCGAGGTGAGGAAATATGCATTCCTTTATCGCTCCGTGCGCCCGTTCTGCGAGATCTTCGACACTCTCCCCATCTGGAAATTTGCTTGAACGGTCGAAGAAGGCTGGGAAGATATTGTTTTTGTAGCATTCGTCGAGGGTCATGTGATCTGGATACGTATAACACCAAGGGTACCCTTCGGCGATACCAAAGTGCTGCTCGCGGAGATTTGGGTTGAGGACGAGAGGTGGCGAGTTGGGCTGGCCGTCCTGAACGGCCTTTCCTGTATGATGAGCTCGAAGTAAAGGAGAGGCATAGATCATGTCGATCTTTGTTGATGCGAAGTGCTCGCCCAGGGCTCTTGCTTGCTACGTTCAAGGAACATTTTGAGGGGATAGATAACTGTTCAATGGTCATCTGGGACGAACCTTGCGACCTAACGATATGGACTCATTTCAACAGTTTCAATTAGGGAAAGCGAAAAACGCGCCTAAATCAGAAAGTGGGGCGTCTTTCCACCCACCCCACACTGCTTTCTACGGAGATCGAATTGGATTAACCGAGTTGAAAGAAAAGAGGAATCTTACTGGATTATCTGTTGACTCTCCGTGTCTAATCTGCGTTCGATGAGTCAAATACGATTTAATGAGAAACTAAATCTGGCCCACGAATGTAACGATGATCATCGTCGATAGCCAAGTTGCGGTCTTCGGACCGGAATCATAATGCGGATATTTAGCAATTTGATTGGCGGTGTGAATCCTGGCCGCCCAAGATGTGCTACGGGAAGTGAGTGTAAAATACCTATAGCAAGAACAAATTATAACATGTATAGCGTGTTATGTTCTCATGCTATATACCATTACTTGACACGCGCCCAATATCCATGATCACAGAGCACAAGAAACTCCTTGGGACCATGGTAGTCTACCCCAGCATTTGCAAATTTGGGTCCGATGCTGTACACCCGTACTGGCATCTAAAACGGGTTCCTAAAGCAGCGAGTGAAACGTATTGAGCAAACACGGCTATCCACAAGCCTCAAAGAACATGATTTTATGAAGCAGTTCACAGCTTTACGTCGCTATACCATGCCACTCCTCCCCGTCATCCCCATCCTCCACATTGACAACAGGTTTCTTCTTTCGCTTCTGCTTCACCAGAGCTAAATCAGTTCTGGCTTCCGATTTCCGTACACCTAACATTGCCTCATGATCTAAAGACGATTAAGATCATAGCACGGTCCTTGAGCGGATATGCACTTACATTCACCTGCAATCAAATCATCTACTATGGGCCTACTCCCCGACGTGATATACCGAGTTGAGATACCCTTTGCAATAAGCGGTTGAGCCAGCATCGCCTTCAGCTCAGCTTTCATCGTGGCGATCTTTGCATTCTTCGCTTTCTGCTTCTGCTTGGTTGGGTTCTCACTTTCGGACTCACTGCAACGGGTCGCGTCAGCATAGTCATCCCTCAAGGAAACATATAGGCATACCTGTCGAAGTCAGAACCAAGCTCGATCTCCATCGCTTCGGCTGTCTCCTTCATCCAGTTCCGCTCGTGGTTGGCCTTCTTCGCCTTGTGATGAGCAGATTCGATCTGCCTTGCCAGCTGTACACGCGGTTTGAGCTTGTCGAGCAGCCCTAACTCGATGGACATCTCCGGGACTTCGGTTTCCTCTGATATCTGTTGAGTACTGGGTTGAGAAAGGATAGAAAAGCAGTGTACCTCGACCGAGACCACCAAGCAAAGCTTTGACGACCCTTCTTTCATCAGGAGCGCACAGGAGCATGCTAAACCCAGACATCATGGCTCGAGCTGTCCGTCCATTGCGATGGATATATACATCTGCGGAACGCGGGATCTGATAGTGTATAACATGATCGACAGAAGGAATATCCAATCCTCTAGCGGCGATGTCGGTAGCCAATAAACACGAATTGGGCGTGGACTTGAACCTTTGATTGCTTATGAGCCTGGCTAGTAGATGTGATATGAGGCCACCTACCGATCAAGGTTCTTCAGTCGTTGTCGTTGCTCTAGCTGTGAGTGGAGCGGGAAAGCTTTGATGTTCAAGAACTCTGTTAGTGGAAGGAGCCTCCGTATCCCGTCTATCGAAGAAAGAAAGACAAGAGATCGTCCTGGATACCTGAGAAGGAAGTAGTAGAGATACACGTCCTACGATATGTTCACAACATTGTCAGGCGAATGATGCTAAAGATATCACCGACCTTATCGGCAGACAGACATTCAATCTTGCTCTCTTTGAGTGTCGAAACTACACCACCTTTCGGACTGAGATCAATCACCTCGGGCTCGGGATCTCGGAAGTCCAGACGAAGCAGGAGTTCGTCTGACATCATCTCAGTACTTTGCAGGTAAAGTAAACTATGCGACACCTACCTAGAGTCGATGCAGGTTTGTCACCATATTTCTTTTTTCCCGTTCGCGGTCGAGTACGCTTTTTGACATTCCGCTGCAAGTCTTTGCTTAGAGTGGCAGAGAATACAAATGTCTGCATCGTGCTGCTCTTCTCAACGTCTTCATTTTCTGATTCCGACTCTTGGTCGTCACCGGGTATTTGTTCATCACTATTCTCATTGAGTGTATGTTTCGTCAGAACATTGAAACTCACTTCTCCTGCCGTAGTGTTAGTCTAAGGATATTCTCCAATTCGGCAAAATGGCCGTTTTCTATCATTCTATCAGCTTCATCTAAAACTAGGAACTTCAGTTCTCTGATGTCCTTAGACAGTTGGTCATCCTATTAATCATCAGAGGGTGTTCAGCATGTATTGAAAAGACGCATACATCTTCCATTATATCCCATAATCGGCCAGGAGTCGCTACTAGCACATCGACACCTCTGTCGAGAACCCTACGCTGCTTCTGCGAAGACATCCCGCCTACAATTGCGGCAATGCTGACAATTGGCGGCTTCTTGGCTATGTGACCATGTTTCTTCTCCTGGTGGATGGTATTGAGGCACTCATTGAAATGTGAAGAGACCTGTAGAGCAAGTTCGCGGGTAGGTGCAAGAATGAGGGCGCGCAGAGGACGTCGCGCGAGCGCAGCCGAGGCAGGATTGGAGAGGAGATAATGAAGAATTGGAATTCCGTACGCCAGTGTTTTTCCGGAGCCCTAGACTCCGTTAATAAACGAAAAAAAGAGTCGAGGCGGGCTCACTGTCTGGGCTACACCAACAACATCACGCCCTTGAATAGCAAAAGGAATAGCTGCTGCTTGTATCGGTGTTGGCTCCAGGAATTTCTTGTTGTAGAGAGCGCGTAGCAGATGAGGATGTATCGAGAAGCTGTTCCATTTTGCTGTAGGACAGTGAGTGTAACCCACATACATGTAAGAAAGAGCATACAATCAGGAATATTGTCACCAGGTACTGCTCGGTCTTCATTTGCTGTGTCTTCCGAATCTTGTTGTGTTTTCGAGGACGATTCGGCCTCGATGTCTTCGTCGGACACTTGGGCGTCGCTTTCCCGCTCCAGAACCTATGTTTTTCTCAGTTCTGGAATATCCTATAGACAGAAAATACGCACGTTGAACCGAGCCAACCCTTCCCCTTTCAGTCTCTTCATAGACGACCTCTACATCCTCCACCTCTTCCAGTTCCAGGATGCCGTCGTCACCTCCGACACCAGCTTCGAATGGTCGCTTGACAGTTGTCCAAGCCAAGTCGTCCGCATTATTGTGCTGTGTTTTTATTTTTCTTCCTCGAAGACGACAATTTAAAGTGACTTTTGCGTTTTATACCTTGCTTCCTTGATAATTTGGGTTCTGCCATAGCAGAGGTCGCAGTGGAAAGAAATGCCGGCTGTCGGCCCGGTTCGAGCGGTGCCGTTCTTAACGTATTTTCCCACGATTCTGCGTTAACCAATACTACCACATGCGCCGTGGGTCCTACCGCGGATGATGCTTCACGATGTTTCCGAATCGGACATGACTATTGACGCATTCATATCGCGAGGAATCAAGTTGGGAACGTATATCCAACAATTACGAGGCCACTTACTTCAGTGAATATACGACATTTGCGGCGAGTTCGTAGCATTATCACACTTTTCGATGGCCTACGGGACGAGTTCTCATCCAAGGGGTTATAGTTATCTTCACAATGCAGAAGACCGCGGGAGGGAAGGACATTGTGACATTACCATCACGTCGTAACGCGTAAACTCTCAGGCCGTATCCCTCAGGCCTCGGGTCTCGGGATTTAAACTAGTTGATGGCGAATAGGTCTGGTTCGACCTGTTAGTGATTACTCACAGCAGACGGGCCCTGGGGGAGCTCCTGGGTGTGGCTTTCCATGTATGCAAGTACGTGAATGTATTCTTATCCAGTGCTAGTGTTACGGCAAGGACAACGTTAATATTCTCAACAGGACGGGAGAAGGGCCAAATTGAATTATCCTTCGTTAACAGAGAAAGTCGTCCCACCCCATCACGTTCAACGTAACTGGATACATTGTTACTGAATGGTGCTTTCTTACCATTATCTCTTTAGTAATCGCCCGTTGCTCATAAAATCTTTTCCTACACAGTGTAGACACAATAACTCCGTACGATGCCAGTATGCGCTGCAACAAATACTCGCGATCACCGTAACTGACAACACAAATACACAGGCTTTGATGGTGGTTCTGGACGAGGCATCTCGTACGAAACAGAACACGCTGCTGTATATGTAAGGATAACGAAAAACCCAAGGTAGTATGGTACCTGTTAAAATTTTATGATAGTGCGGGGTCTATGCGCTCAGCCCTTTCGGAGTCTGTAGGTCCTGGACAGCCAAATAACCCTGCATTCTTCTAGACACTCAACTCATGCCTTGCGAGAATAGTTCCAAGATCATCTTTGTCAGTGCTCCCTGCTTCTATAACGCTTGTCTCTGACATCCGTGTACACAGGTCACTGGAGGAACCGGTTTCATCGGCTTTCAGGTCCTGGTTCAGCTTTTGGATTTAGGGTATTCTGTTCGAGCGTAGGGCACCTTTTAAGTCGGTTTAAGAACCGAAGAGACTCACTAAAACCCCTAGCTCCGCTCGAGGAAAGAAAGTTGATCTCTTGAGCAACGCGTTATCCAACTACAAGAATTTGGAAGTCGTTGGCATTTCGGATATCTTCAATGATGATCTCAGCAATGTTCTCAAAGGTCTGTATCCTTCATTTCACGGAGATCCTGATTGACGTGTCATATACCTAGGTGTGTACGGGATCATACACATTGCTGCACCTTACCTGGTGCTGAATCAGAGAGGACTATCAGGGTAAGCAAGCTTTCAAGAGGCGACAATGTAGCGTTTATTTGTTCTCATTAGGACGCTACCGAGGGCTGCCTTCACATTTTGAACGCCGCGGTCAAGGCAGGTGTGGAACGAATTGTTGCCACAAGCTCTGCCGCGACTTTCCCTGCGGGAGGGCCTTATGGACCTGACGGTAAGATAAGCATCTACGTGATGTTGCCTCCTTGATCCTGAATATTGTAACCACATGTAGATTGGTTTCCAGTAACACGTGAAGATGCAAAGCACACGAACAACGGACTGATCTATCTGCTTGCCAAAAAGCTTGCCGACCAAGTATTTATGAAATTCGGTGAATCACATCCTGAGCTCAATATCTCACTCCGTTCGTTTCCGGTTTCCTCATCTATCAAGCTCATGACCTGACAAGTGATGCAGTCGGACCAGGCCTCACGTTTGGACCTTTCCCGCCAGGCTTTGAGCAATTGTTGCCCGAACCCAACTACAAATCCCTTTCGTCCAACGCTTACCTTTACGCGCTTCTTCGGCCCGACAACGTCCACTTTCCAGTTTATCTCCAAAATGGTGCCATTGATGTTCGTGATGTGGCCCGCGCGCATTTGCTCGCGCTTGAATCGCCACCGGCCCGCCGAAAGAGGTTTGCCATCGTCTCTCCTCACCAGTCCTCGTACAAGACTGCCCTTGAAATCCTTGCTCGGGAAAGACCAGCCTTGAAATACCGTCTTGCTGATCAGCGAAGGCTCCAGTATGGCCTTCGTATACGCTTAACGTGGACAGGGCGAAAATCGAAAAATCCATCGGGCTTAAGACAGATTCTTACATTCCCTGGGCACAGACAGTCCTCGAAACCGTGGACAGTCTTCTTGCGATTGAGAACCACTGGAAAGCGAAGGGATTCCATGTGGAAGTCCCGAGTAACCCCACCCTTCCCATTCACTGTATCAAAGTTGTAGCTGGTATAGCCTTCTACTGGTACATCCCTGGGTATATACATGTCAACCTAAAGTCTAAAAATAACAATCAAAAGCGACCTCTTCTACGATCCTCTCCATCTCGCGCTGCGAATCTTCCAATAAACCATCTATTGTATCCTGCTTAGCGGAAGGGGGTATCATCCACTCATGGTAAACTTTTCTAGTTCCTTTTGAATGCCACCACCGCCGTTCTGCTACTTCTGCTACTTCCTCTTCCTCCTCGCTCCCAGTGTTGCCTGCGCTCGAGCACTGTAATTGATCGAGATAGCATCCACAAGTCCAGCAAACTGGTTTCGAGGTCCCAAACGCTTGACAAACCACGTCCACGTGGTTTTCCTCCAAGTAATGAATCAGCTGCAGCTCCGAATGAAACTTGGTGTTGACTGGTGCACCTTGCTGCCATACATTGACCAGAAGTTCGGATTGGAGAAGTTCATTGCGTAACTGACTGTCAAGCTGTGAAAGTTCGGAGCAAAGAGTGTGGCTTCCTTCCGAACTCGAGCTATCATCGGTTGATTGCCGAGAGTGAACCGGTGATTCACGATCAAGGAGAATGCGGGGAATGTGGTCCGATGGCGAGTATGGCCAATGGTGCGTTTTGGACAAAGAGTGGGGGGTATTGGGTTCGCTTATAAGCTTCACATTTATGGCCCCTTGCGGCGAAACACCGAGGACTTGCCGAATAAAAGGAAGTCCGAGATAGGCAAATTGCATTGCCACCGCTCTTATAAGCGGCGATGCGAGATATTCGACGAAAAATTTTGTGTAGGAAAATGCCTGCGGGCTGTTCAGTACATGATAAGGTAGAAAGGTGACAACTCACGATCCTGAATCTTTAAAGATAACCGGAAGGAGTGATAGTTTACGAGGTCGCCAAAGAACGTGGAATTGACCAACAAGCTGCAGGCGGTGATTATAGAGGAGAGATAGGTATATCGTTCGTCCACGTCTATCTTGTCTTGCTCCGGTGATAGGTTCACCAACGTAAGAAAGGACTGTATAAGGTACTCGTTCGCACGGGCTGAGTCTCCGCCGTAATTCGTTGCCATATTCAAGAACCCCCGCGACTGTTCACCCTCTGGGCGATATACGAGCCATAGCGACACAAGGTTCGTGAAGTGATACGCTGTCTGGCCAGGTCCCTCCTCCGTCTGACCCACGAGGTCTATTTTACGTTGTATCCTCGCATGCGCAATATCCACCACCATGCGGAAAAACATACGGGATGCCACCTCCGGCGCAATGTCATCATCATGGAGTACTGTGCGCAAGGTGGAGAGAAAGAGCGTCACACAGTTCTTGACAGTGTCGGTGTTTGGAGTATTATGGTTATTGGCAACGTAGAGGGTGATGAGACCGGGATGCGCGGAAAAGGCAACTGATACAGCGTCTCCTGAGGCATTCCGAGCGAAGCAGGAGGCTATCCAGTTGAGGATGTCGATTATATGGTCATCAGGATGGTAGTGGTGGATATGAGGATAGGCGAACGCTTGCAGCTGCTCTATTATTCGAAGGCGAAAGAGGAGGTCAATTTGGGCTGCATCTGCTGGCGGTGGGTCATTAGACAAAGGAACGTAGGGCTGTGTACATTTCATCGCAGAATGGTGGTGGTGGTAGCGGTCGGCATGAGGCAGCGTAAAAGGGGCAAGGCAAAGAATAGGAGAGTTATGTAACTGAGTCAACTCCGCCTCCGCATGGCTGTCGATGGATGGATTCAATACTACCATTCCATTAACACTGTGTCTTCGTGGTAACGATGGCATCGCAATCTCCTGCGCCAATGTGGAAACCAATACTTCTAACATGTTGTTCGAATGACTACAAAGAAACCCCAATATTCATTGAACAGGTAAATATATCCGAAGTACAGCCATAAGAAATCGAAAGACTAACTTGATTATTCGGATCCGTACCATCAGGAATCCACCATTACGACAACTTTCCCCTTAGCTCTCGATGTCATGATACGCTCATAAGCCAACAGGACATCCTTAAATTCGTACACGGAGTCTATGACAGGCTTGAGCTTGCCATCTTCGAGGAGCTGCCTTATCGCTTCTAAGGCTGATGCGTCATGCGCCAGTCTAACAATTCTACGAAGGAAAAGTGAGCAATAGGTGTCGTCAAAGAAGACAGGCTTACCTGTATGCATGCGGAACGCCACCCAGCCACGAAGGCCAGAGCATCGCGAAGGCCGTTTTCAAAACCAGATTAAAGGGATGAAGTCCTTGGATTGAGCCAGTTGAAACAAAAGTTCCACCCGGCGCAAGGTAGGCAGGACTGTACGTGAACAAGGATGGGGTCCTTCACTGCCACCGCGTCGAAGATGATATGGAATTTTGGGGATGGTGGGTTCTGAGTGAGATATTCGTGCAAAGGTTGCTTCGTGTAGTCGATGAATTCATCGGCACCAAGGCTCTTGACAAACTCTTCATTCTGGCCCGACGCACTAGCAACGACGCGAGCTGCACCTTTGGCTTTGGCGATTTGGATGGCAAAGGCTCCCACGGAGGAGCTTCCACCATTGATGAAAATGGTTTGACCAGGCTCGAATCCTGCGCAACAGTGACCGAAGAGAGCTTGCCACGCTGTCTCTGCAGCTGACGTGACTCCGGCAGCTTCAATAGGCGTGATATTTTGAGGTCGTCGAATCAGATAGGTACTTTCATCCATTCCAGTTTGATTCCAGTATCATTGGGGCCCCTCATCCTCCCACACCCCTTTACCAGATTTAGCAGCGCCTCTCCCTTGGCATGGACTGAACAACAATGAAAGAGACATTCAAAAATTGCGTTTAAGAGCACTAGAGCAAGAAACTATGAAAGGGATAATATTTCCTGGGTTTAAATGAAGATGAGAGAGACACAGAGGTCATTGGAGGCAAGCTGCAGGGCAAAATCAGCAAAAATTTTCCATGTCCCAATCATAAGGAAGGAGGTGAGAACGTGACACGTCGAATGGTTAGCGTGACACGAAGCCGAGACTGGGGTCCAGCTTGAAGCTCCGCGGTAATCTGACTTTGAACGTCGTCTTTCTCGGCCCCCCTCCTCTTATAATCGCTATCACATACCACAGACGTATAGTCGGAATGCCCAATTACGACCCTTTGCAATTCGTCTTCCCACGTGGTCCTGCCCCGCTGCCCACCAGCACTCCCGAGAACTTTACCACGAAACAGCATACGGCCTACGCCGGTGCTCAAGCTATCGAATCCCTTTCCCAATGGTCTGTTGTGTCGGCAGGATCTATGAAACCACAGGTGGCGGGGAGACTTCTGGGTTATATGCTGCTTGAGGCGCCAACAGTGGAAGGAAGAGATAACGTTACTTTCGAAATTGCGTCGTGCGGTGGAGATGAGGCACGACTGAAACAACTGGCTCAGCTCTATGCAGCAGTATACATCCGGACCTGTGAGTTATTTTTTCTGAACTCGAAGATAGTTGTGTTCAAAATACAACCTTTCAGTCAAGGTGAATGACGGGAAGACCCCTAATCATATAGACGAGCCACTGCCTGATTCATATGGGGGTGAAAAAGAGGACGTCCCTCTCAGAACCCGCTGGGAAACAAGGCGAAATGTTAGTTGCCACAAATCTGTCTATATTTTCAGCATTAAGATCTGTTATAGGCCTCGAAACGTGACCGGCATCAATGCGTATTATCTCGCAGTTACGACCTTCAATACATGTGCGATCTCTTTCGTATGGAACCTGGACATCCTCTGTTCAGTAGCTCGGTCACATGTGACCCTGTCGAAGAGGCCCGCATCATATCCATTGAACGAAAGGCCAACATCGCTGACAGTCAACACCAAGTCAAGGTATTCATTTACTTTCGCTTCCACTTCGCACGACTGAAGATCATTTTAGCTTAAAAACCCAACGAGGGCAGCTGCGATTCTATCCCGATTTGGAAAGACAGATATCTTTAAGGAGCTCGACATTGACGACTTGAACCATATGAGTAACATCATGACTCTAAATAGTTCGATCCATCGTTTCTTTGATGCGCTTCATATGTGTCTCGTGGCCGTAGAGGTATTGACCATGTTTGTGGAGCTCTTTTCGTGTCATTAATACTTGGTTTTAGGGACAGCCTAATACGTATCGGATTGAGGCCTTCCTCCCAAGCGTGCTGAATACCATACCTGAAAATCCCGTCACATTTACAACCTCCGATGAAGAAAATCTTCCTCTTCCCAGCCCAGCCCTTCTTGCCCTTCACCGAGCATGTACCCGAGTTGCACATTTCTCAGGTGCTGGCAGCTACATTGATGATTTGCTGGAAATGGATGATCCGGTGGTGGAATGTGACGGTAGCAATTGGGAGAGGCCAGGAGAAGCCCTTGACCTGAAGTTGTTGGGTGTAGCTACCAGACGAACGTATTGTCCTCCAATTCGCTATGCCGAGGTAAGTATGACTGAACTTCCACGCGACTTGGTGCTCGTGAACCAGTTCGTTGTGTGGCTTCCTTTTCGGGAGGTCACATCACGGTAACGGGTGGCGAATTCGGAACGAGACGACAAATCAGGACATCATCTCCGCAGTAGCATGAGTCAAAATTACGACCCTGCCGAATTTCTTTTCCCGCCCGGTCCTGCTCCGCTACCAAGTCATAAATTTTGTAATGCAAAACAACACTCGGCCTACACTACAACTCGCGAAGTCGAATCACAGCCTCCGTCACTTCCCCCACAGCCCATGCCGCCTCAGGTAGTCGGGAGGATCTTGGGCTATACGTTGATTGAGGCGGTAACCTTAGGAGGCGGGGATGCAATCGCTCCAGACATCAACGCTTGTGGCAACGATATAGTCAAACTGACTATTCTAGCAGAGCAATGGAAGGACTTGTTCCTCTGCACTTGTGAGTACATTCTTTCTTAATCTGAACATAACTATATTCACGAGATCGTTCCAGTCAAAACAAGCAGCGCCAAGGCGACCAATCTATCTTTACCATTACAGGAGGAGCGGGAGCAAAACGCTATCAAACTAGAGGAAGGCCGAAGGCAAAAAGATACGAAAGACCAGGTTCGTCATGATGCCCATTGTTGTTTCATCGTTGAGCTTGGTTATAGGCATTACAACGTGACAAAAACAAATGCATTATAACGAAGGCCTATGATATGAAATACCTGAGTGATCTATACTACAACGAACCCACACATCCGCTATTACATAGTCGTCCCGATGTAGCACCTACCAACGCTATACATATCGTGCCAGTCAAACTCAACACAAAGCTGGATAAGAACCGGAACAAGGTATCGTATTCTCACATTTACTTTCCAGCATCACATAGCTGAAGATAATTGTATAGCTTGACCACTCCGCAGCGGTGTATGCCTTCCTGGCACGGCTTGGGGGAGAAGACGTCTTAGACATCCTCAATGGCAACGACATTAACCGTTTAGATAATATCATAACGTTGTGTCGCTACTTGCACGAGCCCTTTGATAAATTGCAAATGTATCTCACTGCCATTAAGGTATGGGTTTATAACTGTGTTTGTAGTGTCTTTCATGCCATTAATTCCTTGGATTTAAGGCCGCGATCATACATATGCTGTGGAGACTCTCTTCGACAAAATGTTATCCCACATTCCTGAGAATCCAGTCACTTTCACGACGGATGACCCAGAAAATTTTCCCCTCCCTTCACCTTTTTTGCTCGCCCTTCACCGAGCATGTGCACGAGTTGCCCATTTTTCGGGTGCCTTTTATCAGGACGATGATTGATTTGAGAGTGGAACAAGGGACTTAGCAGACGGTGGCTGGGAGCTGCAAGGAGTGTCTAGGCCGAAGTAATTGAAAGTTGCTGAACATGATTCCCATGCTTGTTATTCTTCTTTGATACAGGAGATACCAGTAGCAAATATTAGAAATCTTCAGTGACTCTTGTCATCATGCCTGGTCACGAACGAAGACAGAAAATCACCGTTATCCGAGAACCCGAATAGTCTATAGGATCCACAAGAAATCAAATGTGAATAATTAATGCCTATGCATTTCCGTTTGATACGCAGGTAGTAATGTAAGTATGAAAGAGATTGCCGTGTTCCGTACAAGATGGAAGGAACGTGTATCGATGAATGAGAGCATATGGAAAAACAAACAGTAGAATGCAATCTATACAAGTGAAAAAGGGCAGCATAAAATCCAAACACAAACCACCCGAGGTACAACAAAGGAAGGGATGATGCGTTCAGATATGAGAAGATAGATAGCTGATAGTATACTGTATAAACAGACCGACCCAATCGACGACTAGCGATACTTTTGGTGATCACACCGCAAAGGTGGGAGACGGATAGAAGCAGGTGGGGGCACAATTCGAGCATACGACATGCCAGCATTGGGGGTGGGTGAGAACGCCGGAGCTCTCATGCTGAGAGGGCGTTGCAGGCCAGCGATAGACGCGAGGCGTCACAGATGGAGCGTCAACGAAGGTAGAAAAAAGGTAGCATTGGGCGGTGTCAGGGGGGAGGATCTAGAGTGACGGGGCTGGGCGAACGGGGAATAGTGATGGGCGCTATAACGACACGACGTCTCGGCGGGGTGGGCGGGCTCGATTGCTGGCCTTCGTCGAATTGTGAAGCGATGACAGCGGCAAGAAGGGCAGCAAATTGCATTCTCCATCTCGTGCTGCGAATCTTCCAATAAACCATCTATTGTATCCTGCTTAGCGGAAGGGGGTATCATCCACTCATGGTAAACTTTTCTAGTTCCTTTTGAATGCCACCACCGCCGTTCTGCCGTTTCTCCTACTTCCTCTTCCTCCTCACTCCCAGTGGTGCCTGCACTAGAGCACTGTAATTGATCGAGGTAGCATCCACAAGTCCAGCAAACTGGCTTCGAGGTCCCAAACGCTTGACAAGCAACATCCACGTGGTTTTCCTCCAAGTAATGAATCAACTGCAGCTCCGAGTGAAACTTGGTGTTGACTGGTGCACCTTGCTGCCATACATTGACCAGAAGTTCGGATTGGAGAAGTTCATTGCGTAACTGACTGTCAAGCTGTGAAAGTTCGGAGCGAAGAGTGTGGCTTCCTTCCGAACTCGAGCTATCATCGGTTGATTGCCGTGAGTGAACCGGTGACTCACTATCAAGGAGAATGTGGGGAATGTGGTCCGATGGGGAGTATGGCCAATGGTGCGTTTTGGACAAAGAATGGGGGGTATTGGGTTCGCTTATAAGCTTCACATTTATGGCTCCTTGCGGCGAAACACCGAGGACTTGCCGAATAAAAGGAAGTCCGAGATAGGCAAATTGCATTGCACCGCTCTTATAAACGGCGATGCGAGATATTCGATGAAAAATTTTGGGTAGGAATATGCCTGCGAGCTGTTCAGTACATGAGAAGGTAGAAAGGTGACAACTCACGATCCTGAATCTTTAAAGATAACCGGAAGGAATGATAGTTTACGAGGTCGTCAAAGAACGTGGAACTGACCAACAAGCTGCATGCGGTGATTATAGAAGAGAGATAGGTATATCGTTCGTCCACGTCTATCTTGTCTTGCTCCGGCGACAGGTTCACCAACGTAAGAAAGGACTGTATAAGGTACTCGTTCGCACGGGCTGAGTCTCCGCCGTAATTCGTTGCCATATTCAAGAATCCCCGCGACTGTTCACCCTCTGGGCGATATACGAGCCATAGGGACACAAGGTTCGTGAAATGATACGCCGTTTGACCAGGTCCCTCCTCCGTCTGACCCACGAGGTCTATTTTACGTTGTATCCTCGCATGCGCAATATCCACCACCATGCGGAAAAACATACGGGATGCCACCTCCGGCGCAATGTCATCATCATGGAGTACTGTGCGCAAGGTGGAGAGAAAGAGCGTCACACAGTTCTTGACAGTGTCGGTGTTTGGAGTATTATGGTTATTGGCAACGTAGAGGGTGATGAGACCGGGATGCGCGGAAAAGGCAACTGATACAGCGTCTCCTGAGGCATTCCGAGCGAAGCAGGAGGCTATCCAGTTGAGGATGTCGATTATATGGTCATCAGGATGGTAGTGGTGGATATGAGGATAGGCGAACGCTTGCAGCTGCTCTATTATTCGAAGGCGAAAGAGGAGGTCAATTTGGGCTGCATCTGCTGGCGTTGGGTCATTAGACAAAGGAGCGTAGGGCTGTGTACATTTCATCGCAGAATAGTGGTGGTGGTAGCGGTCGGCATGAGGCAGCGTAAAAGGGGCAAGGCAAAGAATAGGAGAGTTATGTAACTGAGTCAACTCCGCCTCCGCATGGCTGTCGATGGATGGATTCAATACTACCATTCCATTTAACACTGTGTCTTCGTGGTAACGATGGCATCGCATCTCCTGCGCCAATGTGGAAACCAATACTTCTAACATGTTGTTCGAATGACTACAAAGAAACCCCAATATTCATTGAACAGGTAAATATATCCGAAGTACAGCCATAAGAAATCGAAAGACTAACTTGATTATTCGGATCCGTACCATCAGGAATCCACCATTACGACAACTTTCCCCTTAGCTCTCGATGTCATGATACGCTCATAAGCCAACAGGACATCCTTAAATCCGTACACGGAGTCTACGACAGGCTTGAGCTTGCCTTCGAGGAGGAGTTGCCTTATCGCTTCTAACGCAGACGCGTCATGTGCCAGACTAACGATCCTACGAAGGAAAAGTGAGCGATAGGCGTCGTCAAAGAAGACAGGCTTACCTGTATGCACGCGGAACGCCACCCAGCCACGAAGGCCAGAGCATCGCGAAGGCCGTTTTCAAAACCAGATTAAAGGGATGAAGTCCTTGGATTGAGCCAGTTGAAACAAAAGTTCCACCCGGCGCAAGGTAGGCAGGACTGTACGTGAACAAGGATGGGTCCTTCACTGCCACCGCGTCGAAGATGATATGGAATTTTGGGGATGGTGGGTTCTGAGTGAGATATTCGTGCAAAGGTTGCTTCGTGTAGTCGATGAATTCATCGGCACCAAGGCTCTTGACAAACTCTTCATTCTGGCCCGACGCACTAGCAACGACGCGAGCTGCACCTTTGGCTTTGGCGATTTGGATGGCAAAGGCTCCCACGGAGGAGCTTCCACCATTGATGAAAATGGTTTGACCGGCCTCGAATCCTGCGCAACCGAAGAGAGCTTGCCACGCTGTCTCTGCAGCTAACGTGACTCCAGCAGCTTCAATAGGCGTGATATTTTGAGGCCGTCGAATCAGATAGCCTGCTGGTACCCGGGCGTACTGCTGGAGAGCACCTTCTCTGATCTTAAGCGACATCACTAAGTAAAATTCAGAATCAGAAATATACACTGAGAATAGTAGTGAAGACTCACTAGTGTGTATTACGCCGAATACACTGTCGCCTTTCGTGAACTGAGAATCATTGGGGTCCTCGATGATCCCAGCAAGGTCGTACTCAGCCGGAATAGGTCTCCTTGCTATGAAATTTGGCAAGGCACGCATAATTTTGTACCCACTATGCGCATATAGTCAACTCTAAAATCAGTTTTGCTCGCGCTAGGGTTAAAAAACACGTACACGGGATTCAGCGCGGCAGCCTCGACCTTGACAAGAACCTCGCCCTTCGCCAGTTTCGACGGCACCGGCCAATCGACCTTGAATGACAGGGCATCCTTGGGCTCTCCCCGTCTCTCGATAATCCACGCTTGTTGAGTCTGAGGTGCCATTCAGCGGTAAGAAACCGAACGATCGAGCTAGAATCGCGGCCCTTATAAAGTGATCGCGTGTGGTGTGGCACATGGAGCTGACGACGTCGAAGAAGTTTAACCCAGATGGGCCGAGATAAGCATTTTTACACTTGGGACCGTCGATAATGGCGACATTGGACAGCACAATGACAAGACGATGGATGGCGGTAGAATGGAGAGTCGTTCGGACTGTTCCGAGCGGGTCCCTAACCATCAACAGTCGGTCATTTCTTGATGACCACCACCATGAACGACGACGACGGAACTCACACTTGCTAGCGTACCCTTATCTCTGGCACCGAATGGGAACGAAGATATCGGCCAGACCCCCAAGCCAAGGAAGCTGTTGGTAATTGACATTGTCAAACGTTCGGCAAGCCTTTTAGGCTGAGGCTAATAATGCACAGGAACGTCCTGGAGACAATACGGCGAACATCGTCGCTTCTTATCCATTCTCTGCGTCGAGACTAGCTCTCGGTCCATCGATTTCTTGGCAGCGACCAGCGACATTGAACATTGAATAACGACGACGAGGGATGAAAGCACAAACACTCTTCCTGAGGGGGCTTCCTGCGTTGCTACTCTCGGTGATGCCGCGGACGACATTTGAATTTCTATTTGCCGCAATGATGGTTCCTGCGACATAATACTGGTTTCGTTATCTCAATTCCCCGGGCAGGACCTGGCGGAAGGCCAGAATAATTGTAGTGCTTTCCAATAGCTCCTCAGACGCAGCGGGCTTGAATTATCCAGAGGAAATGTTCTCACAGACGCACTTGTTCTCGACGCAGGCAGGCTCGTTTCTTCGAAAGGGGAGGTCTTCGTGAAGGGACAAGCCGCAGCGTTGATTTCAGCGTACGTTTCAATTCCATTGTAGTGAACATGCTATGTAGCTCATTATTTGCAGTGAGTACAAGTTCGTGCAAGTCCTTCTCAATATTATCGCTGAATAACCTGTACCTGCCGAATTCATACGACGTTGCCGGAGGATCCCAATGATTTCGGTGGTATTTCTGGCTCCATCTTTTTAAGTGCGCTTGTAGCGCTTGTTGGTGATACGTTCCTCAAGCGTACCACCAGTATTATCTTTTAAACTCATCAAGGTTAGGTGGCTTGCAAGAATACGCTCAGCATGTCCTCGCCGAATGCCTGATCAACCGACTGGGTAACATCAGCCAGCAGCCCCACACAAGCTATTGGACTCACCGTCAATCCACTGAAAATGGCGCGAAAAGCACTTTACAGGATTCTATAACGCATGATGATTACGTGAAGTAACGGTCGAAACAATACAGTATCTGCCACTTCAATAGAACCCCGTTTTTTCGCTGGCTATAGACGAGTAAACCGGTCCCTACTACATGAGCAAGTACGATCGACGCTTGCTCACTGTAGGGGCCCGTCACAGGCCTACGGGTTGATCTCTTTTGACGCCGCAGAGGTATACACTATCTATCTCATAGCAGCGAGAGCCAAAATAGAATCAAATCTAGGCATCCACAAATGCTAAAGTAATTTTGACCCGGATTTTGATCCCGTGCAAAATAAGTCGCCACCGTGCTGTGTCTTCTGAACTATCTGCTAGGGTCTAGGATCGCGGCCTTTCATAACGAACTTGTTCGCAGTCTGCATACCGAGGTTCCTGATGCAAGTGAAACAAGCCGCTCCTTGTGGTGCAGCCTTTATGAGCTCGAGAAGACGTCCATCATCATATTGTATCTTGCATCATGCATCAGCCCGGAGTTGAATTCGAGCTGCTTGCCTCGAGGCGAACACCTTTTCGTTTAGCACTGCCTGGACTGCATACGCTTTTGAGCCTGGGAAACAAGAAACAGCACGCATCGTTAACCCCTCTCCGATTTCAAGTACTCACTACAACGACATTAGCAACGTCCAAGACCTAATACTAATCGCTTTTGGGCGGCGTGATGTCTTACGACTACGACTATGAACCTTGGCGTTGGGGTGTAAGTTAGTTGGCAAATAAACAGAAGGGAAATTGATAACATATTTCCAGGAGGTCTTTCTTCCCGAAGTCTCCGCCTTCACCAAGACGAGCCAAGTAGAACCATCGATCATCGTTCCAAATCAACAGGCGCACACTAGTAGAAAGAATATGGCACTGATATCACCCCACGCTGATATTCCCTGCGCTGCCCTCGGCGTTCGGGGCCTCTTGGATCGACTCAACACCACACACGGAACGTCACACACCCTGGACACTCCATCTCTCTCTTCTCTTCTTGAAGACTGCATTGCAAACAACTACGACTTTGGCACGGCATATGGCCGCCTCCGCCCGATATTGTGCACCCACAACTGGAGCACTATACAAGATGTACTTTGCAGATGGGAAGAGGAGGATAGGGAGATGCGACAAAAAGCGCTCGATGGTAACCGCATCGTCAATCTACCACCTCGACGTGTCTGGGATCTGTGCAGCAATCGGGTAGTCCCATGGTGGTGCACAGGAATCTCAGCTGATGACGGGTGGCACTGCCGGCTTTAGCCGATATCACATAAGTGGATGGATGCGAAGGATCGCGCCAATGTGTGGACACCCATCAATGGATATAAATGGCCTGTTCCCATCCCAAAAGATGCCAACCTCAACCGTATCCGCATTGAGATGCTCGCTCTTGGAGTGGAGTATACTTGGTTAGATGTTCTCTGTTTGAGACAGGTGGGTGGATCAGAGGAGGACATGCGCTTGGAAGAGTGGAAGGTGGATGTGCCCACCATAGGAGCAGTGTATCGTGGGGCCGATGTGGTGTATTATTTTAATGGGCTGGGTCGTCCTTTGAATTTGAAGGAGGACTGGGAGAGTGATCGGTCTTGGTTTAGACGTGCATGGATACTACAGGAATTTTGTCAAGAGAGGACGATCGCTGGGGACACGCCGGATGGACCACTGCATGCTGAGTGTAAGGACAGGAAGTATGAGACTGAGCTACTGACCAGGTTTTGCAAGCAGCTGGAGTCTACGCATGGTAATGAAGTGATAGAGGACATGCGGAATCAGGTGTCTACCAATCTGGTGGACAAATTTGCGGGTCTGATATTTGTCATGGGGTCCAAGATGATACCGGCATACTATGAGAGCGAGTCTCTCGAGGACGCATGGACAGCACTCGTCAATTCGATGAATGCGGAACGTCGGGGCCCGTTGTACCTCTCCAGAACATGGAGACCATCGTGGGACCAGGTTATGACAGAAGCTCTGCCCGCGAATGCTTACCTGCCGCCTAATCGACAGTTAAATTACGAATTTTCCTGGCATGACCTCGCACCTACCACGGCACTGGCGCGCCAGGCTCCTATAACTTCGCCTCATCCTAATTCAAATCCACCTCGTCAGCCTAGTCCTCCACATGCACCACGTCAGGTCCCCCCTCCCCAGCAACTTGGGATATTTCAGTTATCAGAGAACCTCAATGCACCCCGAGCTCATGCAGCATTTGCTTCATCTCCTCCTACTCTCAACCAACTCGGCAAAATGACTCCAGCGAGGATATCAGCATTACCGATAGACGCTCTCAAAGCGGTACTTCTCAGCAATCACATCAACGTTGGGATGAGCTTTGAGAAGAGCGATCTCGTCTCGAAAGTGATTGCCCTCGTTGAGAATGAGTTAGCTGATGGACAGGAGGAACAGGAAAGGATTAGGCAGAAGGGAATGATGGAAGAGAGGACAAGGCCAGCTGAAGCTCAGCGGAACTCAGAGGCCGATGGTATGACACCAGTTTCTTCTTCACCGCCGACTGCGCCTCCGAAGGCGTCATCGATTTTAGCCGAACAGAGTGTCCTGTGTGTCGTATGCCAAGACGAGGAAGCGAATATTAAAATTGGTTGCGGGCACGTGTCTTCCATCGGGTCTCGTTGTATATTTCTAATGGTTCTTACAGACACTTTGTATGCAGAAGATGTTCTGAGCAGACTATGTCTACCACTCGTGAATGTTCCTTATGTGACACGAAAGCGATATTGGTGGATGTTTCGGCGCAGAAGTGCATAAGCCCGATAGCGAGTATGTCCCTTCAAATATACACAAGTATCAAGGATACTTAGTTTTTCCGCAGAATTGAATGTTATGGATCTTACCACCAACGTGACGCGGATTGGAGAATTACCTGAGTTTCACGGAGGATATGGCGATATCTGGAAAGCACGGCTAGTAACATCATCGGACAAAAAGGTTATATTGGTGCTTTTACATGACCCAAACGCTCATCTAGACCCAGATTATCGTGGCCGTAAAAACTAACTATAGCAACGCGCAAACTGCCAAAGTACGTCTATTCTATATCGTGTTATTTGTTGAGGAAAACCTGAACCCGCAATGGATCGTCTTGATACGGAACAAACTCTTGAGTATTGATTGTGAGTTCGGTTATTATTCAAGGCGACCCATTACAGGTCTAGGAAAAACTGACAGCAAAAATTTCAGCGCTTGTATCGAGAGATCCGAATCTGGCAAAAATTAGATCACCCGAATGTGCTCCCACTCTTTGGAATATGCCACAATTTTGCCTCCCGTCCCTCCGACAAGCATGTGGATCCCATGGTGGCCACCGGAATCGTTTGCCCGTGGATGATAAATGGTACCCTTATGGACTACTTGAATCTCTGTCAGACAAAAGCAGAGTCTATAGAGAAAGTTCGCCTCCGACTCGTAAGACCCCTTTGTTCCTCCAGCCTTGTATAAGCCCTGAATTCTTACATAGCTCGTCGAAGTCTGCTTTGGCTTAACTTACCGTAAGTTGTATAAAGGATACTACTTGATTGGGGACCCTCAACCTACTCTTGCTTGCAGTCCATTCAAAAAATATAGTTCACGACGATCTGCATGGGGTATGCACCTCGCTACACGTTGTCGTGCTTGCTTTATCTAATAAGATATTCTACCACTTAGGGGAATGTCCTCATCGACGATGATGGACATGCACGCCTGGCTGATTTTGGTTTATCAACTGTTGTTGCTGAGTTTCGCGGAACATCTACAAGACGTGCTGGTGCGCCTTCACATCCTTACGGTGCTTTACGATGGGCTGCTCCAGAACTTGTATTCCCGGAGGAAGAAGCGGAACCGCAGCTTCTTCCGTCTGCCGACATCTACTCTGCCGGGGGTTTAATACTGCAGGCGAGTACCAGTGGCAAAGGCGCTCTTCCTTTCTGACTCGAAGTCCGATTAGGCATATACAGGCAAAGTGCCGTATTCATACTATCCTGAACGCAGCATTGTTGGCGTTATTTTTAGACGCGAGAAACCAAAACGTCCTGCTAGCGACGAGGCGCAAATTTCGGATAGGCTATGGTCGTTGATAAACGAGTGCTGGCGGGATATCCCTTCTGAGCGCCCGACGGCGGCGGCACTTGCATCTCGACTCCAAGAATTGCAAGTTTTGGATCATTCTGACATTTTGGTATGAGCCTTGTACAAAGCGGTGAATACGACTGAATTAGACTCCTCTGATGGATGCGGAGGAACGATACCTCGATAATAATTAAGTTGGTGTCAAGTAGAACGATTATGTAAACAACGTATCCTCTCCTTGTTTCTTGCCACTGCGGTGAATATCAACGATTAGCAACCCTCACTCGCCTCATCGCCGTATCAAAAGGATTTTCAAATCCAACTTCGGAACCGCAGGAACATCGAGTCAGAGATATGGACGTGGGAGATATTGCCAGCCTCGATCAGTGAATCTGATGCTACCCCGGCCTGTCTTTGCTTCTCTGCCTTTTACAATCACCGCCGTATTGTGATACAGAACAGAATCATGACAGAAACTGCCCTCAAGTTAACCGGCTTCAAAGTGTTGGTCTTTGATGTTTACGGGACCCTTGCGGTTCGTATTCTACTTGGAATTCATTGGCGAGTGTCCATCGGTCTCATGTTGTTCGCAGGATTGGGAGAGCGGCATTTATGACGCGATGCAGCCTCTGTTATCTCGCTATCCTTCTGCAAAGTGGTCTCGTGCAGACGCGCTGAAGGAATTCGAGTCGGCAGAAAAGGACATCCAGGTTGCGCAGCCGGACCTTCTGTACACAGATGTCCTGGCAAGGGCTCACGAGGTCTTGGAAAAGCGCCTAGATAATCTCTACGGCAAGCCTACCATTCCAGACATTCCGGACGCCCATGTTGCATTTGGCAACTCCATCAAGGACTGGTCCATTTTCCCCGACAGTTCCCGGGCACTCCATGACCTCGCCAAACACTACAAACTTGTCGTCTTATCGAATGTCGACCGTACCTCATTCGCCCATACACACGCTAAACTTTCTACCGGCGATCCGTCCGCGGTCTCATCGCCCTTATACGCCTGCCCCGAGCCTAAACCACATGGCTATTGGTTCCCTCAGAAAACCACAGGGTCTCAATCCCCCTTTTCTCTCATTCTGACGGCACAAGACGTCCACAGTTATAAACCTGCGCTTCCCGGATTCCTCACGGCCCTTGACGTCATCCAGAAAGATCTTCTGGATGTTCCCACCCGGCAAGATACGAAGGAAAAGGTACTGTGGGTGGCACAGAGCTTGTTCCATGACGTCGAACCTGCTAGCAGTCTGGGAATACGAAGCGCGTGGATCAACCGGCAGGGAGCTTCCATGGGAGCTGATGAAGGAAATCAAAAGTGGACCTGGAAATTTAAAACCCTGGGAGAGATGGCAGAGGTGGTGGGAAGAGAAGCGGGAGAAACTTGATTGTGGGTTGGCTTGATCTTCCCTAGATTTTTTCTGCCAACACTAATTCTTAAAACAGATATTCCATTTCACCGCGACAGCCGGTACCTTTGATCTACCGATTTACCGTCGTTTCCAATGTTTTTGTCTGAAGTACTCAGCTCGCGTGTGTGACATGGTGAAAATAAGAGCTTCAGTGATGTATGAGAAATTCGGTGCTTTTCATCTTTTGTTTCTACTCCTACTATGATGAAGAACATTAGCGTCTATTTACTCGCTCTCGCGTCAGTCGGCCTATAGCGTGAAGAATACGCCGTGAAGGGTCGGGCGTGATGCGCCAGATGATTGAGCGGCCGTGAATGTGGTCGTCTCGGTCAAAGGGGGTTACGTTCGGCCTTGATCTGCGGTGTTATACTGACATATTCCAGAGTTGGGTTAGCCAGTAGGATTTTAATCCGTAACATTCCGGAAAGCTGGTGGGCTCACCACGAAGGTGCGGCTTCAACGAATGTTTGCCAAGCCACGGAGTCGGGCGGCGAAGTATAGCTTCCCTGAAATTCCCCAGGAGCTTTTAATATGGTAAAAATCCAACAGTATATCGTGGCTACGGGTCATGCTTTCGTCTCAATTCATTATGTTCTCGACAAAGATGCCGTTGCTAACCGCCACTTGATAGGATCACGAGATTTGAGCCCCGGTCTTTACACTACAGCGTCTATAGGACAGCTTTGCTGTATACATAACACCTCGTCGGTCTACTGTTTGCTATCTGACTCACGTTCGATGATTCTGGCGTTCGCCGGATGCGGCTTGGGAAAAGGGAGCCGACGGAATGGTTCTTTAGTATTTGACTCAGCCTGCCCGTCCCTTCATAAAGAAACTGCGTATAGCGTGGTTCTTTTCGCAGTCTTCCCCGACGATCCATCATGGCCGACCCGGTTGTCTACGACGATGACGATGACGATGAGGACGAGCCATTCGACGCTGAATATTTTGAAGACATGGCTTTCCGGATACGGAGCCTTTCTAATGCCATCTGGATTACTGAAGATCATATACCTAAAATGGATCCACCGCCGGAGAAGAGGAGCATCTTTCGTGCGTATAGCTGTCTCGCCACACTCCTCACCAGGGACTCTCGACAACATGAGCCTGTGGTTGTGACGGGAAACCATTTTCTGGGCAGAACAGGGAACGGTCCTTCCGTGGAGATGGACTCTGTTGCCCCGATACCCCAGTTCCTAACTGCTCTCGTCGTGGTTGACGAACGCTCTCAGTGGTCACAATCGTCTCCGTCGTATGATGCCATGGACGTTGAGCCACAGTTGTCGCAAATTCTACACCGTGTTATTATACAGCCAGGCGAATCAGGTCTAGAACAGCTTTCGGAAACTACAGAGTACGTCTTTTTCTCCCTCGCTTTCTTCCCGCCGATTTACATACGCCTGACGTAGGTTGACACCCGACATAACGCGCTATGCGGAAGACCTTATGGAAATCATCTTCACTCTTTCCAAGTCAAAAGATCCAGAGCAGTTCCTGAGGGCTTGTCGTTATATCTTTCGACAATGCTGGCCCGACATATTCGCTCGTGTTTTTGCCTCCGAATCTGTGATTCCATTCAACCACTACATCTACAGCAGCTTTGTGGATTTCCTTCGCGCGTGGGAGCCACAACCTGACGACGAGATGTACATCCTTGGGGAGACTGACGGCTGGGAGGCCGTCTTGAGGACGAGTCTTCTCGCAAAACTATTGCAATCAAAGGACATTGGGAGGGACGAGAATGTTTTCGAAGGGCGGGATGAATATGCCCTAACGCTAGAAACAGCAGGAGAGTGGTTCTCCATTTTGTGCGATATCCTCGAGGCCATCATCGACAGCGCCCTGAGGTTCGATGCCGACCGCACCGCCGGCTCTGAACTGGACACCCTGATCGAGAACACGCATGTTCTTACAGAACTTCTTGACTGCGGAGGAATTCAAAGAATATTAAAAGCACCGTCGCTTGCTTCGCATCTGATATCCTGCAAGGGTCAGATGGATAATGAGAGATTCGAACCTGACACCGACCCTGCACATAAGACCATCGGTAAGTAAGGCTTATTTTCTTCTGTTTTGAGGTGCCTCTTTTGAAGGAGCGCTTTAGATGACGAGAGGAGGGACGGGGAACTACCAGGGGAGCACCTTCTACGTTATCTGCAGACGCTGCTCGCTTGGTTTGAATCGCTGGATACCCTCGCTTCTACTGTGGCGGAGCGCGCTGAGGAAGAAGGCCTCCCAACACTCCGTATCGTGTATTCTTACCAGCCAACACCTGATGCGACACCAGCGAAACCTCTGCAGATGTACTCTCCCACGAAGACCATTGAATTTCTCTTGGAACAAGAGGACTATGATCCTCGGACAATGGAGGCGAAACCCCGAGCGTGGAGCGATGAACAGCTACAAGACATACATGAAGCTGTTGAAAAGCTGTTTCCGCGTCCCGGTGCTAAGCGCCAGAATTTTATTGGAAGTGTGCATTCGGAGGCGCTGCTTATGGACTACCTCGCCGAAACTATGTGGCTGTATCTTGACCAGGATAACATGTATGGTTTCAAGGTCAGGCTATACTAATGTTCCTTTCTATGAGTCCTTGTTGAAATTCTCCCAGGAGTCGAATAAGTTTGTCGCCCTTCCGTTGCATCATCAAACATGCTACTGCTGCAGCTTTCTGTACAGCGTTTTGTTCTGTAAATCAGTACACCCTTGGAATGTTCGGAATCGAAGGTTTCCTGGACGTTTGATTCCTTGGACTCCGCCACGGCTCTGGCATAACACTGACGCGTTGAATGCGTTGGATAGTCATTTGTTGGAGATGATTGAGACCGCTCTAAATTCGGCCGTTAGATCGAAGACGCCTACTATGGAGATGTTTGGGCTTGGGGAAGTACTTAATCAGTCGTTGGGCGGTATCCTGAGAGAAACATGACATTATATACACCAAATTTTTTTGTTGAGTGCACACATGTAGTATAGCATCATCACCTTGTATCATACATTCACCGACTGATATTCTTGTTGTTTCAATAAAGTCATGTACGTGTTCTTGAAGTGATTAATTGTCGTATTGTATACTTTACCCATTAAGGAAGAGCACTGACATAATCTTCAAATACGCAATACCTCAAAAGAGTGCGGCAGACCGATGACGAATAGCTAATCAACTTTTTATTTGATATACACACGACGGGCTTGTTATGAAGGTAAAAAGAATTCAGGATTGAATATCATGCGGTTCTTCTTGAGCATTCTGTCGCATGGATCTAGGTATTAAGATTTAGGCGCGACCAGGCAGCATTTAATAAGGAGCAGCGGCAGCTTGGCACTTCGGAGACAGTATATCAGCCTAGATATCAGGTGTAATGAAGGGGGAGAACTAACCGCTTTCAATTGCTCGAGATACCATGTGCATGATGGGAGATCAGCCTTATCCAGACACTTGGTAAAATCTTTTCAAGGGCCAATCAGATTCATCCCATCACAGAGATGACGCACGTACCTTTCGCTTGCGCTTCACAGCTCAATCCGCCTGCTTGTTGTTGCTGGACAGGAGCCGGAGCCTGCGCGGGGGCTTCGGCAGCAGCAGCGCTTCCTCCTCCGCCGAAAAGCATGTTAGAGAGACCATGACCAATAGTCGAACCAACGGCTACTGAGCCAGCCGTCGCCGCCATTTGGGCCATCAATCCTGGCTCCTTGGAGGGTGCTGCTGCCGCCGTCGGTGCATGAGGTACATTTGCAGGTGGTGCTGGTGCCCTAGCAGGGGAGGGAGAAGCAAAAGCAGATGCAGGGGCTGCCGCGATATGGGCACTTCTGGTCTGAGCTGGGGCTGGTGTAGCTCGGGCGGGGCCGGAAGCGCGGGGACGTGATTGACGCTAGAGAAAATGCACATTCTGAGAACGGTGAAGGAGGGGAAAGGGAAACTAAAAACTTACAGGCATGATGAATGAGAAACGAGATGGTGGTTAGAAACAAAGCTTTGACGATGCTGTCCACTAGAAACTTCTAAGATGCCGTCCGGTTGTCCGGCTCTGCCGAAGCGACTGCTGAGTAAGCAGCGTGGCGTAAAGTTGGCGTAAAGCGCAGCACTCAATTTTGGACAACATTCAAAAACAACGAAGCGTCCTTTTTTTTGCTCGGGATATGTTGAAAAGAACTGATTATATGCGCCCTGATTGATCTTTTTTTGTTTGATTTTTTTGAAGAATAAGTACTTACGGAAAAGGAAGTGACAAATGCCGAGACCCGGCAACGCCCTTACTTCCTTCCTTCACTTACGATGAACTTACAGCGAATAGGACACAGTTCCTGCCTCTCCTACCGAGCATGGACGCGTATTTCTCCAGTATCCTTGCCACATACCCAATACCGGACAATTATCCGCACCTCTGTTGCAAAAAAGCGCAAGGCCTCCATAAAACAAGCCCAGAAGGACTATGAAGCAAAAGCCAAAGAACAGCAGAACAACCAGGAAGCTGCCATCAACGAACTCGAGAAGCTGCGCGTTTTCTCTGCCATGAATCCCCAGTTTGATCCGTGGGCGCTCGACGCCCCAACTCTCGGTAGGCATCTTCATTTCTGCGGCTTCCCTTCCTGGCTCACGTCGGTTCGCACAAGCAAAGATGTCATGATACCATACCGCTTTGCACCATGGCGGCCAGAATACAGGACGAGCCCACTAGACGCGGCAAGACAATGGTTTAGTAATGTGGAGAACAAGGTCAAAAACGCGATTTGGTGAGTGCCTTATATCCTCAATTTCGATGCAAATTGATCAAGGTCAAGCATGTGGCAACTAGCTGCCTACGACAGCTTCCCAGGCAAGGATCTTACCGCAAAGAACTTTTTTGAAAAATACATCTCCTGGCCGCTGAAATCCCTCAAATGCACTTCGATTGCTCCAGACGAATGGGTCAGCCCCCTTCGTCAGATTGCATTGCAAACGTACAAGGATCTCAATGTCGCAATTGCCAAGTGCGTCGTCTCGTTTGGGGGCCTGAAACAATGCGCTCACTTTCTACAGGCGGGACGTCAAGCGAGTCAAGCAACTTTCGAATGTCAAATATCGCGACGACATTATGTCGCGCATGAACAAAGCCGACCCCAAACTCACGTACATCTGGCGTTTCCACAAGGAACTGGCTCCTACCAAGATCATATCCATACGCTGTACAGAAGGCCACTTGGGAGCAACACCGCCCACTTTTGGGAACCGACTGGTCGTACAAGCTCTTTTGAGGTTCGAGACCGAGCAGGTCAGAGACATCTTCTCTTTAAGTTCGCACCCGCTCATCTTTCCAGAGTCTTGAAATATATAATCAAAAAGGTCTGGCGGTACACGCACCAGCAGATGGAGCGGCGGCCTCCCCGATCGGCGGTACAGTGGTGCCTGCGAAACCGCGACGTGTAGTAGAGTATCTCACAATTGAGAAGAAAATGTACTACGACACCCCTTGGTACTTCAGAGACCAACTATGGCCTGCACCAGGTGGGAAGGTAGCTATAGCGTAGCATCTCGAAAACAATTTATGGTATCATTCACTCTCCTTAGAAGACCACTCTATTTGTGTTCTCATGTATAAGAGGGTAAGTGAAATCAATGAAATGATATAGCAGATGCCAGTAAGTTATTCGTGCGGGCGCACACGACGCCTCTTGCCTGACAGACTGATAAAAGCATCCGGAAGAGGGTCGTCTGTGACATAAGAAATTTTCTGCGCGAACTCCTCCACTGTAAAACTAGGATGACTTCAGGATCCCAAGTCAGCTCGGTCACCAACACAGCAGGAAAGGAGTTACCAATTGGCGAGGTGATGTCCTAACATAGACGCCTCACAGATCTCACTGCAGTCTGAACAGCGGAAGCGATTAAAACCTTCATTGTATATATCTTGCCATCCTTTGCCTTTCATGCCTTCGATATATTCGGCTTCACTCTTGTCTTTGCCTTCAAGTAATGCAAACTGCGGCGTTGTACTGTGGTTTGACGCGTGTACGAGCTATGAAATAGTTTGAGAATCGTATGTATATATAAGATGATACACATACCCCCTGTTGCCATCGCAGTACCAATCGTCCGAAATCATGGCGACCCAGGCATTCGAGTAAAGGGTGCAGAGTATTCATATGCACATAAGTGACTACTTTGGGGTCAAGATCGCATGCAATAACGATCGCCCGGGCAACGTCAGAGGCTCCCTTATAGAACCTGAATAGTTTTTGAGATTGAAGCCATGGTAATTCATCGCTGTTTTGAGGACAAGAGAAACGTCGTCTCGACAGCTGTCCGCACTGATGTACTAAGACCTTGGGGTACATTAGAGGCTGTTTGCAGGCGAGACACTGGAACACCGTCGTCGCCAGGTAGAGATCTTCTTCATCAGCCTCTGTGTCAGTGGCCTGACGCAGCATTTCCAGACACTCAACCTTTTTTGCCGCGCGCCATTCATCGACGATTTCTGCCAGTCGATTAAGCACAGGGGAGAAAGTGTCTTCAGTGAGCGCCTGATCCAGAGGAGTAGCATCCAAAATTCGCTTGCAGTCCTCCATCGCTGCAAGGGATACGTAGTCAGGAGCAAACGACGTTGATGAGGATATGAGATGGCATTTAAGGGCGTTTGACAGTATGTTTCGAACTCCGTTGAATCGACCGGATAGCAAGCGTTTATCTTTGTGACTTTGAAGGATACCGACAAGGACAGCTTCCATTCTTGCCCATGCTGCGTTTATCAATACGTCCAGTCAGTAAAGTGATATTTATATGCGGCCACGAACCTTTCTCCGTCAACTTCTCCGACTTCTTGACTAATTTATGGTCTGCAATGTGATGTGATGGTATTATGGCGAGCTCTTCACCCCAGCCAAGGGTGACGAGCCTTCGATTCACCCTAAACAAAGACCATCAGTCGAGTCGAAGTACTCATTCAGGATCCATATTACTCAGCAAGACGATCCACCACTAAATTGTCCTTCGCCTTTAATTCTTGCTTGTTCCACCAGATTCCTGCTTCCGCCATCAACTAAAATAACACAATATTGGCTTCAGAACGGTAGACTGCCGGAGACGCGTACCCGTCGATATGAATTGAACTCTGCACACTTTCCCCTCATCCAAACAGAGATAGCAGGCTGATCCCCGTTCAAGGCATCGTATTCTTGACCGAGACGCTCCATTGTGGGCAGAAAGTATGTACGGTGTTTTTCACCTTTGTACCAAGTAAATCTTGGAGACATTCACAGCTCGCACGCCAAAGAACGCACCTTTTCTCAGTACTAGTCTAGGTTCGATAAAATAAACGGAGTACTGGGCCTTTATGAATTCGATAAGCCCAGATGTTTTGCTGTTCGCCGATAGCTCAGATTCGGAGACATGGCTACGTAAGTTAAATGTGGTCAGTAGGTATATCAGTACGAACATGATTAAACTTACAGTCGAAGTATGCATTTTCTGCAAGCTCTCGTTGTTGTCATTGTCATCACGCCCGAGTTTTCGTCCGAAGCACAGTACTACAAAAAATCGTCAATTACGAAGATTTTCATCACAAGACACTCACATTGCAACCCTTTTCGAACATGAAGTCTATAATTGCGGGCTCGCTCGTCAACGGACCCATGTCCGGCAACGGCGTCACATAGGAGCGTGCCCTCTTCCAGAGAGAAAGCACAGAACGACTCATCAGGAAGCCACTAAAATGTTTTGTGGTTCTAGCCAGTCGCAAGAGGTCCACAGGGTCCAAATAAGAAAATATCTGCCGACGATACTTATGTGAGAACGCACGCCTCAACTAGGGGACGTGAAGAAGGGCACCTCGAGATAGATTTCGAATGGCACATCGGCAAGTTGAGATTTGAAAAACTTAGCTCGACGACCTCGTCTTGTTTTGGATATAGCTACAGACTCTTCTACTGCAGTGGGACTCATGAGCTTTCGCGTCTTCCTAGGGCGGGCCTGAGGGGCTGACGTCGACGCGTTTGCATCATCTCTAGCAGTCGGTTTCTCTTTGATACGCGCAGATCAGCGCATGTCGGATGAATATGCAGAGCTATTGTTCATAAGTAGTGTGTAGATGGTGGTGGTAAGAGTTCAAGTTGTTCCCGTTACTAATGAGGTCTCAGTCAGTGTTACTCTGACTGTCACGGTACCGAGATGGTGACCACGTGAGCGCAATACTAGTCACTCCCTCCTCGAATTAGTTACCGAGTTCGCCATCCACATATGCCGAGAATTCATCCAAAATGTAGGTTCCTTTCAACAAAAGAGGTTCTCGTTCTGGCAGTAATCAATCCAGAGCTGTGAAGCTGGGATCTTAAAGGAAACCATGTCCTGTCATGGGCGATCTGGCGAAGCAGCGACCGCAGTGGCTCTCCGCGCCAGAGGTCAGAACTTTGCGTCATAGAAAGACAAGGATTCCATGCAGTCGATATCTAAGTAGCGGTCAAATCAACACTTTCCTAGAAAATATTTTCAGAAAAAAAAACCAGCCTCAGCGCCAGTGTTTCGCCGGCAACAAGTAGACTGAAGTGTCATGAGCCAACACACATCACAACAACGAAAACAAAGAAAGAGTAACAGATAGTATTGCTTTCGAATATGTACAACAATAATGACGATGATGTCGAGACAGAATGTACCCAGAACTGATTAACCAAAGAAAGTGCACGATAAAAGCACAAGTGGATTGCCCAGTTCCGGGCTATAAGGATGCTCTTCTCGTCTAGCACCCACGAGCCACAAAATCAACGAAGGATATCATAACAGGATGAGGGCGCAACGAGTAAGACTGTAAAGAAAAATTTTGGAACTCAGATCATTTTGTATTGCTACGGGAAATTCCGAATCGGAGTTTGAACCGTGTATATAAGCCCGCCAACCGGGAACGAACCTTATCGAAAGTTTTCACCTCGCACGTTGATATTTGAGGTTCATTCTCTTCCTCTCCAAGGATGGATCTTGAACTGAGCGAAGGGAGAAGGATACCTTTCACCTAGATCGCGTGGACTTTCTTGTGTCGCTTGCGGCCCGTATGGAAGGGATATTTTATTTAAATATGGCTTTTATCAGATTTACATTTGTTGCGTAGTTTTGAACACGTCCTGCTTCGCAACTCCGGGATTTCACTCTGGATTCTCGTAAAATTTCTCTGGATGCATTACTCGTGATATAAGGTAGCTGTGATGAAGAAACTCCCAATGAAGCGACCTGAGGACCTATGCAATGGTGAATTGCTGCCTGAAATGCGGTGCAGGTAAAAGTCCCGATCGGAATGGCGCTCGGCTACCATTCATTTCTTTCTTTTAATTACCACCACCATCGGTACCTTTTCCTTCATTGTAGGATCCGGAAGGACCTTTACATCGCCTTGGATGCATATCAGTAGCTCACCTCAGCCAATGCGACAGCAGTGGGGGCTGTTGGACCCTGGCTTTGACATATCTTGTAGGGTCTTTCGTGATATACGGTCACGGGAATCAAGGAACTGCACTGCCCTCCCTTATCGTCCTCCCCATGAATGCGAGGATATCTTGATGTCATTTATTGGCCGTTATATTTATCTCGGCAGCAGGATGCTCCCGTTAAAAGGTTCAGAAGTTTCATCAAGAACCCAGTTTACGAAATGACCTCGAATATCACGTTCGATTTTGGAGAGCGACTGGGTATCTTTCTCATTAGAGGCAGCTAGGTGAGTTTCCTCTCGGCTTTTCTTGTCACTCATTGAACATGTCGTAGTTTATCTGCCCTTTCGGTTGCGACTCTGCTTGTCTATGTCGGATTCAAACTGTTTCGGCGTTTCCAGGCGCCGCGCGTACTAAGGAAGCACTCCATGGATGTTGATGATTGGGATGCGAGCAACTCAGTTTATTTTATAAGCCTTATGTGCGCAGAGCTTGTCCAGGCGCTTGGTGCGTAGCTGCTTTTCTATCACCTTCGTCGGCACCTTTTGATTCCCCCATAGGCGGACTTTTGAATATACAATGGATCATAGACGCTGTAAGAATGCCAATCATATCTCTATGCGCTTTTGCAGACTGTTCTGTTCCAGGAGGTCACTGAAGGCCCCTTGTGCAAAGCGCAAGGCATCTTGAAGCAGATGGGTGACGTTACAGTTGCTCTCACGCAGGCATCTCAAGTTCCTATCATGAATGTAGACTGATACATTATCTATAGGTCCCTTGTACGTGTTTTTATTTTCATCGGGCATGCGGTCTAACACTGCTAGTAAGCCCTCGCAATTCATACATTCAATGTCCTTGTGATGCGGTGGCGGGTGCCTCCCTTGTTGTCCGTTTTCATCATCTCCCTCATTTGGATCTTCATCGCCTTGAACGTTGGCTTAAGCTCTGCTACGCATCCGGGAAACTACTATGGGAATACAGGATATTGTGCGCTTTATTCTTTAGTCCTTCACCCCGGCTCATTTCCATATGTAGGGTGCTGGATTCGAGATGAATATAGTGTTGAGCGAATAGCTCTCGAGTATCTCTGGCTCTGGATTGCTCTTGCCGTTATGGTTATATTATATGGCCTGATTGCTCTGGTCATGCGGGGGTTCATCGTGCTTGATGAGGGTATTCACTTCATGACACAACGAAATCGTAGATGGCAAGACTTGACCGCAGCAGATGATGAAGACGAGCGGCAATCCAAGGCTGTAGCAAACCTCATGCTATTGTTGGTCCATCTGATCTATCAATTTTCATGCGCAGTCTGATGTCTCTCAGTTATCCCGCGGTGTACGCTATCTGCGTATTTCCCATAACCATTGTTAGGTGGCTCTCTTTTAGTGATGGAGTATATGTTCCTCCGGGAGCGACATTTTTTGCGGGCATCCTTTTTTCGTCATCAGGTCTACTCAATTCTATTTTGTATACGGCAACTCGTCCCAATCTAGTGCCGTCCAGCAATAACACCTCCCGGAATTCCCGAAGCAAAGCTTGACGACCACTTTCCAGGTCGGCCGGCAGATTTCGGCCCGGACACTGACGAGGAATCCCTTTCCCATTTACCACAGGATAGAGATAGATAATGTTAGGAGCCGCTTATCCGTCGGATTGTACTGATCATCTTGTACGTGTTCCTCGATGTCCCTCGCAAAAGCGGGATCTGATCAGTTCACCAAGATCAACTTTTGTTGTACTTTTAAATAAACCTCATCCTTTGTACTCACTGTGCCTCGAACTGGAAGAATTCAACATCGCTGAGATGAAATGTGCCCGATTTCCTCTACGCATGACCTTTGCAGGGCTCATAATAGAGAAGGCTTCCCGATGCACTTGCTTAGCGTTGCTTTCCACAGGAGATGAGCCACTCCCGGAGGCTACTCGCGTTTCAAGGGTCTCATATACCAAGGTTTCTAGGTACTAAAAGGAGGCAGGTTACTTGCTTTTTCCTCCTCTAAGTCAACTATGTCTCCTAGTTACGTTCGATCACACAGCGGAATATTTTGAGAGCAAATAAATACTAGAGCGGTATCTAGCTGTTTCCGCTATTCCCACCTCACTGTTGATTTCTCTCTGTCAGAATGTCCACCTCGAATTCGGAAACTTACGATATTATCTTCGCGGGGGGTAAGAGACAAATCTCCCTAGCCTTCACTCGTTCTAACTTCGTGTAGGCGGGGCTGCAGCGTGCGTGGTTGCAGGCCGACTAGCGGAGGTGGATCCGTCGCTCAAAATTCTCGTTAGTTCACGCATTTACTCTTTCATGATGACGTTGACAGCATTTACCAGATCATCGAAGCTGGGGCACATACGCGCAGTCAAGATCAGCATGTACAGCCCGGGCGTTATCTCGGAAACATGGCTAATCCAGCCCTGTTCATGCACTATCTGGCGAAGCCAAGCAAGGCTCTCGACGGACGGCAAGCAGCCGTGCAGACCGGTAAATGCGTTGGCGGGGGATCCTCCGTTAACTGTGAGTCCTCGAGTTCCTAGAATAAGGCAGGATGCCTCAAGATGACTCCGCAGTCATGATGTACACCCGCGCTTCAGCATCAGACTTTGATGATTGGGAGAAGGTTGGCAATCCCGGTTGGGGATCCAAGGATTTGATTCCATTAGCGCGCAAGGTCAGCTCGGGTATTTTTCTGTAAGGCATTTTAGATAACTTGAAGCATTTATCCAGCTGGAGACCTATGAGCCTATTGCGTCTGAAGACCTTTCGACCCACGGCGACTCCGGCCCCATTCACATCTCCCGAGGAGGCCATAAAACAGATATCGGGGATCAATTCCTTGATATTTCAAAGAACTACGATAAGGAGCGCGGCTCCACCGATGATGTTAATGACTTTTCGTCTTGCAACGCCTATGGAGTAAGCCGTAATCTGCTGTTGGATTCGAAACAGAGCTCATAATACATGTACAGAGATGGCAGAAGTAGGATGTTTCTTTTCTGATTCGGAGGTCTACTCATTCATTGTTGCTAGATATATCGGCTCGAAGACCGGGATGCGGTCTGATGCCGCCCATAATTTCATTTACAATCAGGAGCACAACACCAACCTCAAAGTATTAACAGGACAGCTGGTAAAACGTGTCCTTTTTGAGTACGTTCCCTATTTTGTCTAGTGCCCTTTGCCACCTAGCGGGTTCACCTAGAAACAATCGTGCCATCGGCGTTGAATATGTGGATGACGTCGACCAGACCGCAAGTGCTAAGAAAATCTTTGCCTCTCGTTTGGTTGTTCTCTCTGCTGGTGCATTTGGTTCTCCTGCCATCCTTGAAAGGTCTTGCAAGCCTGTCTTTTTACAAAATGTGTATTGATCTGCTTTAGGTCTGGAATCGGCGCAAAGCATATCTTGGAAAAGAATGATATACCACTGGTAGTCGACCTTCCTGGTGTTGGAGAAAACTACAATGGTTTGATCATTCACCGCTTGCCCATTAATTGAAATTTCAATCGATTCATCGACAGATCCTCATCTCGTCCTGACTCCCTACATTGCAAGCAGTGATTCTGACTCTATGAAGGCCATGTTTGAAGGCAAGGATAGCGAATTTGAACGTGCATAGCTCACAATCACCTTATGTCGCGATGAAGCTAACACTTTACTCTAGCGTACTTCAGACGATGGAAACAAGACGGGCGAGGACTCATGGCTCATAAGTATGTTGTCCTTTCACACAACCGAGTTGATGCTGACCGGTGCTTACAGCGGTATCGATGCTGGCATTAAGATCAGGCCTGTGGACAAGGACCTGACCGAGCTTGGTCCGGAGTTCAAAAAGAGATGGGATTCGTTATATGTTCCTGCTCCAGACAAAGCTCTTCTATGGTTAGGTCCTATTGCTGGGTACATGGGCCGCACCCCGGATTTGCAAGATAGAAAGCTGTTCACGATGACTTGTATCAGTGTATGTCCCACATCACAATAACTGCACAGGACTCATCTTCCGTAGTACTATCCTATTTCTTCTGGACGCACCCATATCACCTCTTACAGTCCGTATTCCCCCGTAGACTTTGAAACTGGATTCCTTGAAGAGTGTGTCCATTCTTTCCACACTTGCCAACTACTAAGCAACTCTAATTTGTAGACACGCCGATGTTCTCTCGTTGAGGTGGGCGTACAAACGTGGAAGAGAGCTCGCTCGCCGGATGGGAGCATATCGGGGAGAACACAAGCCTGACCATCCCTCTTTCTTGGAAAGCAGTTCGGCTGTAGTTGGCGACGCTTCCGGTCCCGTAGACATTGACGCTCCTGATATCGTTTACTCCGTTGACGATGATAAGGCTATCGATGCATATCATCGCGCGAATGGTGCGTTGGTCTCTCATATTTCGCTTTCTTGTTTGGAGATTGATCGTGTCAATTTAGTGAACACAACTTGGCACTCTGTTAGTCTTAATCTTTGGGAGCGCAGGGAATCTGTTTATTGACTTATCGACAGCTGGGTACATGTGCTATGAAACCTCTGCAGAAAATGGGAGTGGTTGATTCAAGATTGAATGTATATGGGATACAGAATTTGAAGGTGGCAGGTAAGTTTGGGGCCTTCGTTTGCTTGTCCGTTGCTCATATGCCACATGAAGATCTCAGTATCGCCCCGTCAAATGTCGGTGCTAACACATACAATACCACGATGATTATCGCTGAGAAGGCCGCTATCATTATTGCAGAGGAGCTTGGTATAAAAGGTGTGGGTACTACGGTAAACACAAAGATGGATGTTTTTTTTTTGGTGTGAAGGCTTAAGACCTCAGAGATATCCTAATACCTTGGGACTGAGTACTGAAGCTTTTTAATATGCGTAAATCGTTTGACAACGCAATTATACATATTTCTTTTTACGGTTCTTACGTTTCGGCACTTAAAGTAGCTGACTCGCGGTGGCGGCAAAGCCCGTGATCGAGCTCAGCTTCCTAAAGTGCGACCTCCGCCGACGACGGTCGCCAATCCTCTGGTCCGCCGGTCCACAGTTGCGTTTGCTGACAGATTATTTTTATTAGGCAACATGCCGAAGCAACCTTGCTTATGGTCGGCATACTTGCTTCAAGTTGAACAAAACCTGCCCAACGCCGAACTCTATAATTTCTTCAGGTTTTTAGGATACATCCTCCTGCCTTGCTATCTCCTCCGGTGCTTCGCTTTCAACCGAAACGACTATTAACAATTCACTTTGTTCTTTTTACGTGTTGACTCCGGACCACTTGACTACATAGAGAACGTTGGGAGTTTTCCAACTGCACGCAATTCATTTGTACCGGTTGTTGTCTTTTGTCATCATGCCATCGATTCGGTCTAGTTTTTTTCATCAGTCGGTTTAGCTTTCTTGATCAGTGGCCGAATTCAAAAATGCTGATATACCTGCGTTTCCTTGTTTTCAGGGATTACTAGCTGTTCCGGCAACAAGAACTGTTTTCTCTATGGCCCCGAAATTAATGAACGTGAATGCGAGCTAAATTAAAATAGATCTGTTTACCCGACTGCTCCGAAAAGAAACCAGCTGATACCATTGCGAATTCCTTCGCTGCATTCGCGGATCAGTGGTGGTTCAAAATGAGTAATAAAAGGTGCGACTAGGAGCACCTGGATGCCGCCATGCGCATGCACCCCGAAAAATAATAACGGTCCGGACAAGCACAGTAGTGCCAAGTAGAAGGAAAAAAAGAAAAATTCTTCTTAACATCGAAGACGGCCCGGAGGCACTATTAAACAAGATGCCAGCAGCAGAAGATGCGAACCATGATTACGATGGGAATCCTCCTCCCTTTACTCGGATTGGCGCTCTTGGGTTTTGTGGCATCGTCCCCGGTAGAGCTCATTGGGCCTGCACTCTCTCCAGAGGCATTCAAACGAGCTGTTAGCTCTGCTTATGTGTTTACCGCTTTCACCAGCGTATCCGAGTCCAATCTCTACGTATACACTTCAGACGATGGCACCAATTTCAATCTTTTGAAAGGACCAGCTTATACCCCGGCTACCGGTCTCATTCGTGATCCGAGCGTTATTCTTCACACAGAGTAAGTACCGGTGCCCTTGCTGAGGTATCCCAGTAAATTGATCACCTATCTTCTAGCGGAAAATACTACATTGCCTGTGAGCTGATTCTTCAAGCACAAACTTTATACCCTGATACCTAACTCTATCGAGATACGACTGATTGGACTGGAACCAACTTTGCTATCGCGGTTGGTATTCGTCATATGTGGGTCCGTAACATAGCTCACTTCCTCATTGTGCCGTAGAGCAGTTCTGACCTCCTTACCTGGACACTTGTCGCCACGATCCCCACCTCTTCCTCATTAATTACTCCGGACAACACATGGGCACCGGTATGACACCACAAAACAGATCATGTCGTGAGTGCTAACCTCAGCCTCCCAAGGAATTCTTCAAAGACACCAATACCGGAAAACTGAATATCGTCGTCTCTCTCTCAACCGGCAGCTATGGTCCTTTCTTACCCTACCTATTTACTGCCAACGACGACACCCTCACGTCATGGAGCGGCCCCGTCGTTATGACCGGTATATCCAACTCGGGTTTGGGATACATTGACAGCTTCCCCGTTTTATTCAAGTAGCCTTGCCCTTTCTGCCGCCCAAAAACTCTGATCTGAGGACTTGCTCTTGCAGTGGTCAATATCATCTATTCGCCAAAGCAGAGACAAATGGAAAAAAAAACATTGAACACGCCGTTGCCTCGTCCCTCACGGGCCCGTATACCTTTGTCCAGACCGGAGACTTTGCAGGATGGGGGCACGCCGAAGGCGGGTGTGTCTCCATTCTTCCAAATGGTACCCATCGCTTGTGAGCACCTAGTCATCTGTATTTTGTACGGTAACCTTAAAATGAAGCAGATATGCCGATGGCTACGATTCTGGCAAATACATCTACTCGGATTCCACTGACCTCTACAACTGGTCTTCCTATCAAATTCTTCCTGGTGGTCTGAACGGGTTTGTAAGGCATGGCACGGTGTTAAAGCAGTAAGTAGTCCAGAAGAGTCTAGATACCAGTTCTGCGAAGGTCATTCATTTGTTATGTGTTCGATGTATATACAAGACTCGGGAAGGCCTGAACTACTCCAGGCCTTCACCATAAATATACCGTGCGTGCTACTATATGGACAAATGCATCTGAGGCGTTATCATGAGAAAAATGTAGACGGTTGTTGTCCGGAAGGTATGCGTACGCCTATGTGTCGAAATAGTAAAGGAACAGAAGTACAACTTCCATTCTGAGTCAACTTCGACGACCTAGCATCGTCATAGGCACACGTTACCCCTCACCGCAAAGATGCCTTGGATGCCCTCTTCGTCACTTGGGTCTCCTTCACTCCCTCCACACCACTTGCCGTCTTGATGTTGACCAGCACTTCCCGGCAATACCTCAGCTTGTCGACGAGCTTCCCGTTGAACTTCGCCTGCGCCTCATCGATATTGCCAGCCTCCGCCTTCAATGCCGTAGCCATAATCTCGCTCAACGTCCAGCGTGTCATCTTATAGTGCTTATCGATATGCGTCACCAATAGTCCATGCGAAGATAGGATGATCTTCGAATGGTCGTAAAAGTTGAACTGCTCCCGAACAGACATCAGTGACAATAATGGGTGATTTGCGGGGAAACTGACTTGTAATACATCGTGACTCATCTTGAAGACGATGACATGCTTCATCCTTAGGTACTTCTGCACCCAGTCCATGCCCTTCGTCCTGTCTACGTCCTCAAACGTGTACTCATATTCTCCATATAGACGATCCATGATATACCGCTCGAAGTGCTTCAGCAGATATACCTTGTTCTTCAAGTCATCTGGGTATTCATCTACCGTGTACGACTTCTTCACGAACATGACCCCCTGTTTCCTTGCCGCCAGGTAGTCAAAGTGCCTACCAAGGAACCGATCAGTCCATATCTCCATGCGATAGAATAGGTTTACCGTTTATCAGCACTCAGGATAAGGCTTGTTGTGTCGTTGAAATGAACGCCAACGCTACCATCGGTCAGAGCATAGCCCATGCCATATTTGTTACAGTAATCCACCCAGGAAACGATGAACACACGTTCCTCGGGAAGAGGAAGCTGTGGATCTTCTCTAGGGTCACGGAATAATTTCCCCCGCTCCTTTGCATCAAACGCAAGCGAGAGCACATGCGCAGCACCATCAAAGCCGGTGAGCCTATTTTTTAGCTCCTGCCCAGTCAGTCTTGCTTCTCCGTCTCCTACACGAGTTAAGCTAGCGAAATAAACATACGAGATGCAGCAAAACTTACGTTGTAGTCTGTCATCTCTGACGTCCACATCCTTGCGCTTCCGCGCCTCGTTCTTGACAGGTGGCATGTTCTCTCTCTCGTCCTCGGTATCTTCCTCCTTGGGCTCAGCCATCTGAGCGACGATCCGGGCTTTCATAGCCTCCACCTCCTTCCTCCGTGCCTTGTCTCTTTGTTGTTGCTCACCATCTTCCTCCCTAATGCCCTGCAAACCTCTGCCAGCCGCACGACCAACGGCACCTCGTCCTTTGGGGGGTCCAAGAGGTGAGGCCTGTTTTGAGGCCGCTTGCAGCTTTCTCATCAACGGAGATTCCTTGCTTCCCCCACCATTGCCGGTAGTTGTGCTCATTAAGAGCGGCTGCCTTGCAGAACTCAACAAGGCAGAGATGGGGGAGCCAGGCTGGACAGCTTTCTGGAACTCTTTCTCCTGCTGAGCGATGCTCGAAGTAACGCTTTTCATTGCTCCAGACGTCGCTGCAGAGACCTGCGACTTAGGAAGAGCGATGGATGTCACCTGATCCTCGTCCAAAAGAGCCTTGCGCTTGATACGTCTATAGTTGGCTTCGCTTGACACACGATTGATATGTTGGAAGGTGGGGATGCTCTCGTTCGCAGAGATGGGGATATAAGGCGGAAAAGTACCTTCGCTCAAGAAGGGGTGAGCGACGATTTCATGGACAGTCGGGCGGAGCTGTGGGTCAGATGCGAGGATACTCGTGATGAGCTCCTTGGCCTCGGATGATACTGGACGTTCTGGAGGGAAGTCATAGTCATTCTCTTTGATGCGGCTAGGCGTGGGTCGTCAGCAACGGGGCAGAGATGATCATCGATGAACGCACTTGTAAATTCCTTTCACTTCCTTTGTCTGGAAAGGGGGGCGTCCCACCACAAGGGTGTACAGGATGACGCCTGTAGACCATGTGTCGACTTCGAAGCTATGACCATTCGCCGTATCGAACAGGACTTCTGGTGCAATATAGTTCGGTGTTCCACATATTGTCTTCTTACGTTCACCTTCGTTCTCGATGAGGGCGGCAAGACCGAAGTCTCCCACTTTGATGTTCATATTGGCGTCCAGGAATATGTTGCCAAGTTTGAGGTCACGGTGGATGACCTGATGGGTGTGCATATAATGGCAGGCACCGAGGATTTGGACCATAAAGAACCGAGTTTCGGGCTCGGTGAAGCGTCTACGTCTGCGTAGGAGATCCATGAGGGACCCACCGAGGCAGAGTTCGAGGGTCATGTAAACGTTTTCGTCATCTTCAAAGCAGTCCATAAAACCGACAATGTTCGGATGTTCGAGGGATCTGTGGATCTTGATTTCGGCGTATAACTATGCAAATTCACTCAGTGACTGGTAGCCGGATGGACGGGACTCCCAACCTTGGTTTTTGCCTTCTTGGTCTTGAGAGAGCTCTTGGTAACCACCTTACATGCCCATTTAGATCCTCGAACATCTCTTACTTCGTATACCCGAGCGAACCCTCCCTATCATACACCAGATGCATTAGCAGGAAGACCACGAAAATTGCCACCTCACCTCTCCCAAAAAGTCCAATCGGTGGTATACCCTATTGTTCTTGCTGTCGGAAATGACCTTCGGCGGTGACGGCGGTGCAGTTTTACTGTTCTGGCGAGGCAAAGGAGGTGACGCTGGCTGTTTTTGTTTCTCAGCGGGTTTCGGTGGCGAAGCTGGTGGCCTTGTAACGTAGTTGTTGACGACGTTGAGAGGATAGCGCTTGGACGGTCCTGCGAGGGGTGGCGCTGGCATCCTGTTGTATGCCTGCATAGGATAGACGTGAGCTGACATGAATCTTGAATCTTGAGGAAGGCCTAACGCCAGATGATGGGACGAGGAAAAAGACAGGCCACTGCAAGTTGAAATCCGCGCGATAGCCTCGTGGCAAACACGTGACTTGGTCTAAGTTCAACAGCATCACATGATCGTGACTTTTAACGTAAGCGTCAGGTAATCGGCGCCGAGGTCCGACAGAGGCTTTGACCAGGACCTATAGCCTCGCTTGTCTACCTTAACAAAGCTTGACAAGTGTCGTGTGTGTGCTTCGACTGTCTTTATCCCTTCAAATGTCAGAAGTCCGATAGCCTCGTGTAGGCTGCGGGATTCTTTTGCGACGCCACCAATTATGTACTAGAAGTTAGAACGGACTTGTTTTGTCTTGAAATAGTTGCACCTGATAAATCGCATGTAAAGACATTCTGAACAGTCATGCGTGATAATGACATTGGTTAGCCGCTCATGTATGATATTTTAGTCTCGAGAGTCACTCCTCGTATTCGGGCAATTCCTGACTGCACTGTGCAGGCATACCTAGAAGGCGCCTTTGACCAATACTACTAGTGGTAAAAAAAAATGGTTTCGAGTATGCAACTACCAGTAAATAACGGTATGCGGCAGTTCGCTTCGCGTGTAATATTAATATTTTCGTCTATGAAGAGTTGATGAAGAGTCGGACTGCATTTTTGTGAGGGAAATAGTCAAAAGGAACGGACTGTCCTACCCATGATAATAATATTAATGGCTATTCTCTCCTTCTTGATTGACGGTCGTACGCAGATGCATAATATCCCCGCCTACTGGCATGAATCGATGTTCTGCATCTTGTCAGTTACGTAATATACGACTTTTGAACTTTCTTTTCTCCGCCACCGTTGTGTAACAGCCTACTCTCCCGTGCCAGGCCCTCTCAGCATAACAATTCAGGTTCACGCGACGCAGGTCATAGCTTGCGTGAATTCAAAAACTACATCTCATGGGAAGGGTAATTACCATCATTCAAAGACAACGGCCTAGTGGATGTCACGCCGGCAGCCTTTGCGCTACGAGTTTCTCACACCACCACAGCTTCAAAGCCTAAAGTTGAAGAGCCTGGCACACATGGACGAAGCAGTGTTGACCCTGATCTTGACTTTGGCCGTCCAATTCGGGATGACACTTGCTTGAGACTTCCTTTGTCCATCCGCCCGTTTTGTCCAGAATCTTACTTCGGTCCTCTCCGCGTGTATCTGACTTTGTCCAAAGTAAAGGTGCCACTCGGAGGCTGTCTACAGCCCTCAGCTGCATTATGGCCTGTACGAGGAGGAAGTCGGCTGACGGTCGAGCAGAATCATGAACTTTGTCGTTCGAGCGTCTACTAACGACGTAGCACGCTTTTTTTGCTTGTGAGATACTTTGCTCAGTTGCCACTTGAAGTGGTGTCGCTATCACCTGGCCAAATATGGAATTCAACCTCCGACGCTATTGTACTGGCTTGCAAATATTTCACTTTGACCGCCAAGATATATATAATAATGCACCTTGCCTTTGACCAACACTGCTCTGTCACATCCCTCCCTACCTGAAAATTTCTGCTCTCTGCGTCGTTGCAGAGCACGCCAACATCTCGGACTCAGAGGTCCAAGTTACACATCCGTCGCTGTCTCGCCAATGTCGCAATATACGTGAGTCCAACAAAACTCTGTCGATATTATAACGTGCTCATGATGTATTGATTTTAGACGCGTCCCTCGAACTGTCAACCAAGACTACTATAATTTCGACGCTGCCACCGAGGAGACACGCTCTACAAAGCAAGGAGAGACCGCCGATGACGCGGAAATTGAGCTACTTATTCGAAGTGTCATTCCCTTTACTTCACAGGATCCTCCACGCCCTTCGAAGTGCGTGCTTATAGTTCCTCCCGTTTTATGTTTTCGCTGATCATACCTACCCTAGTCGTCGCGGTCGAGCACCAGATTCTCTAATATTCGGGGAGCCTGAAGAAACGACGAAGGATACATCACATAGTCCCTCTGAAGAGTCACCATATGATTTATCTACGGTCCTATCCATATTGGACGCGCAACTCCTTGAAGAGAATGAAGAGGAAGATGAAGATTTGGAGTTCGTTCCCTTATACATCCCTGAAGATTCGACTCTCAACCCATCATTCCCGCTACAAGATACACAGCGGAAGCCTCCGTCCCATACTTCCACTGTTCGAAGCAACGATATCCCAATTTCTCAGCCGACACCCCAGGCAGCTTCTGTGCCAGTCTCTCAGTCCAATGACTACTCACCCCCAACTCAGCCCAGTCCCCCTGTCGTTGTCCACGATGCCACCCAACAGACTCTTTTCGACACTGAGATGGAGCCTTCTCATCCGCCCCCGAACAGATCGTTCAATGAATCTTCCTCCGAACATGTGCAGTTTGTGTCGCCGTCTCCATGGCATGCAACAATCATGCCACATTCTCCGTCTACTTTCCAGTCTTCCCCGCAGCCCCCTTCTCTACAACCTTCGGGTTCGGAGCTATCTCTTGGAGAGCTGCAGCGCCATCTGGCTGAAGCAGTCATTCAGGCGGTCACCAGCAACCCCGAGTTTGCCCGAAGATCTATGGATATCCGGCATGCTGATCAACTAGTCCCGCAACTCGTGTATTCTATGTTGGAACAATATCCAGAGTTATGGGAAATTCAGAAGTTGCTCTCGGTTCAATTGTCAGACGTTCAGGCACTAGCTGCACAAGTGGTAGCACAATTTCTGGCGATGCTGGAACTACTGCGATCGCAGAACCAACAACAGGTCCACCAATTGGCCGCTAACGACACACCCATGACGGATTCCGCCCGGTCGTACGAGGACAACTCCCCTGGATTGGGTGTATGTCTTGTCTTCGTTTTAATCAATTCCCTGTTCTCATCTTTTGTTTCTGCAAGGCCTCGCCTGAGGGTTGGCCTGAATCCGCGGTCGAGCAAGAACAAGAATGTCAACAGTACTTTGCCAGTGATTTCCAATTCATGAAGTTGAAGGATAAACTTCCCTCGGTCCCTGACGTCTCTGAAGTGCCGGCGTTTGTTCAGTTTTTCCGGGATACCTATCCGCTCCTTGAAGACGAGGCCATCTGGAAAATTGTAATGTGGTTTCATCCTGAGCTGCATGGCCAAAAAACACTGCACGATACATTTGTTCTACGAGAGGATGCTGTGCGGGCGGCTTTGGCAGAGGTTCGAAACTGGAGATTTCCTGGCTCTGATGCAGGTTGGTCTATATCCGCACACGAATTCTTTCCCTCGTCGCAAGGGAACGTACTTCCCCAGGGCGTCCTTTTCGTGGAGCAAGAATCGTGCATTGATTCGGCGCCTTCCTCTCCCTCGGCGCCATCCACTCCGAGGAAAGAAAGTTTACCTTTAGGCGAAATGTTCCAAGAGCATCAAGATATCCACATGGAGGTCCGTACTTTGATTAACACCTTTATTCAGCTCTAATTGATGGTGTATAGGACCATGAGGAAGTCCGCGATAACTGGGATGCCTGGTCTTTCGATCCTGAACCGAAATGGTCGGAGATCTATATTCCCTTGCATGACCCAGAGACGCGAGGATACAGTACGGGCCAAAGTGTTCCACTCGAGCATTCATACTGCGATTCTCCGTACGACTACCACTTCGATTATCCATGGCCCCACTACGAGCAGCCACACGCTCAGTACGAGATGCCGCAAGTCCAATACGAGTATCCGCACTTCCAATACGAGCAGCTACATACACAGTCAAATCAACCACCCGTTCAACAGAAGTCAGAGTGGCACGAGCATTATGCACCGTCCGAGCCGTCACAGACCGAAACATCATACGTACGGCGGGACCAACAACATGACCGACAGAGTCACGGTCTGGCTCACCGTCTTCGGCGTATGCTCACGTCCTATATCCGGAAAAAGCCTACTGAGACTGCGGCCGAGTCCCACCGTGCACAGCGACCGGACCGTTTACTCCAACAACCGTCTAGTCCTCCCAAGCCTACTCCCAAAAACTGGCGCGACTCCCAGGCCGAACGATACAGTTCTATTAACACCGTCGCACCCGAACTTATATATGATCTCGAACGCGAGTCCCCGCAAAACCCGTATCAGTTCCAGGACGAGCCCAATTGCCATCTTGAGCCAGAACCCCCGTTTGATCTTGACAGAGAGCCCCCAGAAGATCGCAGGTATCCACAGGGGTACCCACACTGTCGCCCGGCTGGTGATCCGTCAGATAGCGATAGTACTGACTCTGAGGAGGACCATACCGACCAAGAAAGCGATAACCCACCACTGCCTGCTGCGCCGTCCACCGATTATCTTCATCAGTATGTTCCTTGGTCGGCATTAACACTTTGACCCATCCGCCTCATTTCCCTCTCCCCTTTCTCATCCCGTTTTGTATTATTATTCTTATCATATCGTTGGCTGTATTTATAGTGTTTCTTTTGTTTCACGGACCTTTCGCCCTCTTTATTCTGTTTTAAAGTTTTTTCTTTTATTTTGGAGTAGACGCATTCTCCACATTTCAAAACCGTGTAGTACCAAGAATACATCTGGGGGTTCGCGACGGGGGTGCTTGTTTTCTGCTCTACTTGGTTGGGTGACTATACTTGAGGACGAGTGAAGATTACCCTCTGCATCGTCTTTTCACGTTGTAAATGTTACCAAATCTGATATTTGATTTTGCACTGGGAATACTGATAGGGTAGGCGCACTTAACCTGTCAGCAGGCTCCATACTAAGAACGTTACTGTCTTGTTTGGGTTGACCACAAACATGCCTGTTCGCGTCATGGGATCCAGCCAGAAAGGCAGTATAAATGTAAACCAACCCAATACCCAACAGTAGCCCACGCCCCGGCCCAAGATGGCGGGAAAGTTCAACTTTTTTCCCACTACGATTACCCTTTGTTCTAATGATATTGCACCAACTTGGGAATAGAAGAAAAGCATGCTACCGTGGGCCCATTGCCGAGTAACCGAATACTCTTGAAGTTGATGCAGCAAGCCAGATATAAGGAAGGCACTATGAACCTGGACGGCAAAGGCTTCGTAGCTTCCGTGTCTCAGACGAAGCACACGATATGCTACGAAGTGCCCATGCGATAGTAAAAACTACAGCGGAGGAAAAATTAGCCTGTGAATGGAGAAAAAAATATTTAGAAAACCTTTCGTAGGCACTGATGCCAGGTCTTCCTAGATAGCAGAGAATGAGGACAAGCGCACATGCAGGACGAAAAACCTACCCCCAAAATCTTTGAACTGTATATGCATCTTCCAGTCTCCCAAATAACGCTGGCGTATCCCTCTCACCGGTCACAAGGAGCAGAAAAAAGTGCTGGATATTCAACACCGAAAGAGTCCCCATTCCGAAGCCCAATAGGCTGAAGAAACGCCATTTGACCCCATACATTGCGATCGACTCTCTGTTAGCAAATGCAGGATTTGACCCGTTCAACGCACAGCCGGCATCAAGTAGTAGTAGGCATAGCCCAATTTTCAGCCAAATCTGGTGCGCCGACTGGTGGGTACGCGGTGGTAACGCCCCTGCAGGCTGGTGGGCCCAACCGACTCCTCGAGGGCTGAAACAAAGGGCTGCAGCCCACTGCAAGCGCGCCAGAAAGGGTTTATCCGATATTTGGCCCGCTTGCTGGTCACATTTATGCAATTCTTGTTGCACGTCTGTCGTTAGGACCAGGTAATCGGATGCATACAGGGTGACTGTAATGGTCCATCCGCTTATCGTACTGTCGAGCAAAGCATTGCTAGTGGTAGTGAAGAAAACGATGTATATGGCAAGGCTGGCAATAGGAAGGAAGAAAAGCGTTCGGTATGCTGTTGGTTCGATAGCAAGAGCGACAGAAAAGAGTGTAAGGAAGGTGATCAAACTGGGCACGAGGCCACCTTCCATCAACGATCGAGGTCAAGTCTCACGATCACTATGGTCAAGTTTGATTGTGTTACCAATCGTGTAAGCATGTCATCATAAAAACCCTTTGCCGTCACCCCTCCCTGTGTTTACGACAATAACTGTAACTGACGGAAACCCCATTTCCATGACGTTATCGATTTTTTGTGGCAAAAACAGGGATCTTCTTACTTATCTACAGATGTACTCGGTATATCCCATGAACAGATAACGAAAAGAAGAACCAGGAACTTTGAAGATTTCCATCTAGGTCAGCCGTATCAAACGGACGAAGGCCAGATTCTGCAACGCTTGGTAAGGTCAACTGTCTTTTGCCGCGGATACATCCAAGAAGCATCCTGATTCTTAGTACTGAGAAGAGACTGGAATATAAGCCGGCTCCGAGGAAACAGTCACAGTATCGGAATCAGGCATGTGAGTATGCATGTTATTTGGGTGCGACCTAGACTACAAGCAAGCGAAGATGACTCGAGAAGTGAAGCAAGAAGGTCACAGGACCCTGTTAATATGTCAAAAAGAAGACAGAGCGTTCGAGAAATATGGCTCTACCCGAAATCAGCGGTTAGGGGAGTATCATAGGACTCCTAAGCTTGCGCCGCAGGAGCCAGAAATAAGGGAGAGACATAAATACTTCGCTATGACGGATGCGTTAGCTGCAATTGCCACCCCGGATTGGACAAGGGACATAAACTCAGCCGGACTTCGGTGTGACTGCACTAGTAAAGGAAGTTTGCTTTGGTCCGCAGACTGGTGACTTGTTGTACTGCCGAGAACTGAAATTTGGAAGCATACCATATAATCGGTTTTCTCTCTTGTGGTCTGGCTTTCCGAACTTAGACTGTGGTGAGAGTGCATCTGGACTTGAAAAAGATCGATCAGATACATCAAAAGACTAGCTCGGCGCTGAGATGCATACCAAGAGCCCTCGTGATTTTAGTCAAAGATGACACGCAAATCCAAGTTCTGGGACACGACGGAACACAATTGAATAAACAGAACATCCTGAGCGGAACCTACCGACCGAGCATGAGCTATCGACGGCGCTGTGGCTTTGTGAACAATCTCCGTGACCGTTGGTCTTTGTCCTGCTCCATCAGTTTCTTTAATTTCTGCTTTTTCCTTTCCTCCGCTACTATTCTTTCCTTCTGCGTGTCACTGATCATATTACCTTCCTCCTCTTCCAGCTCCACCTGCGCATCGAACTGAGCGAGACTCGTCTGCATCAATTGCCGCAGATCTCTCTCTCCGCCTGCGGGAACAGACCATTGAAAATCAAACCCCCATCCATAAGATCCTTCGCCGGAGTGTTCGGCGAGACCGCCTTTGTTGCGCCACCAGTCAATGAAAAAAGTTGCCGCACGCTGTAAATCATATTCCCCGCGTCCGGCAAGCATCCCCATCCGCTGAGCTAACAGCGAAAGGAATTCCCACACATCCGCCGTCGGCTTTGATCCTGATGGCAGGACGGATAAATAGTTCGGCGCTACAATAAGATGAAAATAGTTTCAGCTTCGACGAATATATTCGAACAAAAGGAATAAGGTTTGGTAGATGAACACAAGAAGCAGAAGGTCAGGAAAGGCCAATAAATAGTCAGGAACCACCGATATGAAAACTTACAGATGGAATTCAGGATATTAAGTTTGTACAGGAGATATTCAGCAAGCGTTTCAGTTTGGTATAGACCTTCTTTGATCCCCGCTGAGAGTTCATGAGGGACTCAGTTCGGCGGTTTTCCAGAGCGGGGGTTACGTACCAATCAAAGCGAGCTTGGCACCTCGCTCGGCACCTGCTGGTCCGTGGCCCAGGAATGGTAACATCATTCCAGGTGAGTCAAAGGCGTACACCAGAGGATTCTCAAGGATTTTTATCCTGTTAGACAGAGATAGTGTTACTCCCGGATTAGCCCCCGTTCGCACGGCTTTGGGAGTTCCTAATCAAACGATGACTTCGTGAGAACAAGAAACGATGTTAGGTTTAACGTACGCCCTTTAATCCCCGTATTGCGGAGAGCGTTTAGTAAAGATGATTTGCCCACGTTCGGCATGCCGACAATAAGGACGTTCATGCCTTCGAACCATCGATGATGTTTTCCTAGGTCTATGAGGGACAGAGAAAAGTAAGACGCTCCTTACAAGCAAGTGTAGAAGCTCACCGGAGAGTATCCGGTATATCCGCTTGAGATTAGCGGGCTCCTTCAACGAAGTGAAATGAAAATCTTGTTCCGGATATTTGTCTTTCATCACCGACAGGAAGGGCTGACAGAACAGGCGCAAAAAATACATATCACAAAAACTTCCTCGGATAGATTAGTCTACATTCTTACTGGGATACCCCACTCGGGGACACGGTCCGCTTTGTTAAGGAGAATAACATGTTGGCACATTCGGTTACTCGTTCGCGCCTTTTCTCTCCACTCATGGAGCATATCTATCGTAACATATTTTCAGCGTCCGCAAATAACAAGCGGGACAATTGCACTTGCCTTGAAGTTTACGATTAATACTGGTCAGAGGAAGCCGAGCATCTCTAACCTCGATGACAACGTGCGTACGGGACAACATCGAAGGCAACTGCTTCGTAAACCTGTTCATGTGTCCGGGAAACCATGATGGCGGTACTGGCAGAGCAGGACACGAGAGATGTAGCACTTGTGCAGGTAGAGAATTCATTGCCTATGGGATCCTGTCAGAATGCCGCCATCTGGATTTCAGACTCCCCTTACGAAAATCGGGTTGGAGATAAAATGTCGTAAATTTGTACCGACACGCTGAACTTCGGCACCAAGATCCGGAGTCCGTTTCTTATCTACGGAAATCGACGCTTTCACAGCGCGTCTTATCGTGACAACTGGAAGAGCTTGGCCGCGAGTCGGAGTTGTGAACGCCACGCTACAACCTAGATGGTGCCAGATTTGACGGTCACTTTCTGGTCACAGTTCGACGTCCTTTCTGACTGGGTGTAAGCAGAATAGACCTGCCACCTGGTTGGAGGGAGACCTTTTTTAATTTTTACCGAAAACTCTTAGATGATGTAACATCACGTGTCGTTCGGACCGGGATACCGGTATTTTTTCTTGACCTTTCTCTTTCTCGATATGCAAACTAGTGCCATTCAGCCGTTCATACGGACTTGATTTCCTGTTTGTCCTCTGATGTGCGAATCATCGTAGTTGATTTCCCGATTCCAGTAAGTCCCGGATCCGGAATCAAACTCCGGTCAAGCATTCCGAGAAGCGGATCGCTAATGACCGTTGCGGAAATGACTCTCGATGAATATTACCTGGGTCAGAACACGGTCTTTTGGAAGAACACCCATCGCGTTCAAACTGATATATCGGGCATTTACCAGAAACGATTATTGTCACACTGCAACACAGCCACCTACCATTGGTCACACCGGCTGTTCATGCGAGCACGCTTGGTAAATATGATTGTTACTAAGGGGAGTATGTATTCTTATTTCTCTGACGCATCTACACCTCAATTATGCTGTCTGTATGTTTCTCCATATTGCATCTCACTTCAAGCGCAGTTTTACCTCCTTTGCCCCTTGATCCCAGTCAAATCTGCCATTCAAGTTGTTGCATCCGAGAGAGGTATGGCATGTCTGTGTTCTGTTCGTCGGCCGCTTAAAGCTGTTTCCTTGCTGTGAAGACTAACACTCAACTTGGTCCAACGTAGATGGCTCAATAGATTTACTTAGCGCCCTACATTGTGGCCATGCCGTGTTATACCTCTTGTCCACTCTGTAGTATCATGTAACCGCAAAGCAGGTAAGGTGTATCTTAACCTTCTACTTCCCCCTTAGACCCTGATGGATATCCCAGACAAAAGAACAGGATCAAGTTCGCCGAACTTAAGAGAATACAATGAGTGGCTAGGCTGAACAGCCGTTATTCAAAATTATTCCCAGCTGGGTCCCTTGCTTGCTCGCCAGTTGTATTCGTGAATACGGAGCTATCAACTGTCCGGTATTCAGAGGGGCGGAGGCATAACAAGCATCACTGATCACATCGAACGATTCAGACAGTTAGCTTTGTAGCAGCATCCGGAATCTTCACATAAATTCTATATCAGTGTACTTTGAATCTCTCAAACCTTTACAACTTTAAGAAACAGCTGTATAACAACATACCTCATTCCGACATTGGAGAACCAAAAAGGTGGATTCCTTGGTATCGTGGGAACGCGCCAGAGTTCTTCACACGAAGGGGTCCTTGGGGGGTCGGCGCTAATTTTATCCGTACTTGGAAGAACAATGATTCTCACGGCTATTTGCCGTTGCTTTTTCAAGGCACAACTGTATTAAATTCCGGGAAAGTGCGGCCCTGCTGTTGCGGGCGGCGGGAAGTGATGATGAATGAGTAGTGAATAAAATGTACACGGAAAAATTCACCTCGGTATAATAGCTGGGTATCCGGTCCGTGACAAAAATATTATTCGGAGGAATGCACTTACGCTCGGACCTTTGTTCTGTTGTGACGCGTGACGGTAAAAGCTGAAAGATACGCATCAACAGCTCTATTCTAAACCGATTTATGATAGCAACTACTACATACAATGGATGAAGCAACCAGAACGATAGAAAAGACCAAGAGAAATGAGCAACGCGACAGGTGAAACTTGAAATACAATCAATCGATATGGAGAACGAGGAACGAGATCCGTGAAAGGTATAAATGTGAAGGGAGATCGATAGATACGCCAGTGCACCATAAACCCAGAAATGTGAATAGAAGGGATAGACATAGGGCGTGCGAAAATGTTGAGCATACGGACAGCCTCGACAGGGTGGCCGAATGAAGCAATCAGTCAGTTTTTTGGGCGAGAAAGCTCCAACAATAGCGATGAATGAACTGACAAGAGATGAGAAAAAAAGAACGGTTGGAAAAAAAGATACGACGCACCCAGTCAATGAAGCATGTGCACCCAACCATCACCCACGATGCCGTCAAACTGCTTGCCACTACGCGTCCGTCTGTCGGCATACGCTTGTGGACGGTCAAGGTTAATGAGCTTATCGGATACTGGCAGTTCGCGCGACTCGTCAACCTCGACCCAGCCCTTCCAACCCTTCTTTACCGCGACCCGCTTCTTCCGCGGAGGTTTAGGAGGGACCATCTGAGGCAGGTCTTCGTCGTCGTCAGGTGTATGTGGTCTCTTGGAAGAGGTACGGGAAACACTTGACGAATCAGACGGCCCGGGTGTCGATCCTGGCGTCGAAGGATATGGGGGCGGCGACATTGTTGGAGGCGGCGTGATTGATAGGGATCGTTGCATGGTGGCAATGTGGATGGCAGGACGGCTGTAGGAGGTCGAAGGAACAGGTTGTGATACAGCCACCGTCGGTGTGTGTGCTACGGGTGTCGCGCTTTTCGCAGGCGATGCGACGGGTAGCCTCTGCCAGTGGCCATGCTTCGTCTTCCGTCTCTCCGGATCCTTCTCCACCCAAAAACTGTTTTTCACTGACTGTTTCGACGTGCTCTCCCATTTTTCCTCTTCTTCAAGCGTGTAAGGCCCCAGGCCGTTCAGCAGGCTAGTCAGCACGTCGCGAGATGGGCGTATCTGGAAGGCTCCAGCCATGACAGATGTCGCGCTGCGGCGGGATCGTTTTGTAGGGTTCATTGTTGACGGTAGTGGGGAAAAAAGAAAGGACATTGGTCGGGCGCAGTGAAGGCGTTAAATAGCGTGGAGTGACTGGAGTCACGGTAAACAACATGCTGACGGCATCAACAACAGCCCTCCATATGGCACGTGCTTCTCACCTTGTACCGGATCTATCCCCTTCTGTTTCCTTCATGTTCTGCAACCGTCTGGAGTATTCCCGGCCCTGTTCCCCCTTCTCCTGTCTTTTCCTTCGCCCCCCAGAGCTCTCTAGTGACTACCGTTTTTTCGGTCTCTCTTTGTTGTTGATTTCTTGTGTTTCGCACCCTTCATTTTGATCGTCCAATCATATTCGCTTGTACGATATTGTCAGCCGCTCGTTCCCGTTCCCGGATCTTTCCTCGAGGCCTAAGAAATGAATCCTGCCAGATGACCTGATAAACTACAACGTCTCTTTGTATTTTTCCGATGCAAGTCTCTTCTAGTGCATTCATCGGTCGGTGCTGGTATATTGTGCCCGTCGTCTAGGTGACAACGTCCCTTTGTTCAATTGTACGCGGAATGCACAGCGATAACAGTCTGAAGATGATCTGCGGGGCCTAGCGTTTCGGGGGCAATAAACAGCTAAATAAGGACGAACACACTACACCTTTCCTGTTCTTTTACCCAGGGTTTCGATCTCAGGATCTTCCATTTGCTTCCTGTTTAACGGTTCTGGGTCCCCTGAAACATTTTCACAGGCAGTCCGAACTGACCACGGTGTTTGTATATATAGACGCCACAGAAGCGTAGTAGGGCGCTTCCGCGAGCCTTAGGCTTTTGTCTCGCGCCTACTGCGGGAATATACAGCCTTCTCGTCCGTATCGTCTCTCCTAGTCGGATTTTCTCGCGGCGGGCTCAACCCCCAGCCAGCCGCACCACGCCGAACTCCATTCCGGAGATTTCTATCTACCAACACTGTTCAACTTCCTTATTTCTTTACTGCCGTCATTTCTTATCCCAGAAATCAAGCCATATCCATCTATCCATCATTCACGAGATTATCACCAAACTTTCGGTACGCCATGGTAGGTTTTTTTCGGCAACGGAGCACCGACAGGGTCATGGCACTGCCTAGAAACGCGAGTTGTTCATACACGGCCATGCCGCCAGGGTGATGCGTAAGGCGCCATGCCAGTCAACGCATGTCCTTGGAAACCTTTCAACGTGTCTACTTACATCGGCGCAGCCATACTGCCCTGGTAAGAGCTTCTAAGTTTTATGCATCACTAAGGCTGTTGCTTAAACTTGGCAACTGCGGTCTAGCTGCCGACCGCGCCGTGTCTATTCAATACCTTGAGCGGTGTATTTTTATAAAGCATCACTATCAGGAACAAGTGATGCATCAGCGCCCTCTAAATGGCTCAGGATGCCACGTTTGGAGCGCACCTGATCTAGGTAGGGGGTCTTGTGGCTTAGTCTCCTCGGTCTTTGGCAGGATAATCTCAGCTCCCCAAAACACGCACAGTAGCCTGGTTAAAAACCCAAGGTACGGTCCTATACACTTGCCCGGTCAGTGACTATCCAGAGTTAATGAATCGTGACCCTCTGGGCGAAAACCGGCGTAGATATCACTCTGCGGAGCCGAAAGGGACTTACGGCTGGTTTACATATAAGCAAATATGTCAGGGACATTGTTACATCGATGCTTCACTTTTCTGATTCCAAGTACACTGCCGGAGGCGGTAGGATAAGGGAGGTCCTGACTCCCCAAAAATCAGGTTCCAGATCTGAAATGATACACATGTCAACATTCATACTTGGCATCTGCAACGGTAGTGATATCATCTCGAGTCTTCTATTCAGACACACACCTTTTTTGCCATGATACAATTACTGAGGAAATCTCCACCGTGAACAACGCAAGTGTTGAGCGCCACGATCCAATTTCAAATAGGATGGGAGGAAACTTTTCGAGACCGTTATATGAGATATAAGGACAAAAAGACACTTTTGAGGTAGTCATTAAGTTTGTCAAACCTATCTCATAAGAGAGAGTGGCAATCCGTGATAATTGAGACTCAGGGTCCATAACGGCCGTCCGCCGATCATCAAGTCCAATTGTAGTTCGTCGGCCATGGTTTAGTACTTGTAATATTCAGCATGAATTATGGGCGACTTAGCACAGGTATGCTTACTTTAGTTACTGTCGATTTGGGCAAAGTAATGTATTTATAGTTAGGCGGATAAGTGGCCGACAGCAAGAGGAAACGTTGAGTACCAATCAAAGTGCGCGCAGCCTTGAAGACGAGCAACGAGAGACAAAAGAGACGGTAACAAACTGAATGAAGTTCATTCACACACAAAGGCTAGACAAGGAGCCTGTCAGATTGTATCAAGAAACGTATGGTAGTGTTGGCAACTCACGGCAATTGCGTGACTAAGGCTTCCAGTCCGCCATAGGGACATGAGGCTTTACTAACCGCAATCAAGGCCGTTGTTTACTCTTGTGGGCGCCTGATATAAACGCTTTGTTTTTATCAGAAAATGAGGTCGCAGCGTTGGTGGAAAATTCAATGTAATGAATGAGGAAGGAGAACATGCCTGTGTCACGCGTGACACGGAACTACGCGAAACTTTGGAAGTATTGTCCTCGTTGCATAAATGATTTCCATATTTGAAAAAAATGTTACAATAGAATGAAAATACAACGCCGTTAAGATGTTTTGTAACAGACAATTGATATACAGATGCTAGAAATGCAGATAGTACACGGGTTTTCTTGATGTAGTATAGTAAATATAAAATGAGATGTGAACCATTATCCTCGGATCCACGGATTATACCGCAATTGTGGGAGAGCCTTCCATGACAGGAGTACTAACCATCGCCGGACTGAAGCAATCAGCGGCTATAGAACCCTCGCTATAGACGTCCTTCAGTCTTTGCCAGATAGCCCGGAAGGTCGTAGCTGATCCCCTTTCTTGGACCAGAGATATCATCGATACATACATGCGAGAGACACTGCTGCTCGTGCAAGGATTAGGGCAAGGAAGGGGCAGTATATGAGGGCTTTTGTTCACATAAACGCTGGACCTCCCACGTGCAACCATAGTAGGTGGCGGAGGAGCTGAAAGAAAGTTCGATGTCGGCGACATGAGAGGTGAACTAAGCACGGCTAGATTGGTCCGTGATAACGGCGAAAACCAAACTTTGAAGCGTACGGGTTTCATATTGGCAAGCTCGCCATAGCTTGACTCGTCGAGCCTACACCTGACAAACGTAGATTCGGATGCCCCGCCTGATCCTGGCGAAACTGTGGAAGGGCTATCGACGATAACACCCATCTCTTCCAACATACGTTTGACACCATCACAAGTCTTCACTGAATCATCGGTTGAATATAATGTCCACGGACTACTCTGGGAATGCGCTTGATGTTTCCAACTAAACAGATTGGAAAACCACCCCTTGAACTCGCCGACGACCGGAGAAGTGAGTAATCGGCTATGTGTATGGACGCTACTTAAAGGCGGGGAGAGGGCGACCGGGGAAGGAAGGGTCGATAACGTTGAACGCTTCTTGTTCAATGATGGGAGCTCGAGCGGAGGAGCTGAGAAATAGAATCAGTCACGCCACAAATGTAATGGCTAAATAGTCAACTTACGTCTAGTCTTGCGTTCTTTCATACCTTTATTTGGGATAGTGTCCCCGTCGGCGACAAGGTTTCCCACTTCCCTGCCAACGTCCCTACCGACGCTCAGGCCAATTGCGCTGCGGCCTTCATCGGTGCCGACGTAACTCCATGACTCTTCACCGACGCTTTTGTTCTCCTTGTCGGAATACACTGACATTCGCTGCTGCTGAAGGTGATTGTCAGTGATGGTCAAGCCGTTGATTTTGGCCAGAAGATCATCGGCTTTGCTTTCCGTTGAAAAAAGATCCTCTTTGAAGTGAGAAGATGCGTCCAACATGGGGGTAACCGGAGCTAATGACGGCTTACGGATTGAAGATGAACGGCCAACGGCAGGAAATGGAAGAATGTTATTATCAATCCGTCGAGAAGACTTGCTGGGCGACTCGGATTGAGGACGCTGGGTGGCGGCTGACACACGATGAGAAGCTGCTCGTTGAACGGAGGACGTCTCGACAGAAACGGTCGAGCCATCCTTAATGGTGGAATGAGAGAAGGTATATCCTCGTCTTGGAGGCTGAGGACGCGGGCCACCGGCCGTCGCGAAAGATGTCTTCGGGTGAGATCGAGGGACGTGGAACGCAGAACGGACTCCGGATTCCTTCGCAGCAGGATATCGTGGTCCAGCCGGCGATGCAGGCCTCTCTCTTGGCGAGGTTGTAGCAGTACGTCTAATTGAAGGAGGAATCGGATATAATCCAATTGGAGCAGCAACGGATCGGGAACGACCTTGAATGGGAAGTAGGTCTCGATTACTACTGTCGTATTTCTTCAAAAGACCTGTTCCTATCTTTGTGTCGAGCTCCCAACCAAGGTTGAAACTCATGCTGTCAGCAACTGCTGCGTTGGGGCCATCGAGCTTGGACGTTTCCTCACGATATTTTCCAAGTAGAAAGTAGAAAGCTTTTGCGTGCACACCTTGACCGGCGGGAGAGCACAAGTCCCGTTTGATCGACTCGCCTTCCCGATCTGTGTATTTTCCCCAGATGATACGAAGTGAAGAGAATAGGTCTGCATCGATCAGCGAAGGATGAAGTATAGGACGTGCGAGAACCTCCGGTGACGGAGGGACCGAGGGGTTCGGAGGAATCTTGCTGACCAATGCAGCGGAGGACGAGGTTACCCAAGGATGCACAAGAATCTCGGGAATCTGTTGAATTGATCAGTAAACAGATATGCCAGGCTTGATTATCTTACCGTGATTCGTTGATGAACATCAACAACCAACATTCGAGATAGGAGGTTTTTTGCCAGCGGATCCAATGACTGGGGCATCTTGAAAACGCCGCTCTTCACCTTGCTTAGGAGAATTCCGACGTCCTTGTCATCAAAAGGAAGCCGGCCTGAAAGTAAAGCAAAGAGAACAATACCGCAACTCCAGATGTCTGTCGCAGTTCCTTGGTACTTGTGTCCGTTGACAATTTCTGGACTAGCGTAGTGAGGAGAGCCGCAGCTTGTCTCCAGATGAAGAGAAGGGGGAGCAAAAGCTGCCATACCCCAGTCCGCTATCTTGACGAGAGGCGGATTGAAAGAAGCGATTAGAATGTTCTCGGGCTTGAGATCGCGATGAATGATAGAAAATGTATGCGCGTAGTTAAGGCCATAGATGATTTGCATAAAAACGGTCAGAGCTTCCGAGGGTTCCAAGCGGCCTTTGTTGACCAGGAAATCAAAAAGTTCTCCGCCCTCGACGTACTCAAGAATGAGAAACAGCTCTCTAGTGCCTTCGTAGACGTCGTAGATGCGTAGGATGTTGGGATGGTTCATGAGCTTCATCATCGTGATTTCTCGGTCAATTCCTAGGCGTTGTTTTTCTGTTTTGGCCTGCTGAGTAGCAAGAGAGGCACGAGAGTTGACTAGCGGGGCAAGAGGGAGTATTTTGACGGCAGCGAGCTGTCCAGTGTGTTTGTGCTTGGCGATCTTGACACGACCGGAAGCACCTTTACCGACGCACTCGCCTATAATCCAAGGACCTATAGACTTCGGATCCGTAGCATATTCGAATGCTTCAGCACCACCAGCCGCAGCCTTCTCTTTTTCCCAACGGGTTCCTAGCGGAGCTTTATACTTGACAGGAGGCGCGCGAGGTGGACTTGAAGACACTGGAAACGCCATTGCAGCAGAAAAGACACAGAGAGACGATATATCTAGAACACGAGCGCTCGTCCAGCAAGCAGCAAGATACAAAAACCAGTAAAGTTGGTGGTAGGTCGGATGGAACGGTCCAACGAACGTCACGGTCGGTGACAGCCTTTAGGCGGGATCACATGGCGTGACCGCATCACACAATTTTTACTCCGGAATTTGGCAGCAGACGACAACGACAGTTACAAACCCATCGCTTCTGTATTGACGGCGGAACAGAGGATTGAAGGTAAATAATTATCACTTCTCGGTTCTGTATCTGACTGTCCTACAGGCACAGTTGGTGAGCGACATACCGTCGGTGCTGTCTGGAACTTCCAGCTATACCATTCAGCAACCGGTAGTCGTCGTACACATGCATGTCATCTACGCGGATTTTAGCTCGTCTTCCATGGCCATCTCTTGGACGCCTCAACTGGAATGTTGTATCCCGAACCATCGTCCACTCTCGGCAGCGTCTGGACGGCGTAGAAATGTCAGATGAGCCCTATCCTTCCGAGCTACCGGACCGTAAAGTTTTCGAAGAACGGGAGATGAAGGACTATTCTGCTGTGTCCGCAGAGCTTAGGTCACCCCCGCGGACACGAGCGCTGGCGCAGGTCCTGACCGACCTCGTTTGCGCTGGAGACTGGGAGCTTGCGAACCGTGTTCGCCTCGAGATGATTGAAAACGGAGCAAAAATATCTCTGAATCCCATCTTCGAGAAAGCGGCTTTGGCTGCACTACGGTCTCTTCGTGTTGGAGATGATCTTATGCCTTTCACAGTCTGGCTCGAGTTGTGTCCTGATGCCTCCAACTCAGCACCAAATCCATTTCAAGCGACGCGTGATTATCTTTGGAGCGATCCCTCAGAACGGGTCACTTTGATATACCACTTTGGTATGGTCCTGGCAAAGAAAGGCTACACAACACTGGTCAAGGAGGAAGTCATTCCTGCCATGGAATATGTTTCTTCACGGTACCGCCACCGCAAGAACATGTTCATCAAAAATCTCAAACAGGCACTGCTCCCCATTGTTCTCCCCCAACCTTCGTCCGGCTCTCTCATCTTTGAGGAGGAAGATCACCCCGACTATGCCATCGTAGCTCAAGCGTCAATCGGCGTCTCTCACAAAGATCTTGGTGACCATTTAGCGGAACTGGTTGCCGATCGGAAATATGACGAGGCGAAGCAGTTTTTGTTTGAGCTTCGCGAGTCCCACACCCACATTCCTTTCTCGCCGATCTACCAGGCTGCCGCTCAGAATGCTCTACAGCATGCGGCAACCGCTACGCAAAGTCTCGAAGACTTTGCGGCATGGTTTTCCCTCGTTCCTCTGTACCATGACCAACCCCTCGAGGAGTTCACGGATATTCGAAGGCTAATTTTTCACGCGCCTCTGACGAATATGTCCTTGATCATCCGGTTCGCCCTCATATGCTCAGAAAAAGGGTATGCGGATCTAATCGGTGGTCAAGTCATTCCAAGCGTTATGCGTTTCGCAAATTCCGATGTTAGCAAGCAGTTTTACCTGCGATTTGAGGAAAAACACCAGCATTATCTGAAACGGTATCACGAACGATCTGCCGCATCTCTTTGGCGTAAATTCCAAGCGGTAATGCGCGGTTCAGCTATCCGATCCTTGGTTTATGCAGGACGGATAGATGAGGCGATAGATATGTTACCTCCGAAGAGAGCCACATACTTTTTGTCAGCTTATACTTGCGACGTTCTCAACAACGTCCTCGTTAAAGCTGGTGATGTCAAGTATTTCCCTCTCCTTGGATACCTGAGGGCTATGCGTGTCCAGCAACTTAGGCAGGACGACACTCTTCTACAAGACTATGCTCAATCTTCGATCACCTCACGATTCACTTCCCAAACTCGTACACTCCCTTACAATGACCAGTCCCAGTCTCTCGCCCAAACTCTGCGTTCTATCAAGACGTCGTTCTCATCCGGTCATACTCCTCCTCACCCGTCAACCCTAATCAACTTTTTTAATGCCTACGTCGAGTCAGGACGTTCACGCGCCATTGATCTTCTCCGGCGAAAAGCTCTTCGCTCTAATCCCATCGCCAGCACTGTCTTTGTTTTTACGCAGATGATCACCTATTACAGGCTAAACCAGCACTATCTTGTCTTGCAAACATTCGTCGACAATTTTTACATTACTGGTGTTCCTCGAAGCGAAGTAATAGCTCGCTTGAAAGGGCAGCATGATGTTCCTCTGTCTGTGCCTTTGTCTCATCGCAGCAAGTTATGGCCGACAGCCTACCACACTGCTCTCGTCTGGCATTCCCTTGTCGCCACGACATCGACTTCGGTTAAAGTTGAGGTCCTGTATAAAAAACTCATCGCAACCGCTCGTGGGGAATACTCGGACCAGCTATCAGAAACTTTAGCCGCTTTCAGTGGTGTAGAAGTGCTTCACACTCCCCCCGGGGTTAATAGCGTTTGCGCTGCCGCGTTTACGCCTTTCATGGGAAAGTTGATGCGTTCGTCAGGTGTAGAGCGGGGAGCCAGTATTCTAGCTGACATGCTCGAGTTGGGGATCCAACCCACGGCGTATCACTTCACCGAACTCGCAGGTTACTATGCATCTACGGGTAATGCCCAGAGAGCCCTTTTCCTCCTGGGCCGATTGGAGACCGCCTTTGACCAACAGGGTGATAATGAGGATATCAAAATGCCAATCTCTGAGAAGGAAATGCGACAGACGGAGACTGGTACAGCGTCTTCCGAAGAGTTGCCATCATCCATTGAACACACTCGGCTGGTACCTGCATCTGTTCCCAATGCGCTGCCCGTGCCTTCGTTTGTCATGTATGTTTCCCTTATGCGGGGATTCCTTATTTCCCGGAATCTTGACGCGGTTGCGGAAGTCAATGAGCGCATGCTTAAACGATACGACTATATACCCGGGCAGAACGACTATCTCGATGCCGTATATTCTGATTGGCAGATGAAGCAAGAGGGAAACCGGTATCCTATTCGACCGTTGCCTACGATCAAATATAGGCGAGTGCACCCGGTGAGTACATCACTTTCCCCTTGTGGCTGTTAGAATTCATGTGGCGTAACGACGACAGGGTGATAACGTTACTCATGATGTTTAAGTAGTCGAAGTAGCCGTAAAGCGAAAGTCAATAGTTAGTATTGCACTAATAAGGAATACACCTAGAAGCTTGCAGATCCATGTATTTATTATTGATAGTACTTCCTTCTTGGAAGGAGCGGGTTGGATGGAAGTGCTCTTTAGATGCTCTACACTGATAAATGCGAGAAAACAATGTAAAAGTCACAGGCAGAGACTCAGATAGTGCGTATACTGTGCCTGACCGGGAAGCGGGCCAAACTGGTTTGTTTTAACTGCAAAAAATCTAGCATCACAATTGTTCCATGTTAGTCACCACTTGTAATAAGAGAAATATCTGTTCTATTATTGTATGAAGTTTTGAGCCTGTATGAAAGGGAGCTTCTTACACTATGAATATTTTCCTAATTGATGGTCTCAAAAGCATGGAAACGGGTCAACCAGTATTTTACATAATTTAAAGCAAACTATCCTTGCTGTTATGCTGTTATCCTCTCCAGGAGCATCCAGAAAGTAAGCTATGATCTTGAATTACATTGTGGAAATGTACGACTGTGATAACGGGTGAAAAACGGCCTTGTTTGCATGAAGTTGCTTGCAAATAGCAATTTGACATTTTTCTCAGATCAAAACATTTATTGAGAGGGAAATTTAACATGGAAGAACAAAAGCTCTTGTACATAGATGCCAGATAGCCCAACCTCCAACCTGAAAAAAACTGCTCATGGAAAGGTATCATAATCATCGAGATATGAGTGGTTGACCCGTTACCATGTGTGACCCGTTACCTGATATGGCACAGCATATAGATCTTCAAACCGTACTAATCATAACCGACTTTAGCTCAGTTGGAAGAGCATCAGACTGTAATTGGTTAACTAATTGTCCACGGAGGGGGTTCTTTACGTGGTATTTTACTATGTAAAACATCTTGTCACGTGATTATATAATATAATTTATTTTCCAGTTTTCCTACGATTTCTTCGTTTTTCCAAATGCGGTCGGAGTCTCCTAAGAATTCAAGAGGCCATGTCATCAGTGACCTATGAAAAGTCTTTGAATAATTATCCTTGAGTCTACATAGACCTACAGCCTACTGCAGCTGCTTTGTGGGTGAAAATACTTGCACGTGATCTCTGTATTTTACCTAGCTGAACCCCCCCTCAGGACCCCCTGGTAAAATACTACGTAATTTACTGTAAAAAACCATTTTGGTAAATAACCTACCCTTTTTCCCTCAGCCCTAGATCGAAATGATATCACATGACTAACGTGGACCCTAACGTGACGCTTACCAAGAGAAGCCCAAAAAAATATCCGACCTATGTGGATCGAACACATGACATTCAGATAAGTAACCATTACAGTCTGACGCTCTTCCAGCTGAGCTAAGGTCGGTTAATGCCCTATAATATTGACAACACTTTGATAGGAAGCTGCTCTCGTGCCAGTAACAGTAATCCTACACACAGTGTGCGACCTCTTCTCAATCCAAAATGAAAATTATTATCGAAACGTACATCACATGATTGTAGAACAATAAATGTATCATCATTTGGCGGTCCTCTCTCTAATTTAGCAGTGGTTTGGTGCCCGGTTCACAAATGTCTGGTTCGAACAGACACCATGGGCGGGTGTCGCCTGTTCGAACCAGGCAAGTCGGATTCTTTTGTTGCGATATATCATTCTATTCTATTTGAGGCCAGAGCGACGTTTTGAAAAGCGGAAGAAGGGCGAGAGGAGAGCAGGGTCGTGCTTATGCCGTCGCGTGACGAGTAGCCGATCGATCATTTCGTGACAGCGTGACAACATAGCATCCGGAATGACGAGGCCGGCGGTGGAGTCTTTCCAACAACCACTTACTTTGCCACGATTGCGTCTCGTCGCCGCCCATAGCGACAACACCTCGCCCTAACGGTGCACCTTGCCATGCTTGGCCCCTTCCTATCGTTATTCTTTCTGCTTTTAGAGTTACCGGCGCCCTCGACAGCGTACTCATGGCATTTTGCTTCGACTCCAACTCAGTGCCAGAACCTCACTGTCAGCGTCTCTGGCAGTGACGGTAAAGGACCGTACCGCATCCTCATTGTTCCTTTCGGCTCATCGCCGTTTGCAAACAACACAGAAGTGCGGCGAATATTGGACCAGAAGTTTACTTCAGACTCAGCGACAGAGGTTACCTTCCAGTTGAGTTATCCTGCGAACTCGCAGTTCGTCGCAGTGGTGAGTCATTTCATTTCACGTTTCTTTGCTCCTCTCGAAGGCAAAAGGGGATTTACACTCAGCGTACAATTACTGCGGGCCCTTTTGTCACCGCGTTTGGGGAAAGGATTCGAGTTTCACGCTAACGCGGTTCTAGGTCAGTGATGCCACAGGATTTGGGTCTGGCGGTACAAGTGTAGCTGCACAAGTCGCTTCCTCCGACGACACTTCCTGTTACAATGCATCCCAGGACGTCGCGCCTGACTTTGTCTATTCCATTGAACCGTCAAATCAAATAGTACAGTGCCAACAAACGCGCATATGGTGGGACCCTGCAACCGTCCAAGGGTACGTTGAATTGCAATATTATAACTTTTACGTTCCAACGCTAACAGCGAAATTCAATCAGCACACCCAATTTCCTCGGCGTCATCCCTGGTGGAGAATCGTTTACTGTATCGGAAGCCTCTGTAACAAACGTTACCAGTCAGGGAACAGGGTTTTCATGGACACCTTCTATACGCGGAGGGACAACTCTTTTACTAGTCGGTGGTGACGATCGAGGAAACGGTACAGCGGGCAGTGCACTCTTTACTGTCAGCAGCGGCATTTCGAACAACAGCACCTGTCTTAATTCGGAAAGTCCAAGCTCGACACCTGGAACCCCTGCTGGAGGAAGTTATCCTACGAGCACGAGCGGCGAAGGTACAGGCAGCAACAGTAGCAATGGAAACAACACGGGTGCCATTGTTGGTGGCGTCGTAGGTGGTGTCGTCGGCATCGTTGCCCTTCTTCTCCTGCTGTGGTTTCTCCGGCGCCGACATCGGCAGAAACAAGAAAAGGAAAAGACCGTGGATTTACTACACGAGGATGATGGTGACGAACGGTCTCCACACTCTGCAGAGTTACCGCAGTATTACGAACCGGAGCCGTTTATCGTTCCAGATCCGACTGTGGCGTCCGAAGATGGGAGGCTGAGCGCCGATGGACAGGCCAATAAGCCAAGTCCTATCAGACAGGAGCGGGACACCTGACATTCCGGGTTCGACGACAAGTATGGGTGGAGCGAGGAAGGGCGGGTTCAGGTCGCTACGGCCTGTTAATATTATTCAGCACGACGATGCGGGTCCTAGTGGCCCCCCGAGAGAGGAGGAAGAGCCAGAGACCATCGAGCTACCGCCTGCCTATACGAAAATTCGACAATAGACACTTGTATCTATTGTTCATTCATTTTTCCGGCGTGGATTTCCTTCTTTTTCTATACCGTCATTTTCATGGTTGCGAGCATACCACCTTTCGGTTATTACCATTTCATTATCCTCGTCATTTTTGTTTTTAGGTCGCTATCGAATTCACTGCGCTTTAGACATCCACGGACGGACTTTCTTCTTCCCGGGCAACCGCTCTTCGCTTTTCACCTCCCTTATCCTTTGTGACATAATGTAGGATATTCCCCCTTCCGCAGTGTACGATACACATCGTGCGACTCTGTATGCAACACTTACACGTCGACTCGAGTAATTAATATGATGGAACGCCAGCACATTACTACGATTTGAAATATCTATGACAGAAGGCCGGCACTGTCACATGCTCCATCCCGAAGACCTCGCTTGAGGAAATATTCGCGCCCCATACAGTGAGAAGTCAATTGACGATAAGTGTTTCGTAGCACTTTTACAGGAAGTAAAGTACAAACAGCTTTAACAATAAAAACACCTGATAACAAGAAAGCGTTAATAACAATACAACACTTTTTAAGCTCTAAGTCGGGCCAAGAATTCGCCCATCATCAATCATCATTCCCTGACTCTGCTACATCATCCTCATCCGATACGGGAGGTAGTGAAACGTCGGCAACGAGTGCTTCTTCTACCTCAGCCTCCTCTTCATCTTCCTGTTCATCTATCTCTTCATCTGCCTGATCTTCTTCGTCAGAATCTTCTTCCACGTAGGTCTTGACTTTAGGTGTCTGCCTAGTGCTGCGTCTCGTAGGGAGAGGTGAGGGTGTCCTAGCAATTTGATCACGATCTTTGGCAGCACTGAAGAACAGTAGTATTTAGCATCTAGTTATCTCGAATAAAGATCAAACCTACGACGTTCTTGCACTGTTACGTTTCTTGCGTGTTGGCGAAGACACGGTCGGATGTTTCGAAGGTGTGTGAATGCGCCTTGATGTGAAGCATTGAGTACTTCATCTAATCCAGAAGTTCATTGCACTTACTTTCGTGACGGTTTCATTGGTGTTACGACCACTTCTATTGGTGCAAAGTCCGCGTCATCATCCAACCTGGGAGGTCAGTCGAGATCAGTCATATAGCTCAACGATATGAATGAAAATACATGTCGTACTCATGGGCTGCAAGCACAGTAGTCTTCGTTTTCCCTTTCCCCTTCACCTGACTTGTTGCAGGTCGGTGATGGTTAGGCAAACTAAAATTACTAGCATCAGCATTGAAGACATCTACTTACCGAAAGCACAAACCTTGGGGAATCTTCTCCTGAGTCCGACTGCGACCGCTTATCAGCTGCTCGTCTGGGAAGCAGATTCATATCAGTCAGGGCTAGCTCACTCATTCATCATGAAACTGCGCACCGCTCAAACCGCGCAGGCCTTGCGTTTTCCCCCGCAGGCACTGCGACCCCGATATATTGGTATAAGTCACGGAAGTCGTCGTCCATGTGCTCTTGCTCATTGATCTGTTCTAAATCTTTGGAGAAAAGTTTGGAGACGCGAGTTCTGAAACGTTCTATGATCTTGTCTAGAGAAACTTTGTTTAGAGGGCATTGCTAGTGGGTGTTGGGTCAGAACGGGTGCCTTATCTGTTTGTTGAGCGCAAACCTACGTTATTGAGATGCTCCAGAAATACACTTAATTTGAGAATCGTCCGAGGATCCAGTTCTGGTGTTATGTTTAACTGACCGAGCAGCTGACAAAGAACCTTCCTTTCGTTATCTGGTAAATGTCAATGAGGGATTCACGAGAGTGAAAGGACCTGCCCACCGTTCTTGTCTTCATCATACAATGCAAGCAGTATATCAACTGCCAAGTACGCATGAAAGTTCTTGTTAGGTGTCTGTTCAGGCATCCTGTTAAGCTGATTCAGCTGGGAGAGCGACAAGCGAAGTGAATCGTAGACTAACACGTCAACTGATTTCTCTGGGTTGGTCCAATCCATAAGTAGCAAAGAGAATTGCTGCAGCGAGATCATTTCTTGATCCTCTTCCAGTTCGTCGTGAAGTCGGGAAGCGAGGTTGAACGCATTTATGAAAATCTGCAACTCATGAATGGCAATCTCAGAGGCAAAAAAAGACCTACTGATTGCATCCTAGCTTGATTTTCCAATGACGAATAACAATAGACAGGAAAGAAATACGAGAGACATTGTCTCAATTCGGGGTTGTCAGATGTCGAGGGGGATATGTAAGTTAGTACAAGAGTGGTAAGAACCTGATAACTAGCATTATTGTAGTCCTTGCGAGAATCTGCATAACACACACCTTAGGGTCCCTAACCAAGCCGGCCAGAAGCAATTTACATATACCGATACATAAAATCGCTTGGACAGCATTAGATTCCTCCACCTCAAGTGTCTGGACAAGAAACGTAATAATCTGTTCCGCCTGGATATGAACTTTGGGATTAACGGAACATTAATGGATAGTTTTCTGAAACGGTACTCACCACTTCCTCTGAGCGGCTTAAAAAATCATACTCATACATCACAAGCAGGTCAAACACTACCTGCAAAACTTTTAGTCTAAGCTCTTCGGGGGCATTTTGTATCTGGCTGAGAAACAACTGGAATGAGCTCAACGCCATGTTCTATGCGGAGTTATCAGAAGGCCCGAACTGAAGTAAGATGAAATATAAAAAAACCTTGGCGATGAGACAACACAGTCCGAGACTGACGAGACCTTTTTCCCTCATTGGCAATTCTTTCCTCTTGACGGCAGGAATGATAAGATCAGCCAGCATCCCTTCTAGCGTAGAGTTATCTTCAAAAGTCTATGACCCGTGATAAGTAGGAGGCCTCTAGGGTATAATGGATCTTACTCCATGAACTCGCTCCAGCATTCCAATGCAGAGAGTCAAACACCTCATATCAGTCAGGTCAGCTTCCCGCTTTTCCTCCGCTGACATCGATTCGAGATCACGCATGCGGCGCATCGACCCCTCCTTGCGGATGGTGGTTTGTGTTGTATCGCTCCGGCTAATATCGCCCTGTGCGGACATTGGATCTGTAGAATCAAAGGACAAGTTGATATCACGCACTTCAGCAATTTCATTGTCATCATCGTCACGCAAATCCACGACAATCTCTACAACAACCCTAATGAGTTCGCGTTCTGAGGGCGAGATCTCCTTGAGTACGTCAAGACAGGGTTCAATCAAACCAGGTGGAAGTTCTGGATGTGCCAACATGTTCTCTGTCAGATGAACGAGTCAAATGAGATACGTCTCCAAAAGATGAGTAAAGAATTGATGCTCACTGACGACAGAGAAAACCTTTCGCCTTCCCAGTTCGTCCATGTAGTCCAACTTCAGAGCCATTTGGAGGAGCTCGCTAAGAATCGCCTCCTGTTTTGCGATATCTTCTTCACGTTGCTCGCTCTCTTCATCGTCACCGTCGCCGCCTAGGAGGGCGGCTTCGTTCAACAACTTTACCAGGCCATTGTAACCGTCCTGGAGGTAAAATGCGAAGGCTGTCACCACCGGCAATGACGCCTCTTCTAAACGTTGCTGATTCTCAGTCGAATGACAATGTTCTACGAAAACACGAGCCAGGACAGCGGATTCCGGAGTCAAAGCCTTCCAGAACTGATCTAAAATAGGAATAGTTAGAAGACTGTTTGATCTGATACAGAAGGCATCACCTACCTGTGAAGATAAATGCATCCAGAAGAGTTGGCCTCAGGTTGAATTGCGACGAGACAGCATCTACAGCAATGGCGACGCCAGGTCCCACAACGTCAAATAGACACAAAAATTGAATAAAACCCTTCATGACTCCACCGTCATCTCCCTCCCAAGTGACATCAATAGGCCCCTCATTCTTGGAGTGCACAAGGTCAAACCAATTTGCCAGTATCTTACTGGTCGCAACTCTAACTGCAGGTTCGCGATCTCCAAGGCCAGTTTTAACCACATCTTCCCGTTGCGCGATAGTCAGCTTGCGCGGATCACCGAGCTTCGGCAACGCAATGGAATAAACCAGCTTGCGTGTAACTGGATCGGTATCACGCGTACGAGTCAAGATAGCCTTCATACATTGCGGCGTAATCGGAAGGTTGACTAGGGCAGACCGTCTGACCTCACTTCACAAATCATGAGACGGGCGGCAATCTCAGGCAGCAATTCACTCACGCCGAGTGGTCATAAGCGACTACGTCCAGCAATAGCTCGAGTATCGTCCTCTCATCAGCTTGCAGCTCGTCTGGATCTTCCGTGCCAGCCAGCTTGGACAATGCAGCCACAGCATGTGAGCGAATCAGTGGTTCTTTATCGCAGATGCGCTCAATCAGTCCATCACGGAGAATATCATAGGTGTCTTCACTATAAAACTGTTGGTCAAACTCGGGCAACATATGAAAATATTACGCACTCGATGTCTCCAATATGAGCAATCATCTCTGCCACCATCTGTACAGCCCTGCTCCGAACAACCTTATTCTTGGCCAAGAACCCCTCCAAAAGCCATTGGAGAATGCGCGTGGTGAACCGAGACGCCAACGTATCATCACTAAGAACCTTGCCTTTCTTCTCGGTGTCTTCCAAAACTGAAAAAGTCAGGAGTCACATATCGTTGATATTACCAAATGCATACCTTTAGCGTGTATGTGTTTCACGTACGTCCCAACAAAACGCACGACACGGTCTGCTGCAGGGCCCTTCTTTACCACTAGTACCCGACTCAGCATGCCAATAAAAACATCCTCAAACGCAACCTCTCCATCAAGTTTTGGTGCTGTAAATTTTGCGGCCTGAAGATGCAGTTTATACAATCCAACAGAGTTCTTGCGATGGTTGGCTAACGAGCCCTGGACTTCGTCAAGTCTTATGGATACCAGATCGTGGAGGTCATCGAGAATACAAGAAGATTTGACCATCGCAGGTCATGTAGGCTGGTTGCTGCCACTACGATTCCGAATATCGTTGAAGGGTAGAGCAAGTATTATTTGTCATTATTGTTGACAGTAGACGCGTTGTTGGGTCGTTGTCACGTGACTCGATCGATCGATCCGCTCGACTGCCAGTGTTTGGCCAGTGTACCGAAGGCCAGCGCTTCAGCGTCCGGGGTTGACCTAAAAAACGTCCTTGAAGACTCAGAATTTCTATTGCTGACAAGTTCCTCCTTTTATTTCATCTAAATTATCTTCCGAATCAATAAATTTTGTGGACAAGTATAACTGGCATCTTCTAATCGATAATGATGATCATAATTATAATACTCATTCAGTGAGACTCCGCTGAAAAAGGTAGTGCTCATGCAGAATTATTCAAGATCATCTGTGGACTGGAAGCTATACAAAGCTAATAGGTCATTGCGCCCATATCCCGGTATCTATAAACTTCCAATTCTCAGGCCACTAGTTCTCGTAGTGAACGATGCCGACGAATGACTCATTCTTTGCTTATAGTCTATACTCAATTGGCTCTTGCCGAGATAGGCCGGGCGGCGCTTTTCCATGGAAGCAGTGGACTGTGCTGCGCTGCGCTTTCATTGTTATCGTGTATCTTGCTCTTAACGCTTGGCATCGACCAACAGTTCCACCTGCACTTAACGCTCGACCTTGCCTTTTCCCGACCATGTGGTCCGATAATGCCTTGTCGTATATAATCTCTCGGCTGCGCATTTGACTGTGGTACTGCTGTGCCGCAACGAGACATTGACGCGTGATGTAACAATCGATCTCAAAAGTTAAATTCGTGATACTACTGCGCAGGTAAGACGCGTCGAGCCCCCCAATATCCTCTCGTTTCAACACTACTGTTCAAGGAGATGCATATGCAATGTATGTCGAAAAGTTGTAGAAGCCGAAAGCAGGCGGTGCGCGGGCCTGAGCGGACCGCCAGTATAAAAGCGGAGTTTGGAACTGTCGTCGCCTTTTGCCCTCTTCCACCACCTTCCTCTGGGTTCTTGATCCTTCCACCACGCACCAGAACCAGTATTTATATGTATCCAGTGCGCCCAGAATTGTCAATCCCGTCTTTGACAGTGCACTAACGGCGGTTCCTCGCAGAAAATCCTGCATAGAAACATGGGCTCACAAAAGATCCAGGTCATGCATGACTCGCGTCTTGTGGACGACGACGGCAGTTTACTTGAACCCATTGATCTTCAGCTAACGGTCTTTGAGACCTTATTGCAAGAGTATATTGCCTCTGTGTTCATTGTCGCCGTTGCCCATTGACCTTTCCCAGTGACACCCCAGTATCAGGTGTCTCGTCATTACCCATGGCTACACCAAAAGCGGAGAAGTTAGAGGTCGATTCTGTTGGGATCGTGGAGGTGGGAGATCCTTCCAAGTTCGTCGCCTTCAGCCCATATGCCTCCGTATCTCTAACATCATACTCTAGCGACGACCAGCATACGCCCTGCCCTCCCGGACCACTCCTCCAGGACTATGACTCTTTCAGTAAAGGGAGCGTTGAGGGTGACTTTGCCTTCTTACCACCTTATTACGAACACGATGACTCGCCTGTATATTCCGGGCCCGAGCTTGAAGAAGACTTGGGTCAGACGGTGCCCGATTTTAATTCATCATTGGCATCCCTTCCTCTCACGGAGGCCGGGGAATGGATCCCGTCGTGGCTTCAGGGCGTGTCACAAGCACAGGGGGCTGACTCCCCCCTCATTACCTCCCGACTCGTCGTCGAGCAGGACATTGCTGAAGAGACCGGGAAGCGCTACAAGCGCAAGCACTCTGTTGCACTATCCGACGACGTATCTCAGCGTCGCGTGCCTCTGGGTCCGCTGAGCTTACCTTCCATCTCTGAGAGGAAAATACCCAAGCATATGCCTCCTGACTGATGGTGGTGGCTCGCACCACCCATTGACACTCATTGGCCTAAATGCCGACATCCAGCTTACATTGCTGACCGTATTCCTCGTATACAACCATTATGCTCACGACGGGAACAACACACCCGTCTTACCTTATGCCTTCGGCGAGACAAGGACAGCGTCTTTGATCCGCATTTTTCCTACCACTCCACGAATGCACTACTCCGCTTTTTCCCATGTTTCCCAACAGCGGCTGTACCGATAGCCATCGTTACAGGCTAGAGTTGAAAGACATATTTATACGACTTGGAGCAAAGTCCTTAGGAAATCATCCAGTACAGTGACTTCGTTTTTCGTTTTTCGTTCTTCATTTCTTTTATCGACCCCATTCCTAGAGTATCCAATACTACGCCTAGTATAGATACCTCACCTAAGAGTAGTCGTAGAGATACCTTGCGCGTACCCAATAGATCCTATTTTTGATAATTGATTTTACTGTAGCTTGCGTGGATAGGCACGTGCGTTGCTGATTCTGCAATTCGGTTGAAAGTTGAACGCATGGGCCAACTCGACCGTAGCCTGCGATATTCAAGTTCGAGCTTCCCCTCTATTCAGGCTGGACCATATCCCAAATTGTAAAAGAGGCCCCCGCCGGCTTGGAGGCTTATGCTTGCTTCGAAATGATTTCTCTCGGCGATGGTCTGAAAAATTCCCTAGAAATTCCGAGTCAGTGCAACCGCGGCAATTAGCTGGCTTTCAGTGGTAGAAGGGTCTTGATCTATTCCGGCTCATCACCGTGTCCTTGTTGCCCTTCGTATTGTGGTCGGCCTTGGAATGCATATCTTGCATGCACCTGTTCAGGATCAAGTTCCCAGAACGTCTCGGTATCTTTTGCTTGCCTGCAAAAATCTAAAAGAACGTTCTAGCAGCACACGTCAAATGGCCCGTTTATTGCGAGGAGTGTTATGGAATCCAATGATCCCATTGCTCCCATTGCTCTGTTGCTTCTCAAGCTTCGATGATGGACAGGTGATATCGTTTCTTGAGTCCTTCAACATTTGTCTTCCTCGCATTTATCAATCCTTCTTTGACATCCTCATCCGAGCTTTCGCTAAATGGATTCCTTAAGGAGGAACCTGTGTAACTATCGCCTCTTTGAACCCATTCTCGGGATCATTGCGCTACGATGATGTGCAATAGCGATATCCTTTATCGACCCTTTCCAGGAGATGATAAGAGAGCGGCAAGCATCCTAGCTATTGGAAGTCAGGACGACTAGCTTTCCTCTTTTGACGATACTTTAGGTTCAGCTATGGCGAAAACAGTGGACACTGTCGCGGTCGACTCGGGCGAGAAACTACCCATCGGTGTTGAGGATCAAGACTTCGATTTTGAAAGCTCCCAGTTGAATGATAAAGCCATCGTGACTGGTGGACAAGATGTTTCCCGGTTTGTCGTCGATGTACGAGATGACGGTGACTCCCCTCTTACTTTTCGATCACTGTTCTTGGGCACGGTCATCGCCGGATTGGGTGCTGCTCTCTGTCAGGTGAGGATTTCCCTTCATATGATGTTTTCTGGGGCAATTCATGTGCGCTGTTTAGATCTACAACTTCAAACCTGTTCAAATGTCTGTATCAACAGTATTTCTGCTTTTGGTTCTCTATAGCATCGGGGTAGCTTGGGCCACTTTTCTACCCAAGCGCTCGTGGGTGGAAGGTACCAGACTACAGAAGTTGGCGTCAGTGATCGAATTTATTAATCCCGGTCCATTTGGTCTGAAAGAGGTGAGTGTGCGAGCCTCTCGGCTTTCAGGTCTCAAAAGCTTCCTCATCTTCCCTTACAGCATGTCGTTGCTACGTTAATAGCTTCTACTGCGGCTAACGGTAGTACGGCTGTAAACAACTTCGCTGTCCAGCGGGTATGCATACGATTAGCATCTGTTACTACATCGCTCATGACGCTTAGTAGTTGTTCTACGACACAAACGTACAAGCGTTAACCGCCATTCTGGCAACCTTTTCAACAGCTTGTTTCGGGTGACTATTCTTTTCTTTTATTCGATGAAACTATGCTTGAACACCTCATGAATAGCATGGGGCTTGTCGGCGTATTGCGGCCGCTTACGGTGTATCCTTCTGAGATGGTATATTGGCAAGTAAGTACCGCTACTTCTTTATTCTCCACTGCTCTTATCGCATAGTAGAATCTGCCAACCGTCTCCGTGTTCCAGGGTGAGCCTTATGTCCTCTCTTATGGCCCTAGTCCATGATTGAGCCTTTGCCAGCCCTACATTTTGACATTCACGCCAACACCAAGAGAATCAAACTTTTTTGGACAACTTTCACCGGGATGTTTATCTACGAAGTCATTCCGTCCTATGTGTTTCCGCTCCTTAACGGTTTCAGTATCTTCTGTCTTGCATCTCAAAGGGCATCAGCTGCGACCGTCAATGTTTTCACTAATATTTTCGGTGGCGCCAGTAGTAATGAAGGCCTTGGATTGCTTAATGTTTCGCTCGACTGGCAGTATATTGGATCAATGTATGCTCTATCAAGTCAGGATGATCCTCCACTGAAACAATCGGCAGGTATATGTGTTTACCGCTTATTCAACAAGGTGCGTGACCATAGTTCCCCAAGTATCGAGTTTGTTGACGTGAGGCAGTGAATTCCTGGATTGGGTACATCATCTGCTATATCGTCATCGCAGCAATATATTATTCGAACGCTTGGAATGTGCTTTCGATTTTCTCTCTCTCTTCATATATAGATGCTGACAGATTTTTTATCTCAGTCAAAATCATTTCCAATGCTGTCGACCGCCATCTTCTCATCAAATGGGACCGAGTACCGGCAGTCTGCCGTCTTTGGTTCTGAATGGACGCTCAATCAAACCGCGCTCGATGAAGTCGGCCTTCCGGCTTTGACTGGTTCAAATGCATGGACCAATCTGACTGCCAATCTTAGGGTATGCATTTCAAACAGCAATGAATTAACTATTGATGCTGCGGCAGATTGGCGGTCTTATTGCTCACGTTATTCTTTTCTGGGGACCATACGCTCAAGACGCCGTCAAGCAATCGCGCAACAAGACACAACCCGATGCACATTTCCAGGAGATGCAGAAGTACGCGGAAGCACCTTGGTGGTGGTACGCCATACTCTTATTACTTTCATTCTTTGCAGGTAGGTAGCTTCGAGGACCGCATCGGTGTAGACAACTCAACTTTACTGTTCCAACAGGTTTGATTATAGTACTCAAGGGACAAACGTCTCTACCATGGTGGTCGTACATCGTAGCGCTAATTCTAGGCGGATTTATCACGGTGCAGTTCCTAAATATTGCAGAAAGAGCACCCGGTACTTATTACGCCCCATCAGCCATTCTCTACTCTTCTCTATGGACGCATGGGAACGGGTGTGGCCACGAACCAACTCATGAAGATGGTTCCTGGCGTCCTTAACCCAGGAAAACCGGTGGCGAATCTCTATGTATGCACGATGTGACGAAAAGTTCTTCACTGACGTTTCCTACAGTTTTCGATGTGGAGTCACGATGTCGTGGCGACATCCATCAACTTAGCAGGTGATTTGAAAATTGGCCAATATACCAAAGTTCTTCCCCGCGTCATGTTCCTCACCCAGGTTTGGGGAACTCTTCTGGGTATGATTTTTCTCGACATTTAGTGACCTCAACCCACCCTCTAATCTTTAGGTGCAATCGTCAACTATGGTAACTACGCTTTCGAATTTCTTTCGATTGCAGTAACCAACAAGTACTTTGCAACGTAGTGGTTATGATTTCCGTTGTCGACAAACAACGTGAGGTTTTGATGGATTCGTCAGGCACGGCGGTATGGAGCGGCAAGACTATACAGAGTTTGAACAGCGCCGCGGTGACATGGTCTCTTGCTAAACAATTATATGGCCGCGATGGTCCGTACTTTATTGTGCCTTTGGGTTTGTTAATCGGGATGGTCCCGACTTTTTTCCAATGGCTTATATGGAAGGTGTGTTGTGCATCGCCACGTCTAGAATAGTAGCTTACGGATTGACGCGATAGCGCTGGCCCACCATTGGGCCGGTTAGGGTTGACAGCATCATTCTACCCATTATATATTATGTGCGTACACTTTTCTTCGTCAATTCTTTCTCTGAATGCAGTGCATGCCAGTACTCCTCAAAGATGAGCAACGGTCAGACATCGATGATCACTTCCTGCAACATCGTCGGCCTTGTCTCCCAGCTCTGGTTAAGGAGATATCACCCTGTTTGGTATCGAAAGTATAACTACATTTTGGGTGGCGCTTTGGATGGTGGAGCGCAAGTGATGATTTTTATTTTGTCTTTCGCGGTTTTTGGCGCCTCAAATGTGGAGAAACCCTTTCCTGCGGTGCATTTTTTTTCCTCGTCAAATCATGTGTCGTGAGCTAATCTGCCCTCTGTTCACAGTGGGCAGGAAACCCGGCCAATGGAAACGCTGATTACTGCAACGGAAATGGAGCCTTAGATTGACTCGTAGCGCCCGAGTCTGCTCATCAGACTAGAAAGAATATCATCTTCAAGATACACACTAATGTTCACATGCTGACAGTACCATGATCGGTTGTAACAGGTAGCAACTTATTTCGGTTTGATAACGCATTCGGGTGTATTATTTAGACTGGGCGACCGTGGTCCTACTTATGTTTAATTGCGATAATGCTTGGTGGCATGTCTCTGTCTGTCCGGATAAATCAATATTACCGCACTTCCGCTCTCTACAATCATATCAATGTGAGGAGCCGACAGGTCACCGACGCGGCGCTTGTGTTATGATACGGACGACGAATGGTGCTCCATTCTGGAAGTATTTCAATGATGCGATTCCCTCAAGTCGTCAGTGCTGCAAGTTGTACGGAGAAATCTCATCAGGAACATGCTTTTATAGTGCGATAAATTTACCGTGGTTAGAGACAAATTTGAGTAATAATTCAGATGGTTGAGCAGTCCGATATAAAGCTGTTTCCTTTCAACGCTAGACTTCACTAAGTAGATGCAACACGCCGCATTCGTTAATTCGCAGTATCTGGTAGATTTAAAGATAACAGTAAGCTCTAGCCTCTGGCCGGAACCTTTCGAGAGGCAGTGAGGACAAATACGTCATTCGGCAGAGGACTTCAGTGACCGTCGCGAGAAAGATAAGTTCAATATTTGCATCGGGTGGTGGCGCCAAATAACTGGCAGTGGGGCAATTGGTGTTTGTCAGCACACGCGAGCGATCTCTCTGTCTATCACCTTCATCTTTCATCGTCCCGCCTTTTTCTAATAACGAAATGGTACGTTCTCATTCCTTCAGGCGACACCCTACTGAATAAAATCTCAGTCTACGAACTGCAGACGACGGCTCATCAGAGACTTCAAGCGATTGTCGACGGATCCTCCCGGTGGCATTTCCGGAAGCCCATGTCCGGACAACATCATGCTATGGAACGCCGTTATATTTGGACCAGGTGCGTCTGACTGTTCTTTCTACCTTTGTTACTTGGCTCATCTATCAATCCAGCCGAAACACCCTTTGAAGACGGCACTTTCAAACTTCTCCTCACTTTTGACGAATCCTACCCCAACAAGCCCCCCACCGTCAAATTTCTCTCACGGATGTTCCACCCAAACGTATACGCCAACGGCGAGCTCTGCCTGGACATCCTCCAGAACCGATGGTCCCCGACCTACGATGTTGCCGCGATCCTAACATCGATACAGAGTCTGCTGCATGACCCGAACCCTAATAGCCCAGCTAACGCAGAAGCAGCGCAGCTCTATAGGGAGAATATGAAGGAGTATGTGAGACGAGTGAAGGCGACGGTGGAGGAGAGCTGGTTGGATCCGGAAGAGAAGGCGGAGATGGAGGGCCAGGAGAGTGCATCTACATAGACTCCGATAGCGGCGCGTACAACGACATTTCATTCTTCCTATCTATCGTTACATACATCCTGTGATATACACTACTTTATTTAATGTCATCTCAATCCATACACCTGCCTTTTTGCAGGCCGTCGCATATTACAGGCTTTCTCCTACTCGGCAATTTTTTCACACGACGAATGGCAGATACGGGTTTTGCTACACTGTCCTATAAGGATGAATCGAATCGAAGCAACGGCAATGAATCTACCTAGTTACTTGTGACTCAGCTAATACAATGATCATCGTTTCCCACGGTCGGCCATGATATGCTAAGACGTACTCTAGGATTGAAGCCTGAAGCTAAGGCCCGACTAGGCCCGAGCTGTAGTAGGCCGTTTTTGTCACACTAATGAAACTGAACAACGTGTAGTAATATCTGATCATAGCTAAACATTTTCTTCTTCCAGGTAGTTGTACATGACAGTGCTACATGCCCATTCAACATTGGGTGTCCTGGTAGACCTGAGTGGCGAAACACTGAAAACGGTGTTCATCATTAACGACCAAAGTTCAGGATAAAATGGTACATACGTTATAATTGTCTGCATTGATCCTGGCGTTCGCATCCGACAACGCCTGATCAGCAGAGCAGCCGTAAGTAACGTCGTCAGTGTCGGCGACAGCATGAGTCAACTATAGCACTTCAGTACAGACCCTGCGTTATGAGGATTGCAAGCCTTACCTCGTGGAGAGTCGTTCCTCCGCGGATATTACGTGCAGCAACAGTCGTTCCTGTACAGAGGCTAGTGCTGGCAACTTCGTTAAAGAAGAGGTCGCAGTAGTAGATCTGTATACACAGGTTTTCATGATAAGGTCGTACAAAGCTGGAGTGCACACGTACGTTAGTGGTGGAGATGACGGTATAGGCGATCACGCCGCTCGTGCAAGCGCCATAGGTATCAGTACAGCTCAGTCTAAATCCGGTTTTAGCCTTTCCAGAGAAAGAACATATAAAGAACTGATGCCAACGTTCGGGAGCTGCTTGATTCACTAGCTACAGCGTTATAGACACTGCTGATGGTCGAGGTCGAAGTGGCTCCCCAGTATGCGGTGTACAGGGTGTTCTTACCGTTACTCGAGATGTAAGAGGACGAGAGAGAGGCGAGACTCTTCGCTTCGGTATAGCTTGAGACGGGGACATTCATATGAAATTTGAAACTGGATTGGAACGGAAAAACTGACGAACCTGGATGTGATGAACGTCTTCTTGGTGGAGGAGCTACACACTGCAGTCGCACGCTTGTCGATGCCTGCGACGTCACGTGCGGCAAGGTCCCCAGAGACATGCACGTCCATAGAGGTCGAAGAGACTGTAACCTTGTTCAGGGTGCTGGCGGCAACTTTGGCTGCGACGTCGGCCATTTGGAAGGTGGTGACGGGCTCGAAGGTGTAGGTACCCTCTCCGGCGGAAGCGAAATCGTACAGCGAAGAGACTGTGAGCTCAGAGTCAGAAAAGAGCCGACATTTCGGTAAACACGCTACCATCATGATCGACAGTAACAGTCTCCCCAGCGCCGATAGTCGTAAACGCAGAGTCGTCAAGGTCGGTAAGAGACACAGTTATCTAAGAGCAAGAGTCAAAACAACACCCGCGCGTGAAGATAACTATCATACCTTAATACCAGTGAAAGGGACGGTAGTACCGTCCTTGGTGATGGTGAAGGAGCGAGTCGGAAGGCCATCATCCAAGATCGTGCCGTACTTCAAGATCTTGACGGCTTGAGCACCGGTGTTGGTGATGGACGCGGTGAACTTAAGCTCCTCGAGGGAGGTGACATTTGTGGTGGGGCCAGAGAGGGAGACGGTGAGGCCATCAGCTCTCTTAAGAGGAGTAGCGAACACGCTTGCTCCCGTCAAAGCCAGACCGAGCGTAAACAAAGAGGCGAACATCTCAAGTCAAGGAGATAAGTTGACTGGGGCGAACGAATGCTCTGGAGGGTTTAAATACATATGTGGATGGGCCGGGGGGAGGAGTCCTTATCATGAAGTTCTAAGTAACATATGGAGAGAAGGCTGGAAGGAGCGTCATCGCAAGTGCAGCGCATGCATATTCATGAATGTGGATCGGAAATTGGGTCAAGAGCCGAGCGATTACCACCTTCTTGCCTGGAGTCGATGATATGCCTCCTCCTAGATGTACGACCAAGTTAGAGTTACAGCAACTGTAAATTCGAGCTTCCAAGATCAGTTACTGAGGAAGAAAATAAGCGTATCTGTGAGAGCCAGACTGTTATCATTATCAACACTCGCGCAAAGAAGGTCATTTCGACCCTACCTTCTTGTCCTTTGTGAATCACGAAAATCTCTTGGCATCTAGTCGTCCACATAGTGCCAAGGCTAAAAATCGCCGCCTCTCTTCAATTTTTCTTACCGAGGTATTCCCTGGTGCTCGAGGGCCATAAACGCGAAGAGTAACCATGTGTCCCGGAGCTGCTAGAACGGCAGTCTCGAGTCAAGCGGCAAGAAGCAAGACTGATGATGTTCCTCGTCTGACTCTCGAGATAAAGAGCATTGCTGAGAGACTGGTCAAGGTGACCGGTCACGGTTTTCGTGTCGCGTTGCAACTCTTCCGAGTCTGCAATACCGATTCAATATCGGTGTCTTATGACCTTCAATGGAACGATGGAAGCATTGATCAGCGTGACCAGAAAAAAATATTGAGGTCATAACTGCAAATTCAAGTGAAGATGTTCATCAGAAAGATCTTCCGAAAACACCCATGTTTACAGTACTAACTTTAGTTGGAAAGAGCCTTGCATAAAATCATAGTGAGAGACGCCTTGAGGACTCGGAGCTGGTAAGTGATTATGTTCACCGCCGATCGAAGAATCAGGAGGCGAAGCCAGCCTTAAAATCCTGGGAGCCGAAGCACTTTCGAGACCCGACTCAAAGTGGCAATTTTCGTAGCACTAAGAGGACCTCAAGTTATTCGTAGACAGAGCGCTTGATACGCTCCTTCAAAAAGTGCCAAGACCTTGTCCATGAGGAAAGATAAAGCAGCATCAGATCACGCGGACGAAGAATAGCGAATGTTGGTTGTGATATCTGTATTGTTTTACGATAAGTCATCTGCAACCATCACGAGTAGGTGAAAAATCACCGGAGACGCATGCCTGGTGACACGAGCACTGTGCAAGGCGACTCGCGTGCTGAACGCTGAGGCCTGGAACTTGTAACTTGTTCATCCTAAGAATCTCGCTGCATACATTCCGCGAGGTTGCTAAGAGTAATGAGTAAAAGGTGACATTTATAGAAGGCTCCTTCTGTAGTGACTACTGTAGTGCACTTGGTGGCGTAAAGCAGGACGCGGACACGTGATAATCACGTCAGATTTTCGTAGTTATCACGTCCCCGATTCTTTCCGAAACCTTGACCTTCCACCGAAAGCGATTCAACTGTAGCATCCTCACCCCTGCTGCTGCTGAAACTGGTGCGTGTTAACCATGAGGACTTCGATCATACGATCAATATGGGGGCCGTGAAAAACCTTCAGTTCTCGGTCCGACAAGGTCGTGTGCACGTCTAACCGCTACCACACGGCAGTCATCAGTGAATAAAAAGATAATTTCAAAGTGTATTCAGAGCGTTTCTAAGAATTCATGGCAGCTAGTCGGTCCGGTGTCAATGCATAAAAAGGACGAAGCGATAGGTCATCAATGGTCGTATCAGTAGGGAACGGAGCAGACGGTAACGGAGGCATACGACATATGATATACTTTAGCCGTCTGAGCTTTTGACCGAGCGTAACACGTTTTGGACATCCCGGCTGGCGTAACTGCCACGTAGTCCAGCTGTTGCACAACTCGGCGAAGCGCTGGACGACTTCTCCTATGGTAGGCCGCAGGTTAGGGTCCCATCGGATCATATCGTCACTAAGAGAAGATAAGAACTTTAGAGGAGGGAAAGTGTCCTATGTATTGACCAGTTTAGAACTGAACGACTCTTGAGTGGGACGACTGACCACAGAGAAGGTCCTTTTCAACATACTACCCAAATAATACACGTCTGTTGGGAAAGGATTACAGCTATCAACCCAAGGAGTGTTGACGGTGATGATCGAATGCTCTGGCGGGTGTTTGTCGCCACCGCTAATTGGAGGTTCCATCGGCGGCTCATTGGAAGGATCGTATTGACGTGATATGCCAAAGTCGACAATGTAATACCGTGGCCAACATTGAGTCCGAGCAATATGTTTTGCCTTTCTTAAACTAGAGTGGTCGGGTGCTAACCATGGACTGACGGGGCTGAATCCCTCAGGAAACAAACTGCTTGGATCCAGCATAATGTTCATCAAAGTGCAATCACTGAAAATTCACTGGGTAGAGGATAAAAAACTTGCCTATCGAGACTTCGTGAGGGTGCCTCGACTTGGAGATGGCTTTGAGTGTGAGCAGACATCCATCAGACGCGCGCTTTGCATCCATGATCGCGTCATGCTGTCATGTAGTGAGGAGACAGCTACAAAGGTTATAATTTAACAAATACCGCATAAGGAGTGTAGTCCTCGCTACATATCATATCTCCCCTCATCTTCCATTGTGGTGGCTTCGATCCGGGCTCGTACTTTGCTCGAAGATTGTATCCGGATTCAGCAAGAAAGGGCTGATGCGAAGTCCAGTAAATCTCGCCTTTTGTAGCAGAGCGTGGTTCGAACTCTGGAGGCAGTAAGTCCCACCACATCGAAGTACGAATTTGCTGTGGAGGTAAGATACCAAGAACTTACATGCATGGTCCGCGTGTTGTTCATTAGAGCGCTTGTGTGGGTTTGAATTTTGAAATCCCGGCTGGTACTGAATGGATGCAGACCACGTGCAAGCGCGTAACGGCGCTTGCTGATCGACTTCCATTTAGCGTCCCTCTTGCATGCCGTCATCCTTCTGATCCCGCAGCTCGTTCGCTCTCATCTCCCTCGCGATTTATACGATTATTACGATTATGTCCTGGAAGACAATTACAAAGCACTAGACGGGTTACATGTTCTCTCTGTGCTTCGTATGGATGGGAGAAGACCAGGTGCTTCCACGGATACATGAAGACGCTCAAAATCTTCTCGTGAAAGGCGAATAATCTGTGACTACCTACAGAATTCATCCTACCAAGGGTCTTGAGTGTGAGACGGTGTGCTTTCTCCATGCCTGGTGCTCTTCTCGTATGACGAACGCCATTAGCGAGCGCCGAGGATACATTGTCGGCTGAACGGTGCCGAGGTGAAGCTCGTCGGTGGCTCCCCAAGTATCGGGAGAATCTTTGAAGATACTGATTGTATTCCATTCCGCGTGAAAAAGCCGAATTCAAAAAGTAGCCACTAGAGCAGCCACTAGCACAATCATCTAGTCATCGTGGCCTCCTTCCGTCTTAACCTTCTGTTTTTTTTTCTGGATCTATTTGCTCCGACGAGGAGACTGAACGTCCACCCGTTCCTTCTCCCAAGATACCACGGGCGAGCGCCTATACTATACGCGATTTTGTTGAGACTCGCGTTTCCGTCATTAGTATGTTCAAGAAGGAGGAGAGAATAGATATTAGCGACGTGCGGGGGTCCGACATGTTGCGAGTTTTCGTTTCTGATGCTGACTGTACAGGCTATCGTACCATACACGACGTACCCTAATTGACAAGACTCGCTTGGCCCTGCAAAGAGACAAATTGCTTGTATCCATACTACGGGATATGACCGTGGGTTTTTCTCTCAGATGGTATTTTCGGCCTATTGATCATTTTTCTTAGGCAAAGCCATCTCTGGAGAGGTATCGCATGTATTGTTGATCACATGCGACGATTCTGCCGTAGATTTTACTACCATCTTCGCCGAGTCCATCTTTTGACAGTACTGAGCTATCGGATATCAGGTATAATCTTAGTCATCCTCGCCGCTATCTTTATCTGATTTTGACCTCAGTAGCGTCCCATCACCGTGTATGCTTTACCACGCAACTCGTTCCTCATCGGTAAAGGCATTCATGCGGAACGAACCTGGGGCGTTGTGTCTTTACTAGTCTAACAGCGTGGTTCTAGTTCTGTATAGATGGACTCAAATTATTTACTATTTCAATAGAACACCGACTTCAAATATGGCCCATTTTTTGCTGGATACAGCGGGATGGCCCGAGCTGACTCTGAAGAGACTGTCACTACGTTCGAGACAAATGCTGAGGATTGCGTTAACGAGGAACAGCAAAGCTCCCAAAGCACTGTCTGACGACCAAATATGACAAGCGCCACGACTGTTAATCTTGATTTCCCTTAGACGCCGCAAAGCTGCATACCTCCCGACCTATCTACTGGGATCGTGGTCTTCCAGAACCAACTTGTTCAACTTGTTCCCAGTCTTCAAGCCAACGTCCTCGATCCAAACGAAACAAGCCGCTCCTTATGGTACAGCTTTTACGAGCTCGAGAGAACAAAGACTTCCACCGTCTTATTCACACGAAGACCTCGCATAAGCCCGGAGAATTCGAGCTGTGACTTGCAATACCTTGAGGGAAATCGCTTTTTGTTTCGCACTCCCTCGATTGCATATCCTTCCGAGCCTAGAAAATGGGAATTAGTACGTATCATTAATCCCTCTCGCTCTGAGTACTCATTACGACGACATTAGGAGCGTCCAAGGTCTTATACCGATTGCTTTGCGGCTGCATGATCGATGACAATGATAGATGTCTTCGAGAGGTAGGTCGGTTGGCAAACAAAGATAGATGGCTTACAGAGGTAGGTCGGTTGGCAAACAAACAGAGGTGAAATTGATAACATATTTCCAGTATCTTTCTCGTCCCGAAGTCACCATCTCTGCCTTCACTGAGACGGGCCAAGAGGAATCGTCGATCATCGTTCCAAAGCAACGGGCGTACACCAGTAGAGAGCCTGTGATATCATCCAGCCTTGCTGACACTCCCTGTGCTACCCTCGGCGTTCAGGGCCTCTTGGATCAACTCAACACCACCCTCGGAACATCACACAGCCTGGACACACCATCCCTCTCCTCCCTTCTTGAAGAGTGCATCGCAAGCGACTACGACTTTGGCATGGCATATGGCCGCCTCCGCCGGATATGGGACTCCGACAACTGGAGCACTACTATACGAGACACATTTCGCAGCTGGGAGGTGCGAGATCGGGAGGTGCGAGAAAAAGCACTTGATGGTAACCGGATCGTCAATCCAAAGTGGCCACCTCGACGTGTCTGGGATTTGTACAGCAATCGAGTGGTGCTATGGTGGTGCACAGGAATCTCTGTTGATGACCGACACTGGAACCACCACTTTCAGCCCATATCCCATGCATGGGTGGATGAGAAGGATCGGTTCGATGCGCAGACACCTATCAACGGATACGAATGGCCTGTCCCCATCCCGAAAGACGCCAACCTCAATCTTATCCGCATCGAGATGCTCAATATCGGTTTTCGACGGGGGTATACATGGTTGGATGTTCTCTGTTTAAGACAGGAGGGTGGACCGAGGGAGAACATGTGCACAGAAGAGTGGAAACTGGACGTGCCCACAATTGGAGCAATGTATTATGACAGTTGGGTAGTGTGTTACTTGAGTGGGCTGGGTCGGCCTTTGAGTTTGAAGGACGGCGACTTGGAGAGTAATCGGTGCTGGTTTAGACGTGCTTGGACACTACAAGAAGTTGGTCGGGAAAGGATGATTGCTGGGGACACGCCGGATGGACCACTGCATGCCAAACATAAGGACGGGAAGTATGAGACTGAGTTACTGATCAAATTTCACAAGCTGTGGCAGTCTATGGAGAACATTTCATGGGGTGTGTTTGAGGCACTGGAGAGCATGCAGAATCGGGTGTCGGCCAAACCAGTGGACAAAGTCGCTGGGCTGGCATTTCTTATGCGATCTAGGACGATACCGGCATACTATATGAGCCAGTCTCCTGAGGAGGCATGGTCATCACTTGTGAATTCGATGGATATGGGGCCTTGGGGGCTGTTGTTCTTCTGGTATCCTGAACCCGGAAATGCAGGCACAAAATGGAGGCCATCGTGGGACCAGCTTATGACGAAGCCTCTGCCCGCAGGTGATTACATCAACATTGACATGATGGAAGGCTCGTGTGACGTGCGCTGCATTGAAAAGGGGATGGTCCGAGGGTTGGCTGTTGCGGAAGGGGGTGATCGATGTGGAGAGTTGATTGCTAACGGCAGGGATGAGATAGAACATGGATTCAAGATCACAGTCACCCACAAGTACCCAATACCTGAAGATACTTACACACTGATTTTCAGTGATGACGGGTATGACTGTTGTGTTGTTGGGCAAAGCCTGCCAGGGGAAAGGTTTGAGAAAGTGTCGGTGCTGCAAATTCCTGATGACGAAGAACAGCGCAGATTATGGCATCTGCATATTACTAAAAGGCATTACCTTGCTGAAAAGCAAGGTCAACCCACAGTCATAAAGTTTCCTTTTCCGTCGTCTGCCAAAAGCAATTAAGTACAAATAGGTGGCTGTGCTCAATCCAGCAGTCCTCTTCCTACTCTCGCATCTGCCAAAACCAAACAAATACAACGTAGCCGTGCAGCATGTCAAGACTCAGTACTCAGTACTCAGCCGTTTACCATCTCGACTCTATCGCACCTGCAGCACTAGCTTCAAAAAGTCGCCTCGCACATTGAATATTGAACGTTTGAACCTGAACATCTGGGGAATTGCTTAAGAATTGGATCGTGAGTGACTAATACCTTCTCCGTATTTTCCCTTCGCTGATGCTCATGCGTCGCACTTTATAGTCTGTTCCACTTACGAGGACTAGTACCACTCGCTGTGCTGTCCTAGCACAATTAACACTGCATCTGTCCTTCTTGCCACCAACAAGAAGCACACTTTCTAACTTCGTCTCTGGACACTTGCAGAGGGAAAGTCTCCCTTTGGCATCCCATGCTCAATACACGAGAACATTGTACCCAACAAGATCATTATCACGTATATCAGCCCGCAAGACGAGGATCGGTACAAGCTTGTAAAAGGACCACAAGGTGATAGTCGAGGTACTAAAGGAGCTCGTCCAGGGGGAAAATACAGGAAAAGGCGAGGCAGAGTGGAAACTGAATGCTTTTCTGGCAGAGGGAATAGCCAAGGATGACCAGGACCGCGGAGCTAGGTGTGATCGCCTGGACCACCTATCTCGTAAGCCTATATGGGAATGAGCTCGCCCATCTACTGTTCATGGTCCCGATGAAGCTTTCAGCCGCCATCGATATATTATATTCAGGTTTGCGCATGATGCACGCAGTCCAATATGATACTGGTGAGTACATCTGTTAGTGCTCTACGCCATTGATCCTTATCCGTTCACTAGATTCTGCTATTCTCTCCTCCCCCTCCCCCTTGCCACGTATCCACCACACCATGACAAATCGACATCAACCCCGACCCAACGACCCATCCCCACGACCCTCCTTCAGTCGGACATTCCCTTCCGATATTGCGTCATCCCCTACCACTCAACGACGTCTACCTGTTCCCGCTGCGCTGGTCTTTCAATGGCTAGTAACGTGCATTGTTGGAAAGTAGAAGAGGACGTTGCCTCCTGTCTGGTGCGAGGAGGGAGTGAGTATGCCTGGAGACTGCGCGAAATATGACCCCACCCCATCCTGGTGTGTAGGTGTCCGAGTTTTGGCTGGAGACAATGGATCGTCTTCCGGCAAGCAAGACGTCTGCGCCTAGACGATGTATTCAAAACCGGTGAACACACCCACGGCGAAACTTCGCATAGGGTAGGGACGGCAGGTAGTCTTAGGAGGGACTAGTTTTACCTCGACGCCATGTATCGACGTCCGGCAAGCGAGAGCATGGCGTCGGGGTATTGTTGGGGATACAAGGAGTATAGGGCTAGGGTAAACTGGACATAGTACGCACGTCGCACGATGTCGACTGTCTTCGTTACTGATCGAGATCCTTTGCATCTAGCTGTTATTGTACACCTCGCACCCCAGCCTCTCCCTGGACGACGACTTTTGCGCGGACATGACGTATCGACATCTGGCGAACGAGCGCACGGCGTCGTGACACCGGTCGGAATTTTGGAATAGATTATGGGTCTGAGTTCGGGGACTCTTATTAGAGATGGTTTGGCACTATGCAGTGTGGATTTTTCAATGTACAAATGATCTGCGAGGTATACGACTGGTATATCGGTGTTCAAAGAAGCAGACGTGCCACGCAAACACTTCGTAACATATTGGTATGACTTACATAGATCAACCCGACGAGGAATCGTCGCTTTCAGTGTTTCCTTACATGTTTTGAGTCGGGAGCATTGCCAATGAAAAGGTCGACTCGAAAGAGACAGCAATAGGGTTCAAGGACAAGATTCAGCAAGGTCGTACTCGCCTCGGCACGCGGCAGGCACTTGTCAATATATACTTGTTTGAGTAAGTACACATTGCATGGTAGTTCTTAACTTGAGCGACTATCATGCATAAGTTTGTGGATATACCCAATGCCTTTCTTCAACGTCTCCTTCAATCCTTGGTCCCGCAAAAAGTCAAAGTGAACTTGCGACCTCAAGGCCTCAACGTTAAGGAACCTGTTTGGCTTGTCATCCGCAGCGCAGTGGACGAGCAGGTCGTTGACAGTGAGGTAACATTGTTTTCATGAGGGAACAAAGATGATGACAGGATTCGTGGGGGGTGTATTTGACGTACACTGGCTTCGAAATCGACATTCTGATAATTGATACCAACACCGTACGTACAAACCCAGCGAGCGAAGCATCCGCACGCAACTGAAAATTGATTAGTTAACAGAAGAATATGTCTGAGATAGAGGACAACCTGCACAATGGTGTATCCCAGCCATGTCCCCCAGGAATTCCGCCGTTTTTTCACGAAAATCAGGGGTTGATTCTTTCCACCCTGGTCGAGGACTTTCTCGTAGCAGATTCCAGTCATCATTTAGTACCGCTCATCGTGTTCTTCATGGGAACTTCGATGAACTGATCGCACAAGGTCGGCACGAAGCATCGAAAGAGAAAGAGTGCCTTTGATTCGTCTACAAGCTCTGGACTTGAAACACAATCCTTCTCCAGCACCTTCCGTCCATGTCAAGCGTCTCGGTCAACGTAAGCCGGCTCCGCTAAATCCTTTTCATCGATGTCTTCAGTTGCGTCAGGCTCGACTGCTGCGTCTCGTGTACAATCTTCTCCAACAACGGGTGCCGGTGGATCCTTTGCCTATACCAACAGCGCCCTTTCACCGGCGTTCAAACCCAAGTCTCAGAGACCTCGATTTGTATCCAAGAATCCGCAAAGATCCACGGTGAGCTCTAAGTGATTGGCAGCCTCATCCGGGAAAAGTGTGTCTGGAACGAGTACAAGATCCCGATTGGGATCGGCTTGGGTGCTTGACATGAGTTCGAATGCGATGGGGACCGTCGAGAGTGCCTTCGTCGAATGCTCTCCCGCTAGTTCGCAAAGAATCCAGTTCGTACTCATCTCAGACATGACAACTTCAACGTTGACGTGCTCGTTAGCATCACGCAGTCACGACGGTTGGGCTTGGTGCCGAGAATTGCGAGAACCGAGGAAGCCTTGTCGACGGGTCCGAGTATACCTCAGCGATCTGTGTCTGTACCCAGAAACCATCAATGGAAGGTGGGGAGACAATATCTTTGGCAGCCTTGAACTTTACGGATTTTGAGGATTAACTATCGATGACGAGGGCCTCTTCGCTAACTTCGCCGTTCCTGTCCTCGTTGTCGTCATCGTCCGATGATTTCCAACCCTTCTTTGTCCCCTTTCTTTCGTTCCTCTTCATCGAAAACCACAGCAACGACTTCGTCGTCAATCCCTGCATCTTTCCATTCCATATCGGGATCCTCCATAGTCTCGTCTTCAGTGCCAAGTCAGCAATCATCTTCGACAGACCGCAGAGTCGAGAGAACTGCTCACCAGTTATGGGTTCAATGGCCTCTTCTAAGACCTGTCGGCAGTCTACTGTATTCTTTGTATTCTTCTCCACGTTCTTGGGAGTTTCTCGGATGACACGACTCGTGGATTTATGCGACCAGTCGATAAAACAGGTGCACCATTCGGTTCTCGGTCCCTGCGAGGGAGCGCGGACCGGTCTGTAGTGAGAACCAGAAAGGGAATGCCGCCATGGTTGTACTGAGAAAGGGCAGGGTGCGACTCGTTTGAAGGTGGTACCCGCGCATGTGCATAAAGTTCTCCTTGTTCCGAATCCTGTAAAAATTTCCTCGAGAACAATTTGATCATGGTTATCGATTGTATGGTGACTCTGGGCCCAGGATCGTTAACGGGGGAATCGTTTGTGAAGTGACATCTGGTGATAGCTAGTGGAGGTGATAGGTCTAGTCAAGGAAAGGGAGTACCAGGTTTGAGTGATGGTCGCGAAAGAAGAGGATGGACGTGTACGTGTCGGAAGTTGTGGAGCTGTATAGGCCGGGTTTTTGTGAGTCCTTGAGAGACGAGGTGCAGCCTTACGGATATCCAACCGGCGCCAAAGAAAGGAAAACAGGCGCATCAGACTGTAGGGATGCAACTGAAGAGCTGAATCGAGTAAAGACGGTCATTGTCAAGGGCTCTTGCCAGAAACAACATTGCCGTCGACGAGCACAGGAACGCGCTATGCAAATATGGACTTTATTTAAGCGACGGCCAGCGGTATAACTCATTCTGATTGCGACTCTTACTGAGGAGCGAAATGGCCCTACTCTCTGTCGTTTGTTTGGTGAGCTCATTTGGTTTTGGGATATTGACTGAATGTGTACTTTGAATAGCAAGAAGCGGTCACTCAAACAGAACAGAGTAAGAAACAACGTGTAGTCAGACGTTCTCACGCTCCGACTACCATCATCAGACCGGTCGAAATCGCGAACTCGTTGCCATCCTCAACGGAAGCTACACCGACGAGCACCAACTGATAGGATCTTGAACAAGAGCAGGAGACTAATAGAACCAGCTCAGCTCAGGTCCAATCCAGACGCAGTCTTCGCTTTTTTGCGCCATCCTCAGTAATCTGCCGCAAACAGCAGATGATGTATTGATGTACATATCTCTACGAGCACTTGCCGATTGCTTGTGCTTACATCGACATCTTCTCTATCACGCCTACCTTACCCCAAAATCTTCCTCCACCGCGTAGCCATTATATACAATCCTCACTCTCAGCACAAGTTCGCCTGTACCAGACTTCCGAGTGCAGATACGGCAAGAAGAGCGCTTTGAGTACAGACGGAAGGAACACAGTCAGACGCCAGAAATCAGTTGCGGGGCCCAAAGTTTCCGATGACCTTGCCGTGGTAGATTGGGAGACGCGTTTGGAGAGCGGAGAAGGGTGGGAGATTGTGGTTCGGAGCCTTTCACCACAACCAGCCGCGCCCTTTTTACAAATATGGAAGCTTCGCGTTGATAGCACCTTGTGGAGACATCCTCCCTCCCAGAAAACGCACATCCCGCCATCGCAAGTCCCACCGCAAAACGTACAACCTCCCGTCTAATCGTTAAGCCAGGACTGCCGAACGGATGACAGGCCCGTATCCCTTCGGCTACAATGCCTGGTCGTATTATCCTACCTCAGCGGCCTCGCTCACAATAACAAGCCATTGCTTCACACCTCCCAGCTGCCGACGACGACTTCCCGGCACTAACCCCCATACTAAAAGACTCAACCGGCACCAACCAAATGGAAATGCTCACCCTCCATCACCGCAAGCCAGTTGTTGGGTCTAACCTGGATGGATTGGGGACGTGTTTGGATGAGAAGTTGGGGATTGTGGGTGTCCGCCATCCCAATATCATCTGAGATCTGACCGTGCACGCGACCCCACCAGCCACATCTTTTCCAACAACATCGGAGACGGCCTCTCCCTTCATCCACCGTCTATTCCTGCTAAACCAGTACCGTTTCGCAGGCTTGTCAGTGCGTTTGGAGAAACGAACGGAGCTTGGCGTCGCGCGTGCGTGTGGAGGAAAGTTCGTGTATTTTCTGGGAGAATCGGGATGCTACGGTGTCGATAGTGGTGGTCAAAGCAAGACGCAAGCCAAACATGGCATCCCGGTTCAATGCTGTTCTTCTCGACGCTGGCTACATAATGGAAAGGTGGTGCTCAACGAAGCAGTACTTCGATCTCTTCCGAAATACGACGTCCATCTTGCAACCAAGGTAGCCGCAGCCCTTGCGCAGTTAAGGTCATCCTCCGGCGACTCCAATTCCTAACGCGTGTTTTGCTGATGAGAAGGGCTAGGGAGAGAGCGCATGCAGGCCGACTGGATAACCCGTACCCCAGTGTATCTTGTCCTCTGAATACATCCTTCTTTCGTATTCTCCACGGTACATTATGCGAGTCAAGAGTAAATATTAAATTCCTGGTGTAAGCACTGTGTAATAATCAGCAACCTTCCTCATTTCGGCTACTCCTATCTTCAAGCATCTGTTGTTCCAGGGTCGAAGGCTAGGCATAGATTGATTGGATTCCTAGAGAGCGAAATATAGACCCGCAATAGGTGCGGGACATTATTCTCCTTGAAACATGGATGTAACTCTGTCCCATGCTAGCGAGTAGAAATGTCCACGCTGCAGAGTATTAGTGCAGTTTCGTACAGTGCTTAAAGAAGGCCTTACCAGCGAGGACCACCAGGTACGAGGAGTTACTTGCGATTGAAGGACACCTCAGACGACCGCCAGAACATCAAACAAAAGGGGTTTTCGAGGGAAAACACCCGTGTTTGAAGAAGCCAGACCGTGGACTTGGGAAATAGTCTATGTCAAGAGGTCGTGGTTATTAGCGTAGGTAAGAGGCGTAGAAGAGGAACTTTGAGTATTGGCTGAGGCGTGTCATGAGTTACGGGTGGTAGAAGGATGCTGGACATACCAATATACCGCAGGCTTAAAGTCGTTTTGAACAGTGAAGGCAAGAGTGTAGTGCAGGAGATCCAACACGGAACCGCCGCTCCTCCTGCACAAACAGCCTCTTTGTCACTCAAAAACACCGTCCGGCGTCGATACCCCGCCTGGAGTCAAAATCATCATCAAACAACCGTTACCCTCCTCGGAGGATGAGCTATTTGCTACACGATCGAGTGCGGCGTTGTGGGTACCCTGTGGCGAGTGAGTACGCGTACGGCCGGACGTGGGTGAAGTGTCATCTCTCTTCCCTTGGCGAAGGGTTCGTTTGACCGGACTTCAACGCGAGAGGGAGAAAAGAACAGTTGCACTACGACCAGAGTCCTGTGTGCACACGTCTGGGGAGACTGACCTTGGTTTTGGAATGAAAGGTCAGAACCGTTGTGAAAAGAAGCAAAATCGTGTGCCAATCGTTGGGAAGGAGCCTGAGAAGTGTGACGTCACCAATTGCAAAAACCAAACAGACGCGCCGAGCTCTCGATCATTTTCATCAACAGTGTCTTCTCATTTTTCTCTACGCGTCGATTGGCCATTGTACTCGCGCCTCATCGACGGCGGATCCATCCTCCATCCAAACACCTTTCAAATATCGTCTACATCAGAGCCAGACGCATGCGAACTCGAACGATGGCCTGCTCAGTCTATGACGTACAGTGTCAGTTTCATAGGACGAGCTATTGAGGACGATACCAAGACGGCGTACCCACTCACGGTCGACTTACGACTGGCCCTTTCCCTGTCCGCCACAGCAGACTTAAGGCGAGCGCCTGGTGACCTCCTCGAATGCGCACGAAGTGACCGGATTAGGAGAATCTTTGGCAAGACCGGTGAATCCCATTCCGAGTCCACCTGAACAGTTAATTTCATGGTGAGGGCGCACTGATCAAATAGAAAGCCACTATACTAAAAACCATGGAGCAGCCACCAGCACTGATCGTTTGTCCATCACCGCCTCTTTCAGACGTATCATCTCCTCTCGTTTCTGGATTTATCTGCTCTCGTCACTTCTCCTGAGGTACCGCCGACCGCCTGTACAACACGCGATCCTGAGCGGAGACTCTGAGCCATCATTTCGCGTGCTCAAGTGGGAGGAGGGAATGGATGCTATGGGTGGGAGTCATGTCAGGATCGTCGCATATTCTGGATTGCGATCAATTGCTTTTCGACCTGCTAATGCTATTGTTTTTGACTGGAATTCTGGCGCGCCTGTTTCGATCCTGGAGATGCCGTCGCATTTGGAGAAGCCATCTTGTTTCACTGTTTCAAATTTCGAAGAACAGTACGACTTGGAGTTAGTTCTATTTCTCTCATAGCACATCATTGGCTCGCACTTATGTTTTCGTTCAGTTGTTAAAGAAAGGGCGCATTTGATTCGCGAAATTCGATTTACAAGGCCGTTTTTTTGGTCCTACACTCCTTGTCCTCCCACAAAGTGAGTTCTCGTGATAGATATCAAAATTTTCCTACTAAACCTTCGGACCTTTTGGTAGAAGCTAACCCACCCTCATTCCTGCGGGACGAATGGGGTCTTTACCGGCCCAAAAGCGTGGACGAGTCGGTCTTATCCATATCGAAGACTCGGATGAATTCCGAAGGGAGCCGTTAGGGATCAGACGACCGTGTTCGGCAGGATCTTTGGGCGCTTTACCCGTCCGTGCAAACGCAAGATATCCAAATGGGCATAAGGAGCACGCCTATTCTAGGTAGCGCTTATAAATAAACCTACCTATACGCACTGTCCTTCACACCCGATTTAAGCGAAACTTGTGATGCAGCCTTTATGAGCTTGAGAGGACGAGAACTTCCACCGTGTTGTTTACATGAGGACCTCGCAGAAGCCTTGGACTATGGCTTGCGACACCTGCCTGCCTCGAGGCAAGCACTTCTTCGTTTAGTACTCCCTCGACTGCATACCCTTCTGCTGAAAAATGGGAAATAGTACGTATCATTAATCCCTCTCGTTTCGAGTGCTCAGTATGACAACATTAGCACCGTCCAAGGTCTTATACCAATGGCTCTTCGGCGGCATGATGTCGATTTGGAACTACATATACTCCGTCTTTTCGACTGCTCGGACAACTAAAGATTCATCTCCTGGCAGAAGCTCTGAGCTTGACAAAAATCACGACACAACCGTGCCGTCCGAGCCGCAAGAGCAGCACGGTAGTTCTATTCCAGAAGATGCTGGTCCTGTTTTGAAGGCGACACCAGACTTGTCGCTGCGCTCTCATCCAGAACTACCCTCCATTGCGGGTTCACAGACTAGTCCCAAGGAAGAACAGTCATCTGGTGAAGCTTCGGTTGATTCTGATGCATCTCCTGATAAACCTTGGCGTCAACCAAAGGTACGTCGGTGGGCAAACAAACAGAGGGGAAATTGATAACGTTTCCAGGGAATCTCTCTTCCCGAAGTCACCATCTCCGCCCTCACTGAGACGGGCCTTGCGGAATCGTCGATCGTCGTTCCATTGCAACGGTCGTACACCGTTAAGGCGCGCGTGATATCATCCCGCCTTGCTGACACTCCCTGCACTACCCTCGGCGTTCAGGGCCTTTTGGATCTACTCAACACCACACTCGGAACATCATACGCCCAGGACAGTCCATCCCTTTCCTCCCTTCTTGAAGACTGCATCGCAAACAACTATGACTTTGGCATGGCATATGGCCGCCTTCGGAGGATATGGTACACTTGCAACGACTGGAGGACTGTACGAGGCACCTTTCACAGATGGGAAAAGGAAGACCGGGAGATGCGACAAAAAGCGCTCGATGGTAACCGGATCGTCAAACCATACTTGCCACCTCGACGTGTCTGGGATCTGTACAGTAATCGGGTGGTGCCATGGTGGTGCATAGGATTATCCCTCGATAGCGACAGGAAGTCCGGACCCTGGCTTCTGCCGATATCACACGCATGGATGGAAGAGAAGGATCGGTTCGATGCGCAGACACCCATCAACGGATACGAGTGGCCTGTCCCGATCCCGAAAGACGCCAACCTCAACCTTATCCGTATTGAGATGCTCAATCTTGGAGCACAGTATGCGTGGTTGGACGTCCTCTGTTTGAGACAGGAGGGTGGACCAAGGGAGGATATGCGCTTGAAAGAGTGGAAGCTGGATGTGCCCACCATCGGAGCGGTGTATCATGACGGCCATGTGGTGTGTTACTTGAGTGGGCTGGGTCGGCCTTTGACTTTGAAGGAGGGCGACTTGGATAGTGATCGGTCTTGGTTTAGACGTGCTTGGACACTACAGGAGGTTGGCAAGGACAGGCAGGTTGCTGGGGACACACTGGATGGACCACTGCATGCCAAACCAGTAGATGAGGACGGGAACTATGAGACTGAGTTACTGACCAGGTTTCACAAGCAGTGGCGGTGTACGGGGTCCTTGCTGCGGGGTATGTTTGCGATACTGAAGGACATGCAAAATCGGGTGTCAACCAACCCGGTGGACAAAGTTGCGGGACTGGCATTTGAACTGCAGTCCATGACAATACCGGCATACTGCGAGAGCCAGTCTCTCGAGGAAGCGTGGACAGCACTCGTGGATTCGTTGGATGGGGGGAGTCGGGGGCGGTTGTTCATCTCCTATCCTGAACCGGGAAATGCGGGCACAAAATGGTGGCCATCGTGGGACCAGGTTATGACGAAGTCTCTGCCCATTGATGATATCCCCGGCATCGGTGTTGATTGGGATGAGATGAAAGAGGAAGACTGGTGTGATGCGCACTGCATTGAAAAGGGGTTGGTGCGGGGGTTGGCTGTTGTGGAGGGGGGTGATCGACGTGGAGAGTTGATTATTAAAGACAAGGATGGGAGAGAACATAAATTCAAGATCATGGCCGACCACACGTACCCGATACCTGATGACACGTACACACTGATTTCCGCCGACTTATTGTGGTCTCGGTCTCACCATTGGGTCGTTGGGCGAACACTACCAGGGAAAAGGTTTGAGAAAGTGTCCGTTCTGGAATTTCTCGATGAAAAAGAACAGAAGAGGTCGGAGGATCTGCATATTACTAAAAAGTGTCGATACATTCTTGTTTGAGTACACATTGTGTACTTGGTAGTTCTTCTCAACTTGAGCTATCATGCACGCCTGGAGGGTGGCGAAGTTCGCGGAGCTCACACAGTCACTGTCAGGTATAAAGGTCGGTCGATTGCAAAAACCCGAGCTGTTCTATGAGGTACTAGTTCTTTATATATCTGTGGAAATTTAGCAAGGGAGGGACCGGGAAAAGCGAAGGACAAAGATAAGGAGGAAGGTGAAAGTGTCTTGGTGAGAGTTGTCAGCTCAGCATCACGAGAGGTAAAGCATTCTACGATTGCTCCTTGTTGGCCGCAATCTCTGCCAGAAAGTAGTTGTGCAGCAAGTGAGTCAGAAGATAACTCTCGAAGAAGACCCTCGGACAAGAATTTCTTGTAAAAAGTTGTTCCTGGTCTGTCGACACATAATTCATCATCTCTTGGTTGACGTGCGCGACCCATCATCTGGATTCCGCAGAACATCCATGACGAGATACGTACTCGACATATTGATGCTCCCTCCCTTCGTAGTACTGCACGCCCGTGATGATGCCTATGCAGCCATCAACGAGAATCGACTGTGCTGTATCCTACAGACGTTGGACGATCCGCTTGTCCTCCTTATCCATGGCCTCGTAAAAATAGCCAACACCATTCTTCAACATCTCCTTCAATTCTTCGCCCCGAAATAGTCGAGATGAACCTGTAAGTCTGCGACCTCGGTGACAAGGAATCTGTCTGGCTTGTCATCCATAGCGCAGCGGATTGTCGACGGTGAGGCAGTATTTTACGTGAGGGAACAAAGACGATGGGAGGTTTTTTGGGTGCATATTCGACGATGGCCAAGTATGCTGGCTTCGACATTGCTGTCCTGATAATCGACGTCAACATCATACAAACCTGGCGAGTGAAGCATTCGTGCGCGACTGGGAAATGGTTAGTTCATGAAAGATACGTTTGAGATAGAGGATAGCCTACAGATAGACGTATCCCGGAGCCTCATCAGGATTTGGGATCGTGCCCAAGTCAGTTTCCGCGTTGAGATATCCCGGAAGGTGTTTCGAACGAGTAGAATAACCTGATTGGGATTGGCCTTTGTTCTTGATACGACTTCCAATGCGATGGGGAACGTGGAGAAGGTTCGGACGACTGAAGTGGGGAGGGAAGCGCTTGATACGATGATGTTCGACAATCTGTTGCTTCGTCATTTGAAAGTCACCCATAAGCTCGCCGACTATGATACCAAACACATTTAAGGCTAGCGGGGAAGTTGCCGACCATCCCTTGGACTAGTGGGAGTGACGTAGACCACTTCACGTCAAGGTTGAAAGTACCGGCAGCCTCGATACGATATTTTTGGATAACTCGTTCAGAGTTAGATCTAAGGATGAAAGAATAGTCAGTGACCGAACCAGGATGCGCTCTAAGAAGCATGCCTTTCTAGCACTAGTAGCGATGCTCATCGATGCAGAATACAATGGGGGGGAGCGAGCCACCCTCGTCCGGCGATGCCCTGCTACTTCACGAAGAATCTGATCCATACCTGTCTTATGCATAGCAACTTCGACGTTGAATAACGTGGTTTATCAGCATCGCTCTGCATGAGGAGACAATCATGTAACGGTTTTGGAAATTTTTCATCGTGATATGAAAGGTCTGGTAGTCGAAGAGTTCCGTGAGATAGTTTTCGCACAAAGGTTGTACTCGGAGCCAAGGATGGAGAATATGGAGACTGTTCGGCAGTAGTGATTGGGTTTGGGAACCGTCGTGGAGGCGGCTTTGTCGACCTTGGATATGAGGGATTTTGAAGATTCATCAGTGTTTCTCCACTAAGTGCAGCCTCGCAGTTCTCGCCCTCGTCGTCCTCGTCCGACCACCTCTGAATTCAATGCTTTCTTCATCCCTTCCTATTGTCCCTCTTCATCGAAACTTGCATCGTCAACTCGTCGTCAATCTCTGTATTCTTCCGCTCCATATCGGCTTCACCCTCGGCACCATGTTCCTAATCTTCAACAGACTGACGAATTGTTCACCAGTTCTATCTCTTATTGGTGGGTTTCCGCCTTCTTTTTCGTCCTTAGGCATTCTCGGACGACACGAGAAACCCATGTCTCGTGGATCAAGGGGGCCAGTCAGAAAAGTAGGTGCACCATCTGGTTCTCAGTCTCGGCGAGGGGTCTAGTAAGAACTAGAGAAGGAGTGACACCATGGGTGTACTAAGAGAGAGCCGGGTGTAACTCTTTCAAGGTGGCGCCTGCACGTATGCGTTGATTACTCTGTGCTCTTAATATTCTCTAAAATAATCCTTGAGAAGAATTTGATCGTGGTTGATATGGCGCGTCTGGCCAGAGATCGTAATAGTGAAATCGTTTGCGACGCGACGTCTCGTAGTGATGAGTGACCATGGAAGGGAAGTGCTGGATTTGAATGAGGCGCGAAGGAAGATGAGGCAGGACGTGTCGGACGTCGGGGAGCCGAATCTGAGAGTCCTTCTAGATATTCAATCGACGTCAAGAAAAGGAAGAGAAACGGCACGGGCTAGACTGGATCGAGTGAGACTGACGTCATGTTCTCACGCTCCCGGGCCAACTATCGTCACCAGAACAGTCGAAATCGCCAACCCGTTGCCATCTTCACACTGACGAGCACCGACGACGTAACAAATCACATGGAAATCTATATAGACGTCTCCTTCAGTCCAACCTTACAGAGCCATACACGATAGTCGGTCAAACTGCGCGTGAGCCCTCTCCGGTGCATCAGCACTGCAGCACCTGCGCTTCCAGTTATCTTGCCTTACTTGCAATCAGATTCTCGGTTGCTTCCATCATACTATCGCATATATCCCGCCCTGGCACTCCTCCACTGTGTAGCCGTCATTTAGTCTGTCACTACCACAGCAGATTCTAAGACAAACGCTCGGTATCCTATTCCACCGAACCCTAGCTACGTTCAAGTGAACGACGAAACACCCACGCGCCACCACCGCACAGCAAACTCGCCCTGTGAAACTAATGATCCTCACCACGGATGTACGAGCCCACGGCGAATCGTCAACATCAATTTCAAAGGAACGCTCCTCGGAGCTGCGAGCCTTGATGCTTAGTGAACATTATCTACTATCATCGGACCTCCTCTTTCCTATCTTCCACATTTTCTACCATCCAGTCCAGCGACACGGCAATCTCAACCTCAACCTAGCGAACGGTGAAACTGTCGCTTATGACCACTTCGTATCAGAGCGTCGAGGTGGTAGTGAACTGGTATAGCACCCACCACGTTCCACTGGTCCTCGTGAGTTGCGAGGACGAGGACTAGATCGAGGGAAATATTGGGTCGGCAATCTCGAAAATCTCTCTCTCTCTCTAGCTCAGTATCCTAGATCGAGTAATCGACAACCGGGTACTAACAACGAGAGACGTAAAACAAGGCTATCGATAGATTCTGACAATGACTCTAGCACGGGAGGAAAGCGAAATAATCGCAAGGGTTTATCGTAGCGTTTTGACTCAGGCCCTTTGATTCTCCCAGCCTGCCCCGCCAGCGCGGTATCTCTTTGTATCTTTAGAGAGTCAGAGTCACGTTTAGAATGAATCCACATACTAACATCCAAGACGCGGGAGTCCTTCCAAGACTAGACGATGACTTCCAGATAAATTCGTATTTAATGGATCCATTCAGCTCCTTGAAATAAGGTAGATGATAATAATTCCGACGATCCACTTTACGTGTGTACATGTTATATGTGACAAAACACCCTCTATCATACGCCCTGACCATGGCACCCTCGTTTCACGCCCATACGGTCTGCCAGACATTCCAGTCGAATCTCATCCGCAAGAGCATCCCGCTCTGGCTGACAGTCAGACTGAGACTGAGAATGCTGAGAATGCGTCTGTGGTGTCGGCTGTGGCTGAGAAAAATGGGTGAAGAACGTCAAAGAATTATCTCGGCTACAAAGAAGAGCCCGAGGTCTCTGTGCACGGGGATGGTTGTTAGGCAAGGAAAGAAACACCTTTCATATGGTTTTGACGAGACGATGATCTGCCCTGACAGTACAACAGGCTCGTTTCCAAAGCAAGAGTTGGTTGACTGGAAGGAGCGTTTCTTCCTACAGTATGCATTCCGCACGGCATTGACTGCATAGTCAGGTGGGGGGAGGGGTGCTTCGTGAGGATGGGAGTTGAAGGAAATGAGCATCAGGAGAACAATTTCCTTACGATTCTGATGGAACAATAAGACCTTGTTAAATGCAAATATAGTATAGTCAATAAATAACAATGCATCATGAATAGATACCCGTTCTCTCTAATAATCAGGGTATCGCCCTAGCAAAGGCCTCCACTGGTCGTAGTGCCAGCACTGAATTCTAGACCTCCTGAAGCGGAGTGTGCCATCTAGAAAATACATCAGAAAATGCTATGCGAAAAAGAAAGGTCTAACGCACTGTTACTTTCCAGACTTGTTCTTCCCCCCCATCCTGACCTGGGTCCCGCTTTCGTAGGGAAGAGAGCCCCCTGAGTCACCTGTCGGTGTTGGTCTCCTCAATGATAGTGACAATGTCCCATTAAGCGTGAATTTTCAAACATCGACCAGAGTGATCTATTGAGTTCATCCGACATCGATCCACTTGTGTTCATCAATGCATCAACCTTCAAGCTTCACACCTGTGCCATCGCATCAATCGGTCTTTCACTGTGCCTGTCACCAGGATCGGGCATGCCATACCGAATATCCTAGAATCAGCTGTCTGTAGACTAATCATATAGATAGTCTCGGTACGCACCTTGAAGCTAGGTACTAGTATCATACCAGGTCCATCGTAGCCACGAAGTGAGCAAAAAAGGAGAAGTCATAATTTTGAGAGTAAGTAAGGCCAAGCCAAACACGAAAGGGACGCATAAGCGAAAGGAGGGGAAGAGCCTAATTTTTTGACAAACGAAGGGAAAGCTCCGAGTGAAAATTGAGACCTGCACAGCCACATCGGACAACAACTTGCCCGAAGCATCTGACTTGCTTGTATCCTCAATGAAACCGATCTCATTTTGCTAGGAAATTTTAGAACCGGAGAGACGTCATCTATGGAGTGAGACGCTGGGGAACTTAAACCAGACTCAACAATCCGTATGAAGACAAGTTGTCTGATGGGCGTGGTGAATTTAGCATCAACAATCACTCCAGGCATCACACAACGCGACGAAACCGCCGTTTTAATGCGTTATCTGGTATTATTAGTATCACTTGGAAGCAACAAGGGTTCAACGTTCATGCATCAAGAGTTGCAGCATCACCTCCTGGATGTCGGTGATAGTACACGTACTGCCTTCCGTGACTTACGGGCGCTGGAATAATGAGCCCATCTGTGAAGTCCTGCCAGTGTCTTCTTCGTTGCACAACGAGCAGGTATCTCCCCTAGGCGCCATTTTGTCCGATCTTTTCTAGCAGTGCCCGGTCACTGTTCTGTGTAACTTGATTTAACTGCTGTCCAGTGGCATCGCGTCATGTCGTTTCTATGACCCACTCCTCAATTCTCTCAGCTCTCAGTATTGACCTGTCACCACCCTCAGCGCCCAAGTGATGGTTAAGGAAGAACCAACGATGCAAACAAAATGGGTCGGCTCATACTCGGATACGCTGTGCAGCGCCCTGTCTCCGGAGATGTACTAGTGGGTGAGGGCCATCTCATCCGAGTGGCAATTCCGAGTCCTATTTTTGTCAGCCCTTCAGTACACCTATTAGTCGCAATGTCCGTACATGAAAGTATCTGGCACCTTGCCATTCGGATCTCGTCGCATATTAATACCCTCAATAGGACCTTCCCTCGACGCGTGTCTTCCCTGTATCATACCGTCGTTGAACCATACTATGTTATCGGGGTCAACATATCTGGCCGTAAAATGACTATTGCCGAAGTATATTATGCCCACAAGGCGATAAAGGGCGGGACCCTCATCAGTATGGAGCTCGATGGTTTCGTCTGGTGGCGTGTCTGTGAACGATACAGCCAACGCCATTACTGGAGGTGCGGTGTTATATGTTGTACACTTAGGAGAGGATGCATTGCACGATGTGCATATGGAATCCTGACTGGATACAGGTACTGATATCGTGTTATTAAAAAACTGTTGCAAGGTGTTCCATCGTACATCAGCAAAACCCAGAATTAGTCTTTCCGGGCTTGGTCTTTTTCTAGCCCTCTTTCTGCCTCTTTTTCTTGGGTGATCGAGTCTTGGTCTTGGCAAACCGGTTCTTCTGCGGCTTTCTGATCTTATCGATTGGGGCGGTCTTCGAATGACCTTGCAGTTGGTATGTATACGGATTGAAGTTAGATATTGCAATATTGAAGCCCATGCACATCCGTCACGGTGATGTTGCAGCGTCGCAGCAGTGCAGCCACTTGCAGATGGCGCATGGAATGGCAGGGAATGGCAGAAGAGCAACAAGAAATCTTCTAAGTTCTTTCAAACTCTGCCCGGGCATGTCCGGAACATGTCAACGTCATGTTGGACTTTAACTCGGAGTCCAAATTGATTATTCCCTCCCTCCTCTCTCCCTCACTTTACTGCAACTCGATACCGGCGATGGGGCCATTGGGCATGTACTGGTGGTACGAGGGCAAAGGTATGGGTGTCTCTCATTGAACTGACTATATCTGATTCTTGCATTTCCTTCCGGGCTGCCGTCATTGCCAACAGGTGAGAAAAGAAACGGTACGACCCAACACCTCATCATCACTCGCTGCTGAACTGACCAGAGCTGTAGATGGATGTGTGCAGACCAAGGAGAGGGCTGTTGTGAAGACTAGGATGGTGGCCATCCAGGAAGGGATGTGCCGGAGGGTGCGTGCTTCTTCCATTCCCCCATATAATTATTCACATTGTATTTTGTGTCGGTTAGACTGCTTAGCTGTTGTTCTCCCTTCTGCGGTGTGTTTTCTTTTGACAATCTGATGCAATACTGATATATTCGTAGCACTGTCATGCCATCGAAATCACATTCTTATCCTTCCTATAGGCGCCCATTCTTGCAACATCTCTCTTGTTATGTCACGGCTTCATTTCTATCTCTGAGGCAGAAAGGGTCATAGTGTTAGCGTTATGTGCTATAGTTCATTGTCATAGATAGAAATCAATATACTAGAATTTCTATATCCTCCAAAGCCATCGGAACATGAAAGAGAAAGAAACAAAAGACAGGAAGATGTTCTCTTCCTAAGACAGTGATAGATCTTGCCAAGACAAAATCCTTCTTGACGAGAATATGTACCTTACTTGGTAAAGACCCTTGATCTTCTTGTCTTTGCTGTCTTTTCGGTCTTGTGCAAGACCGAAAAGACACAAAAGACAACTTCTGGGTTTTGCTGATGTAGAGGGGCAGTAGAATGGGGTACTATGACACAACATTGCTGCGTTGATATAGGAGTTACCTGGCCACAGCTACAACGAAATCATCGGACAAGAAAGTGACATCAGTTCTGAGCAATGTCATCATTACAGCTTCAACGCTCATATTCCTGCCGAACACAAAGACAGTTGGATACTCACGATGCAATGCTCTCCTGATGTAGTCTCTTACTTCCTCCAAATTATACTCCCCTTTTGCGTATTTCTTGAATGATGAGGATGCCATGTCCATCCATCTGTTGCGAAGATGAGCGAATGATGCGGTGTACTTGGCCTCATCCGATTTCCATAGATTGTATAGCACAAACAAAACAGCATCATAAGCGCAACTGTTATTGGACCACTTACAGCCAGCAGGGCTAACCGGCACTGACCCCTGCATTATGCACTTGTCTTGCATGCTTTGCTTGAAGACGGTATCAGAGGCTTGACCTTGCACTATACGCTTGTCCAGGTATGCTTTGCTTGATGTTAAAGGTATCAGATGCTCGACCTTTGCGCTTCTCTGCTGCTTTCATGGGAGTAACATTCCGCACGTTAAGAGACTCATGTATGGTACTGGGTAGAGAAGGCCTACCGGGCTGTGGACCAAGAAGGTTAACCTGTTTTGACGACTTGAATAGTTTGCTTGGATTGTGTGTAATGAACGTCTTCTCCCACTCCAGATCAGTAGCGTCCACCATATCAAAAGGATTGATGATCGACCACATGAGCCTGGCATCCATGTTGACGGGGGTGTATTCAGTGCCAATGTATTCCTGGAAACTATGTATCAGTGAATATCTTGTTTCTCTGATCACAGTAATGGGCAGAGTACTTTCATATATTCGAATAGTTATATCATCGAGCATTTCGAGCTCCCTGAATTCCTGTCTCAATCGACCGCTGCAACCTGCCCTGTATCTTACACGGGTCAATCGGTGATGCCCGAACGTTAGCCAGAGCAGGCAATAGCAGCGTACCCTCTGTGGTGGCAGTTCTTGACAGTGCAGTGTAGTATGATTGGTGAGTTCTACAGTTGTTAAGGTCGACAGGGGTTGAATGGACGAGTTTTTCCTTGTGATGCAAAGTCCGTCATCGAAAAGTTGGTGATGACCTCCACTTGAGTGCGTGACAGCTTAATTGTATTATCATCCGGAAGACTGCATACAATGGTGTTAGAAGTGCACACGATAGGGATGACATTAAGCGGCAGACCTGGGATTCGAATGTCAGTAGGAGGGTCGATAAGTGAAACGAACAGAACCTCTAGCACTCTCTTGCCTTGAGGTCCAACACCTTCCTGTCCATGAATAAACAGAACCTTCTTGACCCTTGGTGATGCATAGCTCTGTTGCAGAGTTGGACCTGATCATGACAGGCATGCCTTTGCAGAGAGACAAGGTAGCAGGTATGTGCTTGTCATTCGCAGAAGGCGGCACAGCCCATAGCAACTCACGTAAGTGAGGTGTGATGGCTCGTACATTGCTTCTGGCACTCTTGCCACATGGCCTGTTCGCCCAGTCATCTTCAGTCGTTCGAGAGCCTGTCATTCGCTATAAAAGACCGTGAGTTCTTGTCCCGTCTCCTCTGTGAAACAGTATCGCACCTATTCGATTGTATTCGTCTTTATGCACTGTTCAGTCCTGTGATGATAGACACGTTTCGAAAAGCGGGATCCGTGATCTTCACAGCGGTAGGCTTACCTGCGACTTTGCTATTCAAGAAGGCGATGTCAGATTTGGTGACAGATTTATACCTCATATTTGTGAGGGCAGTGCGGAGCTTTTCATCCTCGGGGGACTGGGTACGCTGTCGCATATTCTGCCTCAATATCACAACCATAGTAACTTGATGCCATATGGCCTTACCCATCGCCATTTCCTGCGATCTAGGGCTTGCAGCATGCATTCTGTCACATGGACCATACAGAGAAGATGCTTCTCCTCCTATTGCAGGAGGTAGCTGCACGAAGTCCCCTGCAAAGATGACATTCATGCCCCCAAATGATACGTCAGACTTATTTAATATTACAGCTAGACGGCTACTGATTCGATACATATCAGCACAAGACAACATTGATACCTCATCTATAAACACTGTACTCCACACTGATCAAATGTTCCTTAACTTCAGCCAGCGTTTTCTTCGATATAGCCATCCTATTTGATTCGTTTATACCAAACATGAAGTGGTAGGTCGAACCTTTGATGAGGGCCACTGCAGTACCAGTAGGCATGACGGCGATCAACCGTCGACTCTCACATTGATAGCAGAAGTAGGACGTCAACGCATTAAGAACCCTGGTCTTACCGGTCCCCCCCATCCCACCGATATACATGCGAAGCGGTTCTGCCATAGGATTAGCAGAATGTTGTGCTACAATACGGAAGGCTCATTCTTGTTCAGTGTTCAGACCATATTGGCTGCATACGTCGGCAATAACAACATCTTCGGTCTTATCATGAAGAGATCGAATGAGGTGACTCTTGCGTATGACTTCAACCTGGTCTACATGAGCTGAACTCTTCCCTTTAGTTCGCTTTGTAGGTTCAGGAATATCACCATGATGTCTAGTAGTTAAGACAGATTGTCTCATTCGTGCAACTTCCTCTTTCCAAGCACTCGACATGGACGCTCTGCGACGATTGTGTCGAGATGTACGCTGCTTAAATCGGCAATTGTAGGCATTGCAACAGTCCACGAGCACCCAACTGGTCCCATTAGACAACAGATAGCAGCAGCCTGTGCTTCTCTGGCCTTTTGTCTCTTTCCAAGTGTAACCGTAGAGAGTTTAGCGTTTGTGTCTATGCCAAATTCAGTTGAAATCCTCGGCGACCATCTGCTGTGTTCCTTCTTGAGCAAGGGCATCAAGCTCGTCTTCGATTAGCCAAGGTGGCATACCTTCTCCAGCTTCCTGAATTAACTCAGCCCTGTAGTCGTCCCATGCATCCAGGCATTCATACCGCAAATTGAAGTTTGACATTATCTTGATGTGGGCTTCAGAAAAGTGATATCCACTGTACTCTTCATCCCACGTAATTTCCTGCAGATGCCTTGAGGTCAGTACCCGATCTCCAAGGCCTAAACAACACTAACATGCACAGGCAGTAATACTCTCTGTCGCCCTTATCTTTGCGGGGTAGGAGTCCTGCCCACGAAATTTGGAACCTTCCGTTTGGCTTCAGGAAAGACACATACATGATGTGACTCATGTAGTGGATGGGTGTCCATAAATTGGAAACAGTTTGATTTGTGCTTTCCGTCCTTTCCTTTTACCGCCAACAGGATTTCGTTCGTGTCTCATATCATCCATGGAATCCTCTTCATCGGTATTGTGTGAAATATATGGTACACATGCTGCAACCCTGGATAACATGTCTCTGACAACCTGCGACATGTCCCCCTCCAACGCGCCATCCTCATCGTCGACGACAAAGTCCTGGATAGAACCAGCATCACTATACAATGATGCGGCGTCTCCATCCATAGAAATAGTGTCGTGCCCGTCCATGATAGGCTCTTCCATTTCGCTGGCGGGGCCTACAGACAGGTCATCTTCTAATATGATCGGCTCATCGTGTGTTTGTGTCTTCTTTTTCCCTGTCGAATTGGCGAATCATTCGCACGTGCACATCCAATCATACAGTGAGATATGTTCAAGTTGTACAGGTCTGTGTATATAATCCTCTACAGGGGAGACTCCTATTATAGATCCTTTCCGCTTCTTCAGTGTAATTTGTACCTTATCAATGGAACTGCCCGGATCTTTCCAGCTGCTCACTGCCTCTGCCACATAAGACTTCCAGTAGAATGTGATGAATTTTTTATTCGTGTAATGGTCGGGGAATCCGAGAAGATACAAGCATATCATAGGAGAACCTATTTCAGTCTTGGTGCCAAGCACATTGACCATCTGCATCATCAGCTTGCGTGCTCGATCCTTTCAGGTCCGGTTAGGATCGTGTGGCTGGTCTTTGTCGCATTGGAACACAGCTCAAATGCATTCAAATATGGCATGCATTTTCAAGCCGGGCTTGATAATGTAGTCGGTCACATATACCAAAACAGCTTTAATGGCGGTACCTGAATGAAGGGAAGTAACGTCTGTGTTGCAGCAGAAGATGTAAGAAATGAGTGGTGTAAAGGTGTTGATCCAGGCCTCTTTTTTAATTATATTTATATGACTGGTCTCTTTATCAACTGTGGTCTCTTTTACAATCTTTCTTGGAAAGCAGGCCTTGCACTTCTTCCATTTGTTGTCCAAGCAGCCTTTCACATTAGCATTTTGTTTCAGCGTACCATCAGCCCAAGTGTTGGAATGACAACTGTGTATATTGCATTTATTGATGATCATATCCACCATATGCCTGAAATATCCCCACCAGGACTCACTGGTGTTTCCGGCCTTGCAATCGGCACACCCACTGGGCTGGTCGCAATGGGATGGTGGGGTATTGGGTAGGACTTCAGTGAAATCATAATATCCAGGTTGAAGACTTTGTTTGTGTCTCATGATCAAGACCATGTCCTGTGCACCAGTGAAGTAGTCTCCCTTGTGTACACTCTCCAGATACTGTATGAGACGTATCTGAAACTCAGAGTCATCAGACAAGAGGTGATCGCGTATTTCTTGAGGACTAAGGCATTTCCGAATCCATATAATCATATGAAGATGCAATGTTAACTGGCCTTGTTGTTCGACAGTCCCATAGTATGCAGAAGTATCACCAAACAAACCAGGCATGAATTGATCACCCACCCTAAGGACGTATCGGATAAATAGTTCTACCATGAAATTGAAGAACCTGGCTGCTGCGACAGGGTTACCAGAGACGAGGCGGACCCTTTCCTTCTCGGCTAGTGGTATGGGATCGAACTCCATATGCTTATCGGCCCAATACATGCAAATAGGATGACTATGGTCGGAAGGAGCCATCGTGAAGTACCAAGAAGGAGCGCCTTCAGAAGCCATCAATGAATAGGCCTCATTCCGCATATACTTCTTCGACATCAGAGACCCCCGAACGTTATAAGCGATGTGGTCTAAATCGTTTAATAACTTAAAGCAGTCCTTCTCTGCATCTGTAGCAGGAACAACTGTCTGACCTTTGGACATATGGTCAGATATGCTTTCCAGAACGGAATTGTCGATCCTATGGATCCTCTCAGATATCTCGAAGAATTTGTCTTTATCAGCCAAAAGGAACCCACCTGTAGTGCTGGTCTTCACCTGCTCATGACTGAAAGCAACAAATGGGAAACCCACATCGGTCTGAAAATGTTTGTCATGATACATTAAAAGCCATTTTTTGTGAGCGGCGTCAGAAAGCGAACTGGAACCTACACCCCCTTTCCCGTATGGGAACAACCATGGGAACATCGAAGGATACAGTGACGTGTTATGATATATCGACTGAGGTGCTGCAGCATGCCCAACAGCAAGTACTCCTCGATTCGCCTTGAAATGTCGAGCTGCCATAGTCTTCTGCTCGGAGAGGGACTTAGTGTTGAGCTGCTCACCCATAAGGCCGTGTACTATGACCGGACAAGGCTCATCTGTAGTACCATCGGCATCATCATTATCGAATATGCTGGTGCCTTCTGGTACCTTGTTGCTGCTCCGATTCTTATATACCACCGTCATGGGTGCCTCGCCATCGATGTATGTGGACATGTTAGCTTCGGACAACTCCACCTGTGCATAATTGCAATGATTTAGCTGAAGCCATCCCAATGCATCCATAACATTACAATGCCATACTAACAATGGTGTACGTTTCATCTCCTCCTCGGTCGGCTGAGTCAGACCAGTGAACAAAATGGCCAGCACTTCGTCCAGCTCCTCACGCGGAAGAGGAAGAGTGTCGTACACCTTGGAAACCGGAGACTCGAATGCAACGACGTGCAAAATCATCTTCCTAGAGCCAAGTTCAGGATGCCCTGAGATGGCGACACGGACAAAACAGCAACTGTGACGGATCCATGACACGAGTATGCGTTCAATGAAAGAAAGCCTGGACAGCACTTCTGGCACCTCACCCAACCACAAGTTATTTGCTAGCGCATGTTTGGGAACCTTTCCTTTGTGAATACATGACCTGCAAGTTACACAAATCAGATCGGTAGTGGAATCCCTGACTGGGCCACCAAGAGGGCAGATGGGATCGGAGTCGCTTGCACGCTCCTTGACAGTACATGCATCGTTTTCTAAGATATAGAGCAACCGGGCGACATGACTGGAACAACTCAGCTTCGATAATGGAGTCAGCTGCCCACATACAGTGCACCCCAACTCTTGAAAGCAGCCAGCTGCATGGAGTCAACACATTCCCAAATAATTGATGCCTCCCTTGAAGGGTCAAGGGGTGAAGGTGGGTACACTGCACCACTCTCGATAGCACAAGGGTTTTGGTCTGAAGACGGGGCACCGTCTGGTTTACGACGCTCGTTGGTAGGTACATTAAACAAGGGGATTTTCTTGAGCATGGTAATATAAGAATCGCATACGTGGCAGTGATGTCCTACGAGTGCATCTAGTATAGCATGCTTCGTATTATGAGGATTGACCATAGTATTGTGAACAGTGAGAAGCCTTCGGAGGTCATTAGCAGGTATGCAAGCAGCGACTACGTGCAGCAGAACCACCAGGCATAGAAAAGACAAATCAGAAGTATATCTTTCTGCATCAACTTTTTCCATGTGCACGTGATATTGATATTTGTAAGAGGGGGCAAGCGCATCGGACAATGCATCTTCACTCAAATAAGGAGACAAGACGTCCTGTGTAACATATAAATGTGCGCCTCGACCGCCGCCTACCCTATATGAAGGTTTAGAGCAGTCAAGAGATGCGCTACAGCCTCTTGCCTTTGGCACAGCATGGAGGTTAATGCGATGGCGAGGTCCACAGAACAAAAGATACGCGACGCAGACCAAGATTATCAATGATACAACATATAGCACAACACAAGAGTATCGAGTGTCTATATAGACCATGCCATGTAAAAGTCTATGCATGAGCCACCCACACAGGCAAAACCACCCTAATGGGCAAGGAACAGGATAGGCAGAATGACCTGCAATGACAGAAGGAGTCTCAGAACGATGCACGACAATGCATAGATGTAAATAGATCATCTGTATAGACATTAATACGAACAAATAATAACGAAACACGTAGTGATCAAAGGACAGGTAACAGATGCCAGTGAGCACAGCACAGCATGCCCCCTTGAACTAGATGGCATAGAGTAAGTTACATTAAAAAAAGAATAAAGAAACTGAACACCACACACCAGACAAATATACATACGTGAACACAATATGGGGGGACGAGACATCCAAGCAAGTAACTGAAATGTATGAAGTCGATCAACAGAGCATTGATATTCGAATATGCAACAAACGTACCACTAATAACCCCAACGTCAAAGTAGCATCCCGTGCCACCGCCTGAATCGAAAGGTACGTTGGTACATTCATCGAGTTCTAAGTGGACGACTAGAGAAACAGGACGTGAACTTGGCATATGAAAGAGAAGAGTACCGAGTACGAAGTGGTAGTAAAAGCAGTCGCACGAGCAACACACGTACTTGCAGAATATTCACGACTAGATGGCACAAGGCAGGAGAGGAGAGCAGAAGGAAATGAAAGGGAAAAGGAGGACATGGGTCATGAACTCTATCAACGCATTCAAACTCCGCAAGTGCCACATGGAAAATATTACAGGATATGTACCAGTCCATGCCACAAGTTGTTCACAAGATCACAAGGGCACTATTACGATTTCGCTGCTTATCCTATCTTATTGACCTCATCGTAATCTCGTTATGCTAATCCTCCGACTCTGATCGCACCAAGCCATGCTCACACCGCATGCTTAACGCACCATTACAGACCGTAGTACTATATTTAGCACGACCCGAATTGTATTTAAGTAGCTCAACTGCAGGTCTTAAACCTCAGTCTCGAACTAAAGTTTATTCACCCGATAACTTAGTCTGAACTCAATCTCAAATCGCTAAGCAATAGCTCCCTGCACGCAAACCTGTGGACAACATAGAGTGCCTGACCGAAGTGCGAGTCATGCTCAGTTGTTTGATCTTGTTTGTGTAATCGGTCGCTAACAATTAGTTTGAGACTTCCTTACTCTTCACCAACGTTGACATTGACGAAGACGAACGAATGAACCCCATCGAACAAACCATCACAGAACTCATAGGGCTACAAGGCTTCATTGCCATAGCCTACCTCACCTTCCTATACAGATATGAATACTGACGAAGACAGGAGCCAGTCTCCCGAGAAGCTATCACCGTCGAAGCCCCCAACGAGGAGGCTAGACAGCAGGAAACACCCCCTCCCGACTACGTCGACGGCAGGGAAGGGGGAGATCTTACCTTCATCCACTTCATCTTCATCACCAACGAGTCCGACTCTGACTCCGACTCTGACATGGAGGGATGGCCCACACAAAGAGGCCCAGTCGTTGAAGACGAAGAAGAGCCAGGAATCTACGAACAAGGGGTGGACCAGCGTGTTCTCTCTCCCATTACCGAAGAAGAAAGTGAAGGGGAAAGCACAGGAAGCGACCCCTGGAATGCCCCTTCCCCCACCTCCACCGAAAACTCAGCCACCAACCCTGGCTACGATTCAGACGGGCAACGTCTCTATCAGAGAGGGCTTAGATACCATTTGGGAGAAAGAAGAACGACTGAAGATGGAACTGGAAGCAGTTCAGATGAAGAAAGCAGCACTACAGAGGAGGACGGTAGCAGCCATGAGCTCTCAGGACCACAAAACGACTGGTCCCCTCCAAGGCTGGACTCAAGAGGAGAAACATGGGGAAACCAGTATGCCCACAGTGACTCAGACAATGAAGAAGACTACCTCACTCTCATCACATGACCAAACACCCCAATCATCATCAACGATAGGGAAGGGGAAGCCACTACCGAGCTCGACCAGTGTGAGCCCACATACGACGCCGACACCAGCTGCGATGTATGCAGACAAATACAGGACTATGCCGACGCCTGGCTCATGTACGAAGGAATCGAACCCCCTTCATCCGTCGCCCCCTACGCAATCTATCCCCTTGCCCCAGAGCACCCCTTTGCAGCCCCCGTCCCCTTCATCGCACCTTGGGTATGGGATCGGCCCCGAAGGCCAGACTTCGACCGAGTCGTACTCCGGGTCAATGAGTGGGCCCGAATCATCAGAAACTGGAACTGAATTATCACAGGAAGCATGGAGCCTTTTGAGTGAGTCTGACCAGTCGGACTTAGAAGAAGGCGAAATCTACGAGAACCCTGGAACCATGCAGCCCTCAATTTGGAGCGGCTACACAGGGCGGGGGAGTATGGAGATGAGGACATCATCCCGGAATTCGTGGAAGGATCTAGCTCGGGAACCTACTGAGGTCGAGCTTCAAAATATGACTTATTTGGAAATGCTTCATTGGACGGAAAGAAAGTTGCCCCGAGAAATATCGTGGAACGGGTCACCACAGGGAAGGCACTACTGGAACAACAAAAACAACCCTGTTGGAAGCCAGGTACTATACCGGGAGACCATCTTCCATACTAACCTATTATGGAACCAAGTACACCCAAGTGACTATACGGTGTTGCGACTGCAGCCTATTTACGCATGTAATTTTGCAATCTAGAGTGTTTTACATGCATACTGAGAAATAGTGAGCGAGCAGACTAAAACTACGCGTTGACACTAATGCTACGTGGTGCAATGATATGGAATATAACTTATGGCATCAGAAGCAACGGGATTCTAAACAGGACTTAGTCACAGCACTGTACCTGACGGGCATGCGTGATGAGAAGGCCAAACCCTATACCCAATGCCTTAGGCTCTAACTTACAAGCACACTCGCAGGAGCTAGATAAAACCTTGAAGATTGCACTGACACTGAGAACACTTAGCGCGCTCGCTAACTGTGACGCGCCGTACCTGAAAATCCAGGGAAATCCTTAAGCGAGCTGACAGATATCATCGGCATGAGCTTGGGCAATGGGCTTTGGCCGAAGTCCGCGAGCCCATGTTCCATTGTTCTGAGTCCCATTGTTCGAAGACTCACTTGTTGCCATGTCTATGAGAAGCCTCTGTGAATCCAAGAAAGAAGTCCTGAACGACATACACCAGAACTGATAGTTCCGTGCGCCTAGACCTGTCGGTCACTAGAGAACAAGCCCGCGGGTGTCGGGAGAGCACCTCTTGGCACGCATTTAGCAAGCTCACTATAGAAATGAGACTAAAACTGGGAAGTCCGACTCAGATGCTCAGTAAGGTGGCGGTGGCAACATGCTATGCATGTAGGAGTCTGGGTACTGCACAACGTTTGTAATTCTAATTCCCCTGTAGTATAAGTAGACTGGTTACATGTTAGCCACTAACTCTAATCGACTTAGATCGTACTAAGGTCGCTACTCGCACTTCGGTAGACGACACTCAGCAAGTCAAAGGCGACGCAAGTCGATGGACACTTAGTCACGAAGAACGGAGTTCGATGTTAGGTAGAATAAACCTTAGCCGAAGCTGGGGTTTAGACCAGCTGAGGCTCTACTTAAATACACGTTGCGTAGGCTAAAGATAGTGCCGCAGCAACGTCCGATCGAAATCGCAGCATAGCGTAAGCGTGAATACGTAAGAAAAGAAAAGGAAAAGAAAAAGAAAAGAATAAATCGTAACATTACCCCCTCCTTAAGACTCATTCGTCCCGAATGAGAATATATCTCCTTCCCTCCACACAAGCGAGTTGAGGGGCTCCCTTCTGCTTTAAAACAGGATCGATTGGACCTCCGCTACCCCATAAAAAGTCACGTCAGTGGGTTCGGCCTCAGACCCTCTCTCCCCCTGGACTCAGGTCCCAAAACTTCCTGAGCCACTTTGCGCCGGTTAGGCCTCAACTGTCTGTCGGGATTCGCGATCCCTAAGGGTTCAATGCTCATTAATGAGCGGTGGCAATCCCCTTCTACACCGTGAGTTGTTGATTTAGGACTCCTTCGATACAAAGGAGTCACTAGATCCGTCCTGCGAGGAGGAGGGTCGTGATTCTGAATAGAACGACCATACCTCGTCGTCTTCATCATCGTTGTCATCATCTTCATCCTTGTCCCAGTTTTCTGTGACCCGTTGTAAGAGGTCTACGTCCGGGCTATCATTGTCTGGCCTTTCCTCCACTATTGGTACTCCGTCCGCTTCTTCTGCAGTTACTTCTCGCATCTCCATCGAGGACTGTGCATCGGAGTGTCTTGGGTTGGTGCATTCGGAGGAGTAGAC